GTGTGTGTAGTGTGTGTAGTGTGTGTAGTGTGTGTAGTGTGTGTAGTGTGTGTAGTGTGTGTAGTGTGTGTAGTGTGTGTAGTGTGTGTAGTGTGGGTAGTGTGTGTAGTGTGTGTAGTGTGTGTAGTGTGTGTAGTGTGTGTAGTGTGTGTAGTGTGTGTAGTGTGTGTAGTGTGTGTAGTGTGTGTAGTGTGTGTAGTGTGTGTAGTGTGTGTAGTGTGTGTAGTGTGTGTAGTGTGTGTAGTGTGTGTGTAGTGTGTGTAGTGTGTGTAGGTGTGTGTGTGTGTAGTGTGTGTGTGTGTAGTGTGTGTGTGTGTGTGTGTAGTGTGTGTGTGTGTGTGTGTGCGTGGGTGTGTGTGTGTGTGGCGTGTGTAGCGTGTGTAGCGTGTGTAGCGTGTGTAGCGTGTGTAGCGTGTGTAGCGTGTGTAGCGTGTGTAGCGTGTGTAGCGTGTGTAGCGTGTGTAGCGTGTGTAGCGTGTGTAGCGTGTGCAGCGTGTGTAGCGTGTGTAGCGTGTGTAGCGTGTGCAGCGTGTGTAGCGTGTGTAGCGTGTGTAGCGTGTGTAGCGTGTGTAGCGTGTGTAGCGTGTGTAGCGTGTGTAGCGTGTGTAGCGTGTGTAGCGTGTGTAGCGTGTGTAGCGTGTGTAGCGTGTGTAGCGTGTGTAGCGTGTGTAGCGTGTGCAGCGTGTGTAGCGTGTGTAGCGTGTGTAGCGTGTGCAGCGTGTGTAGCGTGTGTAGCGTGTGTAGCGTGTGTAGCGTGTGTAGCGTGTGTAGCGTGTGTAGCGTGTGTAGCGTGTGTAGCGTGTGGAGTGTGTGTAGTGTGTGTAGTGTGTGTAGTGTGTGCAGTGTGTGTAGTGTGTGTAGTGTGTGTAGTGTGTGTGTAGTGTGTGTCGTGTGTGTCGTGTGTGTCGTGTGTGTGGTGTGTGTGGTGTGTGTAGTGTGTGTAGTGTGTGTAGTGTGTGCAGTGTGTGTGTGTGTGTGTGTGCAGTGTGTGTAGTGTGTGTGTGTGTGTGTGTGTGTGTGTGTGTGTGTGTGTGTGTGTGTGTGTGTGTGTGTGTGTGTGTGTGTGTGTGTGTGTGTGTGTGTGTGTGTGTGTGTGTGTGTGTGTGTGTGTGTGTGTGTGTGTGTGTGTGTGTGTGGTGTGTGTGTGTGTGTGTGTGTGTGTGTGTGTGTGTGTGTGTGTGTGTGTGTGTGTGTGTGTGTGTGTGTGTGTGTGTGTGTGTGTGTGTGTTTGGCGTAGGCTGCACGTAAGGTTCGCCTAGGTAGTGCATACGCAGCGGTCGCCGTTTCCAGCCGAGAGCCCAAGTAAGGGTATTCTGCACACAAAAAAACACACACACACACACACACACACACACACACACACACACAAACAAACAAACAATCACAATGGCCGAGCGAGCAGGAACGCGCGCTTTCGCCTCGCGGCAAGCGCAGGAGCAGCATGATGCGGTGCGTCGCACAACGCTGCCACTGCGCTGCCCAAGCCGGCACCTCCAGGCCGAGCACGCGACATTGGGCGCTGTTGCATCCCACATGGGGCGCGTCAACTCAGCCAGTGTAGTGTGCCTGGGTGATTCGGCGATAAGGACGTACTGTAACTTACTGGGCGGCAGCGTCGGCACGAAGCGAGACCGAGGCCACCCATGCGATGCGCAGCGGCAGGTGATCTAGCCCTGCACAACGGCCGCATCGTGCTCAGCGTCCGTGACGCTTGGCGGAACCGTGCGAAGGTGCCAGCGCCGTTTGGGCGTGAATGCCCAGGCAGCTGGGCAATGTACGTGGTCGATGTGCCAAACACACCATGGGCATCGTGGCAATCACACAAAGTTCGTGTTACGGGAAGACCCAAATATGTCTGGGGTAGCAGCTTGCTTGGACGGAGAAGAACAAAGTAAGAATGAGAGAGAGAGAGAGAAAGACCGAGAGAGAGAGAGAGAGTGGTAGAAAAAGATACAAAAAATAACAAAAGAAAGAAACAAAGAATCAATAGAAACATTGATGGAGAAATATAGAGAAAAAAGAAGGACAAGGAGAGATGAGAGAGAGAGAGAAAGAAAAAGAGAGAGTGAGAGAGAAAGAAACAAAGAAAATGAGAAAACAATAAATGAGAATGATAGAAAGCAGCAAAGAAAGAAAGACAGAAAGAAAGAATGAAAGCACACTGAAAAAAAAAGAAAAATGAATGAATGAAAACGATACAAAGCGAACAAGTGAAAAAGATAAACAGATAAAGAAAGAAGAGAAATACCCATAGACCAGCCGTACACAGCCAGCACTGTGAAGACAAGCCAAGGCATCCAAGGCAACCCGCGGATAAGCTGATCAACGTGTCGTCGCCAACCGCTCTGCAAAACGACTCCCACATAAACGGCCTCCGTGGGCAATGCGCAATTTCTTCAACAGCCTTTTGTGATCCTCCTCTGTTTTCGCTTGCGCTTGCGGGTCGTCCCCCTGATGACTGTTGACATCGCAAACAGGTTTGGCGACCATGCCCACACCTGCCCCTGGGGCGGTGACTGCTCCAAGAATCACAGTCACTTGTCAGCTGTGCAGCGCGGCCTCAAGCCGGAAGTTGAAAAACCCGCGTTTCTGCGTGCTCGGCCCGAGGACTCCGCTTGTGGCTGAAGCCTGTGATGGCTGGACAGCTCAAGCCATGCAGGACTGGAAACTTTTAGAAACCGCTGCCCTCGAGGCCCCAGCCCTCGCAACTAGCCACCCTCCCGTGCGAGAACCCGCGAAAACGCGCGCGAACTGCGTCGCCCCGCCTCTGAAGCCGTCTGCTGAGCTGCCGAGTCTACCAACCCCTTTTCTCCCAGTTGCTTACGGAATCGTTGCATGGTCTGGGAGATCGAGATGAGAGATGAGCGTCAATGTCGAGGCCAAACCTTGCTGCTGTTGGCCCGGCCGCCGACCGCCGGCGCATGAGCTCATTTTGGAAGGAAAGGAGAAGAAAGAGAGGGGAGAGAGAGAGAGCGAGAGAGAGAGAGAGAGAGAGCGAAAAAGAGAGAGAGAGAGAGAGCAAGAAAGAGAGAGAGTGAGTGAGTGAGTGAGTGAGTGAGGGGAGAGAGAGAAAGGGGAGAGAGAGAAAGGGAAGAGAGAGCGGAGCGACAATGGAGCGAGAGCAGAGCGAGAGCGAGAGCAGAGCGAGAGGAGAGCGAGAGGAGAGCAGAGAGCAGAGCGAGAGAGCAGAGAGAGAGAGAGAGAGAGAGTAGAGAGCAGAGAGCACAGAGAGAGCACAGAAAGAGCGAGAGAGCGAGAGAGCGAGAGCGGAGCGTTGTATGAGCAACCTGGCTGAAGTTCCCGCGCAAAGGCGGCCGAGCCGGTATGGCTGATACAACGTGAAATTCCACGACGTGTGTCAGCTTGGGGAGGCGATCCGAAAGCGGCCTGGAATCACCGCAATTGGCAGTGTAGACCTTGTTGCCCTTGTACAACTCAGTTCAGAGGCATTGGGGGTCGTCTCAGTCGTCTCACACTCCGCAGTTCCTAGGTGGAAGACTGCCGCAAGAAGCGAAGCGCCGCTGGCCTGATCAGCAAGGTCAAGCACAGTTTGTGCACAATTTGTGCACAGTTTGTGCACAGTATATGGAACAAGTGATGTGGCTACGTGGCGAATGCGGCGGGCTGCGCAGCTTGAGAATCTCACCGAGCCTCGCAGTCCCAGCCAAAGCGGGCTGAGTGTGCCTCCAAGTCCTGGCCCGGAGTTCTGCAGAGCTACCTCTTCCGATCTCCACAGAGCTACACCTCGGAGGTCATTGACAACATTCCGGCTCGAGGGTGCCTTCTGAACGGACTGAAAGGCAGTTGCCTCGGCATTGGAGCGGACAGCGCATGTCTAAATGCCCTCGTAAGCAAAACGAGTCTCAAGGCACAACGAATGTGAAACATGAATCACAAGCAATACTTCAAAAATCACAAATAGCAACAAAAAGAATAAGAGTAGCAGTACTGATAACGCAATAGCAAGATCCGTAGGGGTCGATAGGAATCGTAATTGAACAATTATGTCATTAATTTCGATAACCCCCACCCGAAAGCTAATACATGTGGAAGCCTTCCTGATTGTCCCTCTCGGACGTGTAAAAAGGACGGATTGGACGCTGCAACGATTGCGTGAATTTCATGGGACTCCACCAAACATTCTCGGCGGGATTCTCTGCGGCGGGGGTGCTCGGGAGAAGTTCGCCTGGCCGAGAAGCGTCTTGAACTGATTATCATATCGTTTCAGCTTCCGTGGCCCATCTTGCCTTTTCTCAAACTCCCCATGGTTTGCTGGCGCAGGGAACAGACCGATCTCTGCCGATCGAGCGGTTGCCGAATTCAATCCTTCCTTCTTTCCAGCATGCTTGACCTCCAGAAGAAGCTGTTGCAAGGGGTGTAACCAGCTTTTTGCGGGTTTTGGGCTCTGTACTGCCCTCGTGGTGAATTGGGACTCTCAAGCAAACTATGTAGACTGCATTTCCTCGGGTGTGGCATCTTCACCTTTCCAAACCTCCTTTACCGGCTTGCCTTTGTTGTTAAAATCAGACTGGAAGTAATGGACGAAACCGTTTCAGAATGTCCCCAGGAAACTTAAACTCTTGACTGCGCGCGGTGACATTCCACTGAACTTCATATTTGGGCGTGCGTTCTGAGCAAGAAGGTAATTCGGAAATGATAGCGCAAAAGCGTATGAAGTTAGGAAAGAACCGTGAACCAGAACAACATGTTTGACCTCCACCTGAGGACCTGCTTGATTGCCAGAGAAACTTTGTAAGGGGCTGGCAAGTGCTGTCGGTATTCCAGATTCCTTCAACAAGCACGACGGTCAGCAAGCAAAGATGGGGCGCACGTGCGACTCTTGCTCCTCCAGGCCGTCAGCGAAGTTCTGGGCAATGAAATGCCTCGGTCAAGCTGCGCAAGGGCAGAATACGAATGATTGCAAACAGAGGCAGGATTTGGGTCGCTGGAAACGGCATACGGCAGACTCGGTACACCTACGTCTCCAGTCCTAAGCCTCACACGGGAGGGTCGTCACCACACGTGTGGCAACAAACTGCCCATGGAAACCATGTCCGTCCTGAGCCGGGCTAGAAATGGAAAGATTCGCAAGGCTTACGATGAATATGATCTCAAACAGATCACATCAGGCATGCAAACATGTCGTCATGGCCATCATGGCCCTACAGTCCGGAATTTGCTGCAAGGGCTCAGAACAGCATGCCAAGGTCCAGCCCCCTGCGAAGAAACAAAGTGAGAAGTTGTCCTGCGTGAGCAATCCCAGCAAGGCCAGGGCACAGATTTAGAACTGCCATGCTGCTATTCCGGTGTAGACCCCAGACAATGCAAGACTCCGGCAGCGCCCCAAAAGCACTGCAAGACCCGCCCAAAACGGCCCAAGGGCCCGGCCCAAGGGCCCGGCCCAAGGGCCCATTCAGGACCGTAGGCACTCCAAAACACGAGGAGCATGCGGATGCGTGCGGGACCGAGGCGCAAGGGTCACTGCAACATCGCGACACTCAAATCGCCCCCCAAAAAATGCAGGAATGCATGCACATTTAGCACGTTATTGCCGCGATTTCGTGACACAAAGCCCTTCAAACCTGGAAAAGCGCATGTGATTTGGACGAATATGCACGGGACTTGGAGCAATCGCACTTGGCAACACATTCATACTTTTTGCTAGCCCTCCACTCCCTGGGGTCCAGAGTGGGTAATGATGAACTTGTCGCAGTTCTGCAATCGGACTGCAGGCAAACTGCTGTCCGAAAAAATGAGTCTGAGTGGTTTTTTGTGTGACCCGGCTCGAAAGCCAGAGCTAGAGCTTTGGAAAGCTCCACTGACCAACAAAGACAAACACCAGAGACGCACAGTGCAGCAACATATTTTTGCGCGCGCAAGATCTCTAGAACACTTTGTCCAGAAATATCGGTCAAAATCTCCATCGGTCTGCAGTGAAGGGGCTACATGCGGGGAGCCTGAAATCGGGCCCGAATGTAAATGGACAGCACGTGCTTCGCTCTTTTTGCATGCTTCTGCGGAGGCCTGATTTTGTAAGACACCCGCATTGCCCTTTGCGCATAAGATCACCTGCAAGCAACAGGGACATGCTCGACCCCAGGCGAAGATGAATACGCGAAGCTTAGCCCAACGCAGGGGGCGTCAAACCGGGACACCTGCGCGTGCCCGCTGGTCCATGCCATGCTTTCTCACGTTCCTCTCCGGCCTCAGTTCTCAGAACTGAGACGTGACTCTGCTGAGAGCTGCCGACGTCGAGACCATCTGTCCATCACCCGGCTTGCCATGCACCATACAAAGTGTATGGTGCATCCAGCCTAAGCATCCCAAACTCCAGGCTTCCGCAAAAAGTGCCAGTTTGTCAAATCAACGCTGCACGACAGTGTTGAGGGAGCTGCACTGCTTGAGCTCCTCATCGGTTACAAAGCCGTCAGACCTTCACACACGTCACATGTTCATAGCATTGAGATATGTTGAGATGCTCTGCCAGACTCAGACTCTGCCATGTAACACACTCTCAATTCTGCAAGGCCGCATGCGTCAAGATGGGGAATCCTGAGCTCTTCCGAACGTGTAATACTGTGAAATACTGTGACATACTGTGAAAGACTGTGAAGACCTGAATCAGGAACACAAGCTTCTACGCAAAAGCAAGGAATCACTTTGGTGCGTGCCATTGCTTTGCAATGTCGAGGTGTTGCAAAGCCATCGTTGCTGGATGCCCGCTCTGCTGTCTCAGTCTTCTCCGTGTTTCACCTCTTATGAGCCACTTCTCTTGTCTTCTCTGGGCCGTGATGGACTTTCACTGGGATGTATGTCCAAGTGGCTTGGGCCTGTTGCTGAAGCAAAAACCGTGTGAATAAAAACACTGCGCAGGCACATCGATCGCATGACGATCCTGCAACTTTAGCAAGCTTGCATCTCTCAGAGATTCTGATTTTCTGCTGGACTGAGCAGAATCTAGCAGCCGCAAATGAATCTCGGACATTCTGAGCCAATCAGCAACCTTAGAAAACGAGGTATGTGGGTTGCATGACATGTTCAGAGAGTCTACTTATGGGTAGTTCTCCAAGTTAGCGTCCCATTTTGTGTCCCCTATATAGTACGGCACCTTGTAAGAATGATCCCCAAAAGGGACCCTGATTTAGGGAACTACCCATACGTTTGCATACACTGGGGCAGCGAACATCCTTCTCTCCTGCGCAATTCTGTGAATGATTACAGATCACGTATGTTGCAAATCGAGCAAGAAGTCAGATACCTCGATGCGAACGAAGAATGCGAACCTCAGAATGAAGCTGCCCGCATGAGCTGAGAGCACTTGCCCTTCGAGGTCCTATAGAATGCTGCCAAGACTCTGCTGCCTTGGCAAGCCTCCGTGCTCTCCTCCATTGAACTCAGCTTTTGCCCTCTGCCGTGGCAAAAACAAATTGAATCACTGTGAACTTCGAACTCTAGTCTAGCTCCTCAGCGCATCTGGATCAGACTGCCCCTCATGAAGGTATAGCCTTCGCGTATTCAATGGCCAACCAAGCATGCTTTGCTGGACAGAGCATGGCCGTGGGTGCCGCGCAATGACATCTTGTGGCAAAGCACCGCGAACTCCTTCGACCCATCCAGACCGCGAGCTTTGATATTTTGCCTTGCAGCAGAACTGAGCCAGACGCGTCTTGCTACTAGCGGTTAGTATTGTTCCTGGTGCGCATGAGCAGGATCGTTCTCATTGAAAGCCAATTCTACAAATGGAGCGCGACAGGCATGTAAGGCAACAAGAGCTATACTGAACATCATGCCGTCGAGTCACTGCAACCGCCTGATAGCCGAGTGATTTGATGGCGAACTGACAATTGCATCGGGCGCGGAACGCCTCAGCTGCTGTACAGCTTCCACTCAGTGTAGTAGTAAATACACGTTCAGGTCCGCCGCTGCTGTGCATTGACGATGACATCAACCTGCATGTGTCGTGGTGCAGAGTTGGCCCAACTTCGGCCTAAGTTCTTGCCATCGCAGCTGGTTCTGAGGCGGAGTCCAGCTCCAGCAGCTCGGGCACATTGACTGCATCCTTTCAGGATGCTGGCTTTCCAATGCTTTTCGCGCATGAGGAGGTTTTCAGGTCATGAGGTTCACTTCGCCTTGGCGTCCCGTTGGCGTCCCGTTGGCGTCCCGTTGGCGTCCCGTCACGGGGATGAACATGCTAGGCTGCTAGGCTTAGGTACCAAAGTACCTCAAATCACGTAAGTATAAACCGGTTTAGTGTGTTGAGAGGGGAAGTCTCCAAAACACCAAAGATCCCTTCATCCTTGACCCTCCGTTTTGAATCCGATGGCAAGGGTGGGCCACAGGGGAATGAAACCACCCAGAGCAACCCAGAAGCACTGACTGTTGATGACTGCTGACTGCTGGGATGTTTGTGGATTTGACTGATTTGTAATTCGTGTGGCCTTGCTGGACTCCACCTCCAAGGCTTCATTCAGAAACGGCAGCGCCTCTCCAAAAACACTTCCACACTTCCGCTACTCTCCGGGAAAAAGGACCACCCTCACTTGCCTCCACATGCTGTCCCTGAGCTATTCGGAGGTTTGCCTGGGGTTTAGCGACGCAGACAAAAAGACAGAGAGAGAGAGAGAGACAGTGACAGAGGTTCGCAATGCGATGAGAGAGAGCTCTCTTGCAGGTCGGTGTCATAGCCCGCGACGAGATGACGAGCTTGCTTGCCGTACAGTGGCGACTGCTTGCCTGAACGGACCACACAGCCGCACATTGTTGCTGGCATTGGGGCATGCGGCGCGCCGACAGTCTGCCGCAGCAGATCGTAAGCAGCCGAATAGTGTTCCCCAGCTTGGACATACTCCTGCATGGGGAACATGGAGAAACTCGGGGATGTGCATGGCCTGTCCTGTCCTCGACGATGAAAAAACATTCCGCCAAAGAATCGTGAACCTCAGGCTGGGCTGGTCGTACTTCTGTCGTACTTCTGTCGTACTTCTGTCGTACTTCTGGCAGGACCAATGGAAATTGTCGTTTTCGCTGGGGCTGCTTTCTACCACGCCTTCGCCCGCATTACCAAATCATCTGGCTCTTGTAGGGCTTGCAGCCGCAATGCCTCAGCACATTGGATCGCGCGCAGCACAGGCGCAATAGCACAATGCGGAAAACAAAGGGGCCTCCTCCACAAGAGTTCGAGCCAAGTAGAAGCCCTTCATATCACCATCTCGCCAAGCTCTCCTCACACTGAGTCAGGTGGGTGTGCAGTGGTGGTCTGCATCTGCAAGGCAGAGCGTCTCAAGCTTCAACCTCAGACATGTTGAACCATGCTCAGAGCTCCCAACGCTGCAGCAACTTTTCCAATGTCCCATTTGTCGAACCAATCCAGGTCCCCCTCGCACAAGTCAACACTTCTGCGACATTGTACTTCGTATGATGCTTCAAAATCCTTTTTTCTTGCCTTGGAGACTTTGGAGGTTGAAGCCATCCTGCATCACAGCGACATACTGCTACGATAGCTGCGAGCAGCAGCCGAAGCTGTTGATTGCTTAATTGCTTCAATGCTTTACCAGTTTAGCACATGAGATCTCCACTTCTCCTGCTGAAGTAGAGCGCCGCTTCTTCGACTCTTCCAAGTGCCTTTAGAGCCCAAGCCTCGCACACCAACGGAGCTTTTAACGAAGCTTTCAACGGAGCTTAACGGAATGAAAGACATTGAAAGACATACAGAGAGCCATGGAAACGGTCAGCTTCGTTCTGGGCTTCCGCCGGCCTGATTTCGATAGAGCGTTGTGAAGAACTCGGGCGCCTGCCATGAGCCAGCAACAGAGAAAGATGACTGAGATAACTGGTGTGGCAGCATTCAGCCCAATGCCTCCTGCGCATTGTAGGGGCCTCGGTCGCAACTCTTCATGTGCAACCTGCTACAAGCAAGACAAAGTCTGCGATCACAGCCTGCCAATCTGTGCACGTGTGACACCGGGTGCCAAGCTGTACATCTCCAGGTCATAGAGCATCTCCTCTGGTGCTTTGCTCTCCGACAATCAGACACGTCCACACAGGCGGCTGAGCGGCCAGGGCTTCCAGATGTCGGCTTTGCTTCATGCGCACGGTGGAAACCTGAGGACAGGCCAGCAATCGTTCTTGGCAGCCTTCCGTGTGCTGAACCTTGCTTCGACCCTGGTATACAGATGCATATGATGCAAAAATCACGGCAAGTGTCAAGGAGCTACATGGAGCTACATGGAGCTACATGCAACGAGCCGAGGCCCCGTCGTGGTTGAGCCACTTGACCATCCAGACACCACCACGGGAGGACACAAATGGACCACACTTTGCCAACACGGCATCTGCTTTGTCGAGCTTGTAGTTTTTCATGTAGACACCTACGAGATCCAGTGCATTCCCCAAATTTTGACCATTCTGCAAGCCGCCACCAAAGTTGCCCAAGTCCGTGGCCATGGCAGCCTCTATCTCCACAACCTTTTCTTCATTAAGATCCTCTCCTTCCTGGAACATTTCATCTGTCCAGTTTCGTTTGAGCAAGGCGGCTTTATCTCGAAAAGCCACAGCCAGCTTGTCCCTGACCTCAACTATGGGATGGTCAACTGCCTCGTCCCCCAGCGCTGACACAGCGGACTGCAAGGACTCGAAGAGCTCGGCATCTGCTTCTGAAAGCGCAGTCCAGTTGATGTCAGACTGCACTGACGAAGCTGTCAAAGAGGGTTGTGCTGAAGACTTCCGACGGAGCGGAGCGTAAACGCGCCTGATTCTCCCGACAGTTTGCCGAAGTCCCCAGCGCGGAACGACAAGACCGAAGGCCATCAGCATGCAAAGAATAGTATGAATAACGCTAGAACAATGAAACGCAGGAACTCGTAGCGAGATCGTCGCTCATAAGCCCCACGTCTACTGCATACTATACGTTTTGGCGAAGCACATTGAGTCGTATGCCTGGACACTGTGAGACGTCTGTCGCGATACATCTAGTTCTTGAGGCATGTAAGCCCACTGAACTAGAAGGCAGGATATGGTAGAAAGGAACGTGGGTGGCCGTGCAATGCCGCAAATTGAGCTTGAACTTGTACAAGGTTGTGTCTGCGAAGAAAAACCTGCTTTGGACAAAGGTCCTGCAGAAACCGTTGTCAATATGTAGCTGCCTCATTCCAAGTCTAAACCTGCCGCTTGCTGCTTAGCAGGATTGGCAATCGCCCTTGCAGAACTCGAAACCGGCAAAGCTGGGCAAAGCTGGGCAAAGCTGGGCAAAGCTGGGCAAAGCTGGGCAAAGCTGCGAGACAAGCTCGAACGCGCACCTTATTACTCATCAGACTCGCCGAAGATTGATGCAAACAGCGTTTTTGGCGGGCGCGTCAGCTCACCGTTCGGAGCGACCTGCACGCGATGGACTTCGACGGACAGCCAGCTAGCCGCTCTGTATCCTGAAGTCCAAGCTGCGCTAGCGTGCGGCACGGGATCTGCATCAGCACTGGCACGTCCATGGCCCGCTGGCGAGGCCTTTCAAAAAAAGAACCCGGCATTGAGCACATGCACACACACACACACACACACACTTCCACACGCGCACACACACACACACACACACACCCGCGCGCGCGCGCACCCGCACCCACACCCGCACACGCACACGCACATGCACACGCACACGCAGACGCACACGCAGACGCACACGCAGACGCACACGCCCGTGCACGCGGGGACGCGAGCTCGCACGCACGCTATACAACAGGCAGATGATTAAAATCGCTTGGCCTTGGCAGGATTGGCTTCGTCTTTGGCCTTTACCTGGAAGACGTCCGCTCTCATTGCACGACGGCCAATGCGTTTAGCTTTAGCCTGCCTGCTCGTTGTACTTCTTCTGCTTGGCCTGCACAGTGGCAGGAGCATGATCACCTCAGCTGTCAACTTTGTCAATCTCGATCTGCATCGAGGCATCTTGTAAGCATTATAATTAATTGTAATTAAGCCCTCAGCTGAACCCACTCGGTTTGGGTTCAGGCCTTGGCAGCTGGCTTGAGTTACACTCCGGTGAGACACAGACGTGAAGCTTGAAGTTTTTGAAGTTTAGCACGAAGTTTAGCACCAGGCACTCCCCACCGCCTCGCAAGAAAAGAACTCTCGTTTCAGCCTGCACAAACTTCTGCAGCACGAAGCCTGCATAATAGCTTGTCCGGTGTCCAGGGCACCACTGTCCTGATCGCCACATATCGACACTGGAAGCCGCGGCTCTTAGACCATTTCTGTCAGATCCGCATCTAGCCGCTGAAGCCCAGCTTGCCTCCGCAAGACTGGAGCTGGCTGCGAGGCCTTGTGGCAAGCTTGCATGTCTCTGACAGCACGCTCTCACTCACCCGTTGACTGCAGCTGTCCGCTGAAAACCTTCGGCCTACGACACATTGCCTACAAAAATCCTCAAGCGACTTCTAACTTAGCGCAGTTGATTGGTTTAGGATTGTAGGGCAATGTAGGGTCCGTTGTATTCCTTGTTCGAACAGTCACCACTTTCAGCTGAGACATTCTGAAACCGATATGCCACTATTGCAGGAAGCAGACGAGCATGATGTCCTCGCCTGCTCCTCTGGCCCAGTCTCAAACTCTGCTGAAGGCAAAGGGGCAGGCACCGAGCACACGTTCCAGGAATCCCCGATCACTACCACTACCACTAACACGACCACGACCACTAACACGACCACTAACACGACCACGACCACGACCACGACCACGACCACGACCACGACCACGATGCCGCCGACAACGACGACCATGCCTCATCCTCGTAACTATCTGCCCTTTTGAGGCGCGCACGCAAAACCAAGCTCCAACAGCGAGGATAGTTACGAGGATGGCGAACCCCAGAGGCCTCATCAACTCTCATCAACTAAAGCTCATGCGCAACGCTTCACGGACGCCTCCGAACCCTTCGCGCGAACGTTTCGCACGAATGCTTCGCCAACACAAACGCACGATGTTCGGTCACCTCCTGGAGCCTTCAAACCCCCAACCACGGGGACTCTCCTGGTCTCATCTGCTCATATGCGCTCATGGTTGAACATTTGGAATTGTTCCTCCTGCCTCTACAGGCACGACATGCAAGCGTTCAAGACTGGTGTCAGAATGCTTCATGGAAGGGAGAGCGCACGAAGGAATGCGCATGCGTCGACCATTCGGGTCGAGGAGTGTTGAGAACGGGCTGTATGACGAAACTCGCCACAGCAGGGTCATGGCTAGTGTTGACCACCGTTAACCATGTCCCACCGATCGCCGCTGTCTTTCTGCGACTCCGGTCACTGCCGGTTAGCAGCACAATTGACAATTGGGGCAGGGCTGAGGGAAGGCGGTGTGCCCGTTCATGTGTTTGGCCTCCTCATGCCACGTCGTGTTGATGTTACTGTAGAAGAAAAAGGCTCCAAGTTTTGGCGCCGCGAGTCGAATTCCTTACTTGAAGTTTCGCTGCTGTGTGGGAAGCTCTCCTGTCTCGATCTCTTCTCCTTCCCGCCTTCTCATCCAGGGCCTTCACAATATCTGCCTCTGGATGCTGCTGCCTGAACATGAACAGGACCGAATCACTACTAATGGCTAAGCCAGCGAAGCTGAGGTTGAGCGCCTAAAGGTGCGGTAGACCCGGCCGAACTCGGCAAGCTCTAGGTTGCGTTCCGCCTTGTGTTGGGTAGTGGTGAGCAGTGGTGGACAGTGGTGAGTAGCAGTCGGTCACTCTGCCTGCAAGTCCTTCAAGGCGTCGGAAACTGAAGCCTTGCCCTCCATCGCCAAGCAGAACCTCCCAAAGGCTCCGAAATCACAAGAAAATAGAAGCCAAAGCTTCAATGCCACATTCAGAAGGCACCCACGCGTTCTAACCAATCCACTGCCCCTCTTTGTCGCCAGAACCCGTGCCAAAACAGACAAACAGAATGACAGTGGATCCAAGTAATATCACCTGATGACTGCATACCTTATATGAATATGTTGTGGAGAAGTCGTTCACCCGAGATGGTGTCAACGAACATTTGCGAGACGTGTAGCTCGCAGTGCACTGCATGTGGTTCTGTCGAAAGCTGCCACCAAGACCAGATTGCAAATCAGAACAGCAGACAAGCATTCACACAAATCCACGCACGCACACGCCCACGCACACGCACACGCACACACGCATGCACGCACACAATCGTTTAGGCGCTGGCTTTGCGTAGCGCTGCTGCTTGCCTTGTCATGACACAGAACATGTGCCAACAATGCCTCACACGACCATGTGCTCTCGCTTCGCTTGAGGATTCGCTCTTTGACCATGCACAAGCTGCACAAGCAATGAACACAACCAACTCTCACATGCGTGGGTGCTGTTGAGTCCAGGAACCGGGATCGTTCTTGAAAGGCTCGTGGCGGGCAGCCGCTCCATCCATGTCCTCTCAGTTCTCTGAATCGAGGGATTCCAAGTATCCGAGCATTGAGACCACGGTCCTGCGTCTGCCCCATGACAAAGTGACGACCAAGAGCATTGAGCAAGTTTTGCTTGTGCTGGTCCGGAACCTGCCACCTGGTTCAAGAAGCCTCTCGGCATCTCTAGGCCAGTCACCCAACATGCTGCGACATCCTTTGAGTTAGCGGCAACGGTTCTGCAGAACGCTGCATGCACATCTCGTCTGCCTCGAAGATTCAGCAAAATGCCCATTCGATTTCGCTCTTGTTGCAACGTCTGATCATTCCTTATCCCTGTACAGGGTAGCGCACCATGGATGCATCATGATGTATCAAAGTGCAACAAGCCGAACAGGCAGAACAGCCCAAGGCCAGTGCAAGACTAGGGTCAAAAATGGGTCAAACAGAAGACGGCAAAAAGGCTTTAAATGGAGACTCGTATGCGCGAGTGCGCGGAAAGGATTCGACTTGCAATTCCTGAAGCGTTTCGTCAAAGTCCTTTGAGCTTTGGTTTCTGTTGTGAATGGTTGCTAGGAGTCCCGAATTCACCAGCGCATGATAGAACTGCGTGATCCTACAGCGCGCGTGCCCTGCACCGATTCCAGCATGCCGCGCGCAGGGTACACCTGCAAAGTGCCTCTGCAAAGTTCTTCCTCCAAGGGCACACTGTTTTTGGTAACTGGTAGCAAGCCTGTGCCACCTTACATTGGTTGGTTCTTTCAGGGTTGTGCAGCCGAAAAGCCATCACACTGCGACAGCCATCACCCACAAGCCAGCACAAGCCAGCACAAGCAAGCCAGCACAAGCCCAGCACAAGCCACTACAAGCTACCACGAACCGATGAATTTCAATGGTCGACTTTCGGTTGCCTACTGATGTCTTAGGTCACCCGTCACCCACCTCGGGAACAGGTGGCGGCGTCGACGATGCCCCTTTGTCATCTTCAGACCGTTCCACCTACAAACCACTGCAAAACTATTGCATTCCGATGGACCCTGCACTGAACGCAGCGCACTCAGGTGGACACCTGCATGCGGGATTTCTCGCCCAGAAGCTCGGCGCGATATCGAGGATCCAACAGGCGCTGCTGCCCATGCCTTACGCAACATTGCAGCCTTGCAACACCACCAAAAGGAATCTAGTGTCGGAGACCTCTCGGTGATCTCCTCCGATCCACCAACTTGTCCGGTCATTGATTTAGAAAGGGGCTGAACTGGGCGGAACCGGGGCACCAGCTTCTCTCGAAACTCCAGTAGCTTCCGATGTTCCTCACATCCTTCTTGTGCTTCCTGCACCAGGAGTACTTCCAGATCTTCTTCGTGTCCATGATTGTCCATGCGTGACATCACAAGCTCCTATGTTATCGCACTCTTGCGCCTCAAGCGGCGACACCTCAATGAGGTGGACGCCCTTGTAGCCTCGAGGCCTGAAAGGTACAAACGAAGCCAAGGCATGGCAGCACTCAGCTTCAGCGGCAGCTTGCACCCTTGCACTCAGCATGTTGGCAGCCGGCACAGGTGGCGGATGCCAGTGCCTCAGGTCCTGTGACACCTGGTCAATCCAATCAAGCCAACAAACAGACGGACCAAGACAATTGCTACTGCGCGCTTCACTTCACTCGTCACTACTTCGCTACTTCGTGAGTGCCAGGATTCGCTGTCCTTGTCCGGACCATCGGCTCGGGCGAAACCTGGAATTTCACCAGTCTGAAGCGCCTTTGCAGAGGTCTTGTTTTCATTTGTTTCGCAGATGCTCCGCACATTGCAATGGTAACCGGTAACACCAGAACGCACGGGCAGATGGCCTTTGGTGCAGACCTCAAAGATGTCTTCATGTCAAGATTCGAACGGGGGCGGGTTTGGGTGCAATGTGTCACTGAAACTAAGACAACAGCACCACAGGCCGAATGTCGCTCAGGGCTGCATGGCTGGTCTCCTCCTCCACCTCCTGCACTAGCTATAATCTAGCTACGCTGGAAGAATTTCGTTTATTGTTATGATCTGTTTCGGGCAGTCCGAAGTCTTGCCTGGGAGAATCGCAAAACATGCAAAACTTGCACTCGACTAAACGCCCGAAGGTCTAAGAGAAACTATCCGGACAACTATACACAGGCTGAGGCAGCTTGCATGGCCGTGGTGTGAAAAATTGTGAAGAGGCTCATACATGGCCTCATCCTTCAAGGAAGGATGGTAATGCGCATGCTTGTCAGTCTCGTGATCATAAACCTGGCAGCCAAGCTTGCGAGCACTTGTGAAGCATGGCCATAGCCTTAGGCGAAATGGGCACCTCCTCCCAAGCCTGAGTCACAATGTGTCACAATGTGTCACAATCTCACAGCACAATCACAAAAACGACAAAAACACCAAAACTCTAAAAACTCTCATTGGCTTCCATCTGGGGAGCCAGCATCATACTCGTCTTGATCAAGTACTCCAGTGCCAAATTGCGCATATCCAATGCCCTCAATGCACGGCAGAGATGTAATGTAAGAGCTTGTTTCATCCGCGCATGTACTCACCGGGCCTGCTTTGCCGCCATATTCTTCCCACGTGCGTTCGACATGTACAACCGTCGACTGTTTGGCACACCTAACATGCAGGGAGTTTGAAATCAAGCGTGTACCTGGAACCTACCAATGAGATTCTGTACGTTTGTCTGCTGAATCCTGCTCAAACAGCAATTGAACTATTCTCATTGAACTATTTTCTCTTGCAGCAAGAACACTGTTTGCCGAGCAAAACCTCGAACCCAATGTGTAGCCGATGCCATGAAGGTCGTTCTTGCCTGGCGTGCTGACAAATATGGACAGTTCAAAAGAAAGCATCAGCTAATTCAGCTAATCAGGTCGGCTGTTCTTCGCCACAGCCTTTCCAACTCAGACTCCAGAGCAGAGCTGTCGACTACCACCTGCAGCAGGAAACTTCCATAGCCCATCAGGAAAGACAGCACACATGCTTCGGATGTCAGACAACTCTCGGGGTGCGACATGCGATCCCCGATTCAAAGTAGCAGCCAACCTGCTCTCAACATCTCTCAACGCTTTCATGCTATCGGAGTGGCACAACTGGCACTGGAGCGCGGAGAACCTCCTGCTAGGTTGCTGAGGCCACTCCACTCCTGACCAAAACTTAGCGTGCTTGAAAGGTTGTGGGTACATTGCTGGGATGAGCTCCAGTCCAACATCTTCGGTCGGCTGGACAGGTTTGTAGCCTGATGCATGGACGCACAATCAGCAATTCAAAACTTATGCAATGTCAGCGTCATGCTGTTTAGCCTGCAGGCGGAGGTGCACAGCCATATGACCTGCGTGGCCAACCGACATGATACACAAACGTTTAACCGCTCCGCGTCGCAATGCTGGGCTCGCACACTTCTTGGGCTTTACAGCCGAAGCCGCAGCTGGCTCAGGCGGTGTAGGCGAGGTTTCAGGCGGCGCAAAACTGCTCGCTCGCCTCGGGCAGCTTTTCGTAGTGTCAAGTTGTCAAGGTATCCTTGAGCGACAATCAGTGCTGGCAACCCAGTGGCAGAAGACGTGTTCCCAAACGGTCATCACTTGCGAATAACCTCAGGGCTCGCTTGAAGCCGTCGACTTACACAAACTTGCTGCCAGAGAATTTAACACACACCAGTCCATTCTAAGAAACATCACCCAAGTCTGGGACGTTAAGGTAGAAAAGCAACACATGAATGCAGGCTATACTAGGCTATACCTGAAGGTGGACGCTTCATGCTGTTCGCAATTGACTTTTCGCAATTTGTGAGAGCATGGACGCTGATGCTTTGGGACGCTTTAGGCACTCACTGTTTGCAACAATCTGGAGGAACATGTTGGCTCCGATGCATACTTCTATCAGGCAATGCGAAAAGAAATACAACGAAGAACCCGAAACCTTCACGTGTGGATCACAATGGAGCACAATGCAGCACCTCATAGTGCGACAACAGCTATGTCGGGCAGCTCCGCACAGGAGACCAATCCCCTCCCGAAAAAAACCCTCCTCCACCACAAACTCTAAACTTTGCTGTAAAAATCTCTACTTGGGAGCTGGGCAAACGAAAGCTAGGTTCCCGCAAATGGGCTGCTTGTGTACGTATTTTAGGGTTTGAGTGTCCGGTTTCCAAGGTAACGTCCTCGCACATGCGTCCCGATGGCTATGCAGACACAACAAAAACATTACTGTGATAGAGTAGGCAAATGTCATCATACGTTGAAGGTGGCCGCCTCCCCTAGTCGACAAAACCCCTCCCCTACCGCAAGCAAGGCATTTTCCCCCCAAGGTGAGGGGGAGGGTGGGGGCTCCCCACCCCCCCGCGAGACCTTAAATCTCTGATATATCAGGGACTAAGGCCCAAAACAAGAAGGTTGAAAACAAAATCTCCCGCAAGCTTGAAGGGAGCCAGCTTTCGTGAATTTATTTTGGGAGGGCGAATTTGTAAGCATTCAGCATGTAACCCCTTAACTTGAAACCACGAACCCTCTCGAGACCAAGTGCCAGGCTCTGCTTCTAAATGCCGGGGGAGTCCGGTGGGCAATCCTGCCGAGCCTCGACAGATCGAAATGGCACTCCGGCAAAGGTGGAGCTAGGTTGCTGGTTTTGCGATGGCTGGCATATTGTGCCTTTACAAAACACACGCGGACCATGCGGATTAAACACATCCTGCTGAAAGAACGGTCGCTACACCCACACAATGTGCCCCCTTCACATCCCTCACTGCGCCGGGCAAAACCAAACAATACAGAGGGACCCCCACCCTGCTCGCCTGAGGAGACGATACATGCAAGTAATGGTTTTCCTTGCATTATAGATCACTCGGCCCATCGTATATGAGCCCGTGTGCCCGATCAACCTTTCTGTCTTGTGAGTTGCTGGGGAAGTCATGTCGTTGACTAATGTTCAGTCTGTACGGAGATTCACGCGCCCACCTTCATGCTCCTCAACCCGAAACCGTTTTGGGACACGAGCTCACGGGCCACAACTCAAATGGACCTAGAATAAAGGTCCAATCCATTGACCGACCGCTGACCGACTCTGAAAAGCACGAGACATCTAGAAAACATTTATGAGACCGAAAAAATCATAACCTGAAAAACTACGGCAGCACCAGCACACATGCTTGGTCCGACACCGTTCGGGGACGATCCTTGGGCATTCTCGAACTCACTGCCTTGGTTGACACCGCCCTACTCCCACGAGGCATCCGCAAAAGTCACATCGGCAACCACGTGCAATATTCCAGAGTCATGGCACGTGCCGAGATCGTCTTCCTTGAAGAACGATGGTCACGCAGATCCTGCGTGCACAAGCTGAGACAACATGCGCGTTGAGACGATGTTGACAGGGTCCTCTTCGTCCATAAAGTCTTCCACCTGCAATGCTGCTTCGGCATGACGCTTGGATCGACCTTGACAGAATCAGCATGCGGAGCATTGCTGAGCTGCGCAGCGACCAACCTAGGCCCAAGGGCCCGGCTTGAGCTGAAGGACGCAGGTTCCCAGCCCTCTTTGCTCCCTACCGTGCCTCGACGCTGGGCTCCGTGCTTGTCAACAGGCCAAGTTACGAAAAGCTCTGCAAGCCCATCGAGCCCCAGACCCCAGTAGCCAGCGCTGAAGCCTCCTTCGAAGGCGCCATAGAAAGTCCGCTCGCCGCGGGCCTTCAAAAGTCGTGTGACAAAACGCGAATCCAAGCGCCTTCCTCGAATCCTTCTGGCCTTGGCAACGGTGCCATCTGGACGTTTGACCTCGACGTAGTCCTCCTGTTCTCATGGACAAGAGGAGGCATGAAGAAGTTGCAGCAACGGAAAAAACACCCAAGCAGACCCTTTTGGAGCGCTTGCCCAGGTCATCCAGCTCATCCACGTCATACCTGGCTTAACACCAACAGTCACAAAGAGACACACACACACACACACACCCTCCCGCAGTCCGCAGCCACTACTATGCAAGCGGCTCCGCAGGATTACGGGCCCCTGGTAGAAGACATCAGATGACCCTCACTCAATCAATGTTCCAGGGCACTGGTCTCGTCTCTACCACTCAGTCTTTTGTACACCACCGGTATTACCCGAGAGCTCTGCTTATGTTGAGGTGCTAGCCTGTGAATTGCCTCACAAGCTTTAAGGCAAACGGAAGGTGCCTCCTTGCAGCTGCAGTGGTGGACAGATTCTGTGCAACTTAGTCCAGAACTTTGAGCCATGCCATGTGGGCCATGTTGAGTGGACTCTTCCGACAACAGGTCTGTTTTGTGTGCATTCTGACAGCACCACCGACCTTCATGAAAGATGTTGCGACCTTCATAAACGTCATTCATTGTTGCATGAATTCGCCAAAGCTCCCTCTTTTTGCTTGGACTCTCTTTTTGTAGCTGCTGCTCTTGGGGACATTGCTTCCTTTGCCAGAGCAGAGAGGGTGGGGGCGGTTGGGGTGCGGGGGGCAGGCTGCAAGAGGCCGCAAGAGCTCGAGATTGAACTTCGGGGACATACCCAAGAGCTAAAGGGAGCGATGTGTGAAGCCTTCCATGATGCATACCCCACGGGGGCAATGCATGTGGGATGCATATGTGGTGGATGCATATGTGGGTGGTTTAGGTCCCAGTTGCCTTGTCTGTTCAATGGCGACATGGGAAACATGGACCCGCTGACGATGGACAAAGGGAGCAATGTACCCAACAGGTACGGCTGAAGGAGGGTCTCCATGGTGCACACACCCTCCACTACCATGCCCACATCCGGCACCTTGCAACTGCCTGCCCCAGAAAGGCTTTCGCACCTCGCAGTGTCGCAGCGTGTATGACGAGAGCCATTGAGCAAAGCTGGTTTATTCATGGTTGTTCCACGTTCAAGACATGTAATAATTGGCCTTCGGAGCGGCTGCGACGCATGGAGGCAGTCTACGCATTGCTAGTCAAGCACGCTTCCCGTCTTGGTATGCTCACGCTGTGACAAGGATGGCTTAGAAGATACCTCGCAAAAGGTGATGACAATACACCTAACACTATCAACAACACGACATGAAACCAGCCCCAACATTCATGCAAGGTACAATGCCATGAGTCCCAAGGCAAGCTGCAAGTGTCCAGAAGACTACCGCCATGAAAAAAGCCCACACCTAAACGTGGGTTCACTCTACTTGAACCCCAACACTTGAGCATGCAAAAAAATGCGGAAGCCTGCGTCTGGAGTAATCGCAACCTTCGAAAAACGAAGGCCCGGCCAAGCTCCATCAGAAATTGCAGCCTATACTAGCCCTCCGACTCAGCTCTTTCGGTCTTTTGGCGGTGCGATGTGATGTGAGACAGATGCTTGGCTAGCCACAGGCGAAAAGGAGACTACACACAACACCTTTACCTCTCTTTTCGCCAGCCAACTACCCAAAGCTGGAAGTGCCGAGCTCACCACTCCGTGACCTCAGGCCAGCCGAACATACTCTCGAACTGCTCAAAGTGCTGACTCTGCTGTAATAGTGATATGCTCTACATGGCTCTACAAAGGCCTACTAAGAGGTTTGCAACATGAGGTGTCTTTGTTCTTTACATTTCGGTCGGCGGGGCCGTCCATCCACCAGATCCGCTTCCGACTTGGACGCTGCCCGGAGCCGGTGCGGAGGGCATCGAGGGCATCCTCTTTGGAGCAGCGTCCTCCAACAAAAGAACACTTTGAAAAAACAGCACTACTCTTATGCACTCCTCTGAAGACAACAGCTTGATCCCACTTCAACTGCATGGCAACATGCAGGATGAGCCGATCTTATCACAGTCCTTTCAGTTATCTATTGAGGTCGGAAGCAACTCCCATTCGTTGTAGGGCGTATCTGGCAGCATTAGGTGTCCTTCTTCTTCGGTTGTTTGCCCTTCCTTTTCTGGCTCCTTGCAGGCAGAACAGCGCTGGCGCTCATCATCCGCCACGAACCCAGGCCAGGCGATTCAGAAACAGAGCCGCTTCTCCCTTGTTTGGCCTCCTCCCTGTCCACCGACATTCACCAAAGCATCGGACATCCCATGTCTTCATGGCCATGTTTTGGCGTTTGGTGGCTGACACACCTGACCCTTCCCTCGGCAGGGTCACGGCATGCCGCTGGACAGATCATGAAGCCTCCTGATGAATGGCTGACAAACCCTGACCCTGAACGACCCTGTTGCATTTTGCAGCGCCCCTCAATATCGGAAGCCAAACAAGATCCATGCAAAGACAAGTTCAACAACCGAACCACGACACTCCCAACTCCACACGCCCGAACCCTAACGACTGTATCAGCACATTCGTAACCTTTGAACAGGAAGACAAGCAAGGCACCAAAAACGACGGCAGTTACGAGACGCTCGATGCGCATAACTATAACTTTTTGCACTTTTGACACGCAAGGAAGACCAAGTGCACAGTTACAAGTGCCACCCCGACATGCCCGATCCCTGACAATTGATTGATGACACTGTTGATACAAAAAAGTGGTGCCGAAGGATGCCATGGCTTAAGGCCAAAGCCCCAAGCAGGATCAGAAGCGGATCCTTCGTCAGACAGTTTGGGTGAGAACTTTTTTGCTCTAGTGAGAAGCAAAACGAGCAAACAATCGTTTTCCCTTAACAGTACCAGCAACACGTACAATAACTATAAGCACAACTACTGAATAGCAACTCCATGATATATGTTGTGCCGGAGTCCCAAAATGACCCCAAACAGTGCAGGACCCCTTCAAAAGCGTTCGAAGAGTACTATTCCAAGAGATGACCCACAAGCACTCCAAGATAACCCCGAACAAGTAATCCAAGATCTAAAGTATCTAAAGGCGCTCTACGGCCCAAGACCGCTTTAACAGCACTCTGCCCAAAAGCGAAGACAGTTTTTTGGCACTTCACGAGGAGCATGCGGAAGGAAGGTAAGAGAGACTCAAGAGCACCATCTTTGCAACACAACACGACAAACGCCAACTCCCTTCTTAGAAAATTTCGCACGAAACCAAAACCCATCTCACGAGCCCTGACAATGCAGAGAAAAGTGCATCCTTCTGCCACGCTTGCACGACAGGGCAATATTACGAGACCGGAGCACAGTTTGGACGACAGTTTGGACGACGGATGTTGCGATGCTGTGGACATGAGCGCGCGGCCTAGGCAATAGCGACGCACAAAGAAACACTGAAAAGGTCATCGTCCGTGAGTTGAGATGTGCACGACACCTAGGCGAGAGATGGAAGGGCGTCCGGGACCACAGGAAGGCATGCGCCGGCCGCCATCAAGCTTACATAGGGCCAGCCAGATGTAATTTGAAATAAGTACAAGGAATGGTCCGGAAAAATCATCGTCATAGTGGCTATGATAGGCAGGGACAGGACCACAAGTCTATCTTGACCTTGCCGCTGAAGAGTGTTGCGTATTTGCAGATGCTCTGCGATTCCGTCGCTCCGAAGACAAGTCGTGACTACCCCCCTCAAACAAATCAATCATACTACAAATTCGCAATATAACAAGCGCACCTGCTCCGGCTTCTTCTTTCCAAGGCTGCACGTCTTCTTCGGATGCTGCTGCTGTCCGTGCTGCATTCCTCGTTTTTGAGGTGACACCGTGCTTTGCGTGTTATGACCTTCATGTGCCCTTTGTATCCCCGAGCTTTTGGCGCTGCGGGGCGCACTCCGACTCCGCGGCCTGAAAAGAGTAGAAGACTAGAGCAAGGATAAAATTCTGCAGAATAGGGCAAAGAATTCAAAGTTAAAGGATGTTCTGTTTACGTTCTGCTTGCTGACGTGCCTCTCTTCAGGACTGCGCTCATCCGTATCAGAGTTACCAACATACTTTTCGTCGGCACCTTGCGTCCGCTCCATATGCACAAGCGCAGCGGGGTAAAGAAGCCAAGCACCACTGCATACGAGCAGCTCTTTTTCTTTCCGCCATCCATTAGTGTCTTTGCCAACTTGCACAGTGTAGCCGAGGGCTGGTGCGACATCCTGAGATCACATGTTGTACCGACAGAGGCTATGTACTATGACTGGAGTGACTACAATGGAAGGAGTACAGAAAGTGCCATTTTGGAACTCGACGTAAGCCCAAAAAAAGGCAGGACAACTCTGCGACGTGCATGGGAACACTCGTGGTCGGGGTTTATGTGGCCACAGTAGAACAACCAGCGGTTTCTGCTTCTCTAGTTGCCTTAGAAAAACCATTCTAGCCGCCTCCTTAAACAAGAAACAGCGGTTCCCTAGCCAGCCCCCTTAAAAACTCACAGGTTCTTTGCCACCTTAGACCAACCACCATACAAAAACCGCCGAATTCTCAGCAACCACCTTGGACGAACCACAAAAGAGAAGAACCAGGCCGCCACGATAGAAAACCGGCGCTTTTCTAGACGTCTAAAAAGCCAACAGTTTTTTTTGCAGCCCTAGAAAGCACCCTAGAAAACCACCGGGTTTCTTAGCCAGGCATTTAAACACCACCTTGGAAAACCATGGTGTTTGTAGAAGGCTTCGAGAAGAAAACACATTCAAAACCAGAGGATTTGTAGCTGCTGTAGATGGACCGCTTTAGTAATAAAAAGAGCTTAGATAAACCACCTCATTAGAAACCTCTTGAAAGCATTTTATAGTTCAGTATCTTGGCAATCCACCTTAAACGAAAACGGAGAACCTACAGTATGAAACAGTATGACACACTCGCAACTTCGGAATGGGTCAGTTTTCAAACAAATTGTTACTTTCGTCACTTTCTTATGTTCAAAGTGACCACGGTCCCGTCCGAGAAAAAGAGAGAGTGAGCACATATGGCAGGCAGAGCTTCAAAAGAGTCTTTTCAAGGTGCGCCATAACCTCATCAACATCATCTGCTCGCTTCTCAGCGATTTCACGTAACTTCGACTTGGCATCCTGCGAGACACATGGAGGAACATCTGCACACATGTGCATGTGCTCTATCTCGGGAGAGATAGCGTCATGTCCTTGTCCAGTTTAAACCTGCCAACTGTGTATGCCATGCAGCACACCAAGCGCACTGTGCTGGTGTCGTGGCCTCTGTGCCAGAGCTTTCGCCGAAGTCACGTCCTTGCTGCTGTCTCATGCCAGATGCGCACTTGCAGTGAGAGCAATACTTGGGTCCCAGCTGGTATTTGCTTCAACTCTCCTGGCGTGGCGGGTGGCCCAATGAACTAGGAACGAACAGAACTTGAAACCGTCCTTCAAGCAGCTTGCCAATCAGGAGCGTTGCTGTCGCAGAGGGTCTGCCGATCGTACATGTTGCTTGCGTGACCAAGCTTCCCAAGATCGACCACAGGCTCTGGCTTGAAACAAAGCTGAACAATGATTAACAAAGGCCATCAAAGGCCTACTTTTCTCTTTTGGGGGGTAGGTGGAAAGCCATAGCCTTGCATGGCTCGCATGGCTCTAGGGGTGATTTCGCAGCCGAGAGCCCTTTAAAAAGTCCCTAGATGAAGCCATAGGTCCATTGAGCGGAGCCGAGGTGAGGTGCTTGCACACTAGCATTCATCACATTGTGCGCCACACATCGCCACACATCAATGCAATGAAGTCTGCATGACACACCCTTGCTCCTTAGGATGTTCTGTCAAATTCCCACGTGTTTTGGGCCATGTTTGGTCCCTGCTAGTGAATAGCGTTCGAGACAGCAGCCATTACCCATCACACACACACACACAGACCGCAGCAACTAGCATGTGAAACATTTTGCGAGAAAAAGCTGCCAAAAAAACCACAAACTACATGCCACTGAGCATGAAGAGAAGAGTATCCTATATCTAGGTCTATATCAAGGAACGAGGGCATATTCGCCTCGGCTTCTGGCCGAGAGGCGTCTAGAACAAGCAGACCAGGATCTGGTCCCCTTCCCCGTAAACCCAACCCCGCCCCTTCCCCCACCTCCCAAGTCCGTTGGAGCCTGGGACCCCAGGAGCCCCTGCAACATCCCATTTCTGGGACGTCCAATACGGGAATGGAGATTCTCCGGCTGCGCCCCGCATTGGGCCGGCCCGGCTGCCGAGGCGGCGCGCGCAAGCGTCTACAACTATGCCGTGTACCCTATAATACACCCCGTCTTGACCGCAGGATGCTGCACGACAACGTCTAGCCACTCTTTGCCGTTTCCGCTACGAGAACACAAAATGCAACCACGCGCTGTGGGGCTCTCGTTACTGTCACAGTCGCTTCAACTCGACGTATGTCCAACAGATTCCAACAGCAGCATGCACGAGGTATATCCAGCATATTCACATCGTCGACCTACTGGCCTCTTGCAAAGGCTGAGGTGCTGCTCGAGTCGATTGAAATCCTCTTGTTGAGTTCTCTTTCGACGCACCCTGAGGCAGGAGCTGCCATGTGATGAGCTGCAAGGCACTCTGTCACTCTACTGGACCCTACTCTCCGTGCCTCAGCTCTGTAAGTCTGGAAACTACACGCGTGTCCTTGGCCAACACTGCACGTTAAATCAGCTCTGCCAAAGTCAGCCGAGCACCAGACCAAGTTGTACCTGGTGGCCAAACGCTCAATGTTTCGATCTGGCTTGACCTTCCAGATCTGCTTTGAATAGAAAAATTCGAAAAGCATCTCAAGACTCGAGGTTGGATTGCATTGGCCTTGCCAACAAATTGCCCACACTCCATTTCACCGAGCTTGGCGACCAGAAGCCCTCGCAATCTCGCAATCTCCGCGAACGATGTACAGAATATTCTGAATTCGATGCGCCTGTGGGGCTTCGAGCTTGCTCTAAGACTTCATAAAGCTTGGCCAGATCCTTCCCAGAAAAATCTGGCATGTTCACATGTCACGACATATCTATTTGATCCAAGATGGTGAAAGCTCATCGTGTCCTGCTCTTTGGTCTCTCTGCGCCTTCCTGAGCACCATGGAGACTCGGGCATAGAGTGCAAAATTGGCTGAAGCCCACACACCAATTTCAGCTCTTCACAACGATGCCAGGGTACTCATCAGCTCATCGAGCCGCACAAGCCATCGGTCTTCAATGTTGAAGTGGTCTCCTAACTTTCCTTAGACCACACCGTGGAATACCGTGAACGTGCACGAGGCGGAAGTGACCTCACGATGATGACAGTGCGACTGTGCGATCAGGAGGCTGACATCTGCGTCCATATCCCAAGGCTTGTCTTCTCTTTTGCTGGGAGGCTCTGGCTCGGATCCTTGGGGCGCTCGAGGCGCTGAAAACGAAAGGAACCCGCCCCGCCTTTAAGCTGTAGTTACGCCGCGAATACGCTTTGCTTACGCTGCGCTCACGCTGCGCTCACGCAGCAGTGCTGTCACAGCCCCTAATGCATGTGGCTAGGGACTCTGGGGTGAAGAGCTGGATCTGTTTGTAGGCGAGCCCTGTGCAGCCGCCATCGCACCAGCCATCATCATCATCCTTTCTTGAGATTCTTGAGCGCCACAAAAGCATGGGCTGAGTTGGGCCAGAAAGGCCTTGAACTGCCACTACTGACACTACTGCAACCTGCTGCAACCATTTAAGATACCTTCCAGCAGGAATGGACTGCTGGCGAGGCACATGGGATTTGGCATCATGGGCATGCCTGAGCTCTTTGGACATCTCTGCATATGATGAGAACAATCTGGCTGTGCCGTGTTGGCAGTTTTGGCATTTGGCCACCCCTGCTCGGCCAACACTGCAGCAAAGTCACCCATCATTGGCATGCCCATTCCGCCCATTCCCATTCCCATCATTGGCATGCTCATGGGCCCCATCCCCATACCTGCGCGGACAGCTTTCAAAACACTTTCTAACACACTGTCAAAGGCTTTCAAAGGCATACTAGAGTTACTACGGTTTGCTGGCCTGGCTTGTGTTGCCCACTCTATGGATGCTTACCAATTCAGTGTTCATTTCGCACATTACTGCAATGCCGAAGAAGCCGGACGAGGCGAGGTCAATAGGGATCCCTCTAAGATTAAGATTGACCTGGCCTAGCTGTAGTCACAGCTCGAGCCATTGTTGATTCCATTGTCAACTTTCACGGCATGTGAAAAGCGTTTCGAAGACTGAGCCTTGAAACTTGGACTCAGGCAGCCGGCACGCGCAGCGTCAATCACGGAATTGTTGCTCTAATCACATCTCGCAACGGTTTGCTCAATACCAAAGGGCTCCAAATCCGGGATCAGGACAAAGTTCAAACAAATGTTCAAACAAATGCTGCTGGTTTCTCGTGACTCGTTCAGCAGCTTCCAGCTTTCGCAGTGCTCTCGGCTCTCGGTTCCAGCTCAGCTCCATTTTAAGAGCTGCTTGCCACCATTGCGTCCATTCTTAGGGTTCAAGTCGCATGGCACAGAGGACCTTAGAGCTGGGTTTGTGCATGTCCATGGAGGTGCTCTCTCTGGGCCTGGTTTCGGCCGCCTGGGGCCTTTATGCATGCATCCTTGCGGACAGTTCCGAAGCAACCACTTGAGAACCGACTACGTAAAAGAAACGGAAACTTACAACTTGTAGCCTGGCGCGCCTGCCTATGGGCTCGCCTTTGAGCGTTAACGGTCTCACGAGGACCGGAAGGGAATCTGTGCAGCCACCGGGTTCTGTACAACTGTATACCCCTGTTTGAGAACTTGCCGATACTTCGGACCGGTGAAGAGCCGGAAAAAACTTTCAGAGCCGAATTTTTTCTGACAAACCTCTCCAAAATGGGGATACTGGGGCCGCACAGTGCGGGCACCTTGGAGCCTTTAGGGCTGTGGCATGTGGCTTGCACCCAAATGCACCGAAGTGTGTCCGTTTCTTGTTCCTGCCTGAGCTTTGCATTGTGGGATGGCTTCCGACTTTCCGCAACTCTTGATTTCATTCTTCTCGTAATCAACGCACCGACCCGTAGGGCAGTCGCTGCTGCCGGGCCAACGTTAGTCCAACTACAGGAGGAGTTGCTCGATTTGCAGCCGACTATCACCTTGCTTTCTCAAACGACTCGTGTACGCTGGGCTGCGGCATGCTGCGGCCCTGCCTCCTGACGCCATGGAAGCACAGGGCATGCCTGCAGCAGCTCAACAGCAACAAGGAGGTGGAGCGATCCTCCTGAAACCCTCCGCAGATGTGTCATCGTCCGGCAAGAGACAGAGATAGGGAGGAAAAGGGAAGGAGAGACAGACAGGGACAGAGACACAGAGAGAGATGATGTGTATATATACATATATGTACATATTTATATATATATATACATATGCATGTATAGGGGATATTTGTCCGAACAGACATGAACAGACACAGCAAAGCCGCTAGCAGCAGAGGAGCAGGAGCGACGCAGAGGTGGGCCAAGCCCCTGGGAATTTGACCTGCCTTGGCCGGCACCGCCCGCACTCGGGCCTTCCATTGGATCCTTGCACGACGTCAAAACGTGCGACTTTGGCTTTTGCAGCTTTGCTGACACTGACAAACGTCTCACTCGTTGCATGCCAAGATGCTGAGCACTAAAAATGCATGGTCAGCATGGTGAATCGACAAACGTGGCAAGAAATTGCATGTGAAGATACATCCTGCTAGCACACACTTTTATTTCAAATACTTTGGGCATGTGGTTGGTGCTGGAGGAAGCTAACTGGCTTGTGGGGCTACTCCGAGACATGTGTGAGTTCTGAAGCCAACGATGGCTGCTGCACGACATCCACAGGGCATGATGATTGTGAACCCCGGCCACAAACCACAAGTAGCTTCTGCTCGACGGCTGTGCACACTCAATCTGCACCAATCTGCCACTGATGTCGGTTGAACAGCTCACACATCCATCAAAGCTAGCCAGGCTTTCAAATCTGCACAGTGTGTGCATGCTGCTGTCCTCTTCATTGCAGGATTAGCTTGTCTCTCCACGTGGCACAGCATTCGAGTATCACATATTAAGGACCAAGCCCGTGTCCCGCAGCCAGGTCCACACTCGAAAAGGCCAATTCATTACCTACAATTGACACAATTCTGTCTGAACCCAACGGGCACAGCTTGGCATTTAAAAAGGGTTTCCGGCGGGCCTAACATTTAAGGCTTTCAGCTTGGCATCTAGAAGGCTTCGACACGGCCGACCCTGAACGCTAAATCCTCAAAACTCTAAACATTGAAAACCTTAAATCCTAAACAACCCTAAGCCCTACAAACCCTAAAAACCCATAACCTCTTAACACTAACCCCTGAAACCCTCGACACTCAAAACCCTAAACCTAAAAAACGAAAGCCCCAAACAGCAATAAAAACCCTAAAATTCCAAACAACCCCTAAACACCCTAAACCCCAAAAATCCAAACCCTGAAAACCCTAAACCCGCAAAAACCTTACTCTCCAAGACTCTAAACCCTAAACACCCTAAACCCTAAACAACCCTAAACCTTAAAAGCTCTGAGCCCAACAGCCCTGACCCTATAAACCCGACACCCTAAACATCTTTAAACCCTAAAAACCGAAACCCTCAAAACCCTAACCCTATAAAGCATGAACCCTGAAAACGCTAACCCGAAGAAACAAAAGCCGAAAACCCTGAAAATCCAAAAATCAATGAAATCCACAACCCTGAAAAAAACTAGACCTGAAAAAACCCAAGACCCTGAAAACCCTAAACCCTCAAAACCTTAATCTCCAAGAATTTTCAACCCTAAGCAACCTAAACCAAAAAAACAAAACCTGAACAACTCTGAGCCCTAAACACCCTAACCCTATAACCCTAAATTTAAACCCTAAAAACTCTAAACCCTCACAACACCCAATCCCTCAAGACCCCAAACTCTGAAAACAAAAACTAAACCTTCAGAACTCTGAGCCCTAAATAACCCTAACCCTATAAACCCTGAACCCTAAAAATCTAAACCCGAAAAACTCTAAACCCACAAAAAATGAAACCCTACGCGCCTAGACCCTGAAAACCCTAAACCCTAGAAACATAAATCCTTAAAAGCCTGACCCCGAACTGAAAACCAAAAACCCTGAAAGCAGCAAAAACCCTTAAAACCCTAAACACCCTATCCAGAAGCTACAACCCCTAAAGACCTAAAGCCTAAAAACCCTGAAGCCCAAAATCCCGAAAACCCTCAGGCCTCAAAACATTTATCTGCAAAAATTCTCTAAACCCAAAGCACCCTAAACCCGAAAAACACACACTAAACATTAACACTCTGACCCCTAGACAACCTAACCCTATCAACCCTGAACCCTAAAAACTCTAAACCCCAAACATCTCTAAGCACCAGAAAATTACACCCTAAAAACCTGAAGCCTCAACAAATCTGAACGCTAAAAACCCAGGTTCAAAACCCTGCACCAGCCTGTTGTCATATTCGGCCTGGTTCTTCTGACTCTGCTCTGTCCATTTCCCGATTTTTTCCCGATTTCTGACTCGGGTTTCCGAATCGCGGGACTCGGATCGTTTGTTTCTGGTACGGCCCGCACTCAACAGAAATGCCGACAGGAGGGTGGGCATGTGGCATCGACTGATACATATACACGGCACATATACGACATAAAGCACAGGTACATACGCAGAAAGTGTATGTAGATGACTAGACATACACCTACGCTCAATGCAAGTGCAGCAGTGCAACTCTGAGCGCGGGTACTCGGCATTTTGTGTCGCAATGTTCGCAACGTCGGTGGCTGCAGCAGACATCCGAATGACTAACACATGGTTTCACGTGCGGGGTGAAACTTGTCTATCCTTGCAAAGCAGCACTCAAATGTGACCTCACTGGATGAAGACAGTCTAGGTGGTGTACAGAAGCGCTGTTGATGTTCGTGTTAACTGCAGTTAGTTAGCCCACTGGGATCATGACAATTTGGCACTCTTGGAAGTGTGACCTGGAGCAAAGCTACAAGCAAAGATGAACCCTGTGCGAATGTCAGGCTAGGGAAAACACAGGTTGTGAAGAAGGGTGACTACAAAAAGGTTGTTCCCTCAGTCGAAGGGGAGGTGGTTATGGGTAGCCCTTGAAATGTCAAGAGACGAGAGAGCCCATCTATGCCCCTCGTTATCCGGAGCCCTCTAGCATTGCCCACATGGCCCCTGCCCCGAGCCGTCCTCTCGATCCTGACCACAATTCCTTCACGCCACTTCACGCAACACTCACGCCAGTAGCTTTCGCAGCCCCTTCTCAAGTTTAACGATCGTTCACGTCGTAAAAGTATGGGTCCTGCCTTCTGGCATGGTGACATCAGATCACAAAATCTTGCCTGTAGCTCCTTTGAGAATTCTGGTAATACAGCAAGTATTTGTACTTGTGGGTGGCACAATGTGGCATGTGGCACATGAAAAAGCACTTGTGGGGAAGGATAATCGCCACTTAGCGAAGTGGGTGGCCAGCATCATTGAAGGGCTCTTGGACTTCTTAGGTCGGAGGACAGAACCCCCGGCGTGTCGCAATGTACAAACTCTCGTACGTCGCCGGCCCACTTCCTACGTGTTCACCTATGTAGAATTGCAATCAACATGAAACCAAAGTTGTTTTCTCAACAGCAGTTGCCACGAAGCCCGGAGGAGCTAGCTCTTGTGGCAAGAACCAAGCAGCTACAATTGAACATCGGCATATCACGGGGTGCACTAGCTCAGTGTCGATGCCTCCATCTTGACGACCCGGAGTTACCTGTTCCGTGGACAGCTGGTACGAGCGGTACCTGTGTTTGACAACGAATGAAAGGGGCACAAGAGACCGAGATGCTTCCCAAGTCTGAGTTCGGCGCTTCAGGTTGTCGACCTTGTTCGATGTTCGTGAGATGGTGTAGCGGCCCTCTATTTAGGTTGCTAAGATAGAAGCATACAGAAGCCCAGTTCCAGCCTCTAAAAGCCAGCGTCAAGCAATGGGAACACACCTTCCGACGATCTTTGCCTTTGCCTCAAGGCTTCCTTTCGCTTTTTCATTGGCCTTTGCTTATTCTCAACACCTTCCCAGTTCCATCTCTGCCCCAACAAGCGCCAAACATGGTCATATTGTGAGTGGAAGAGAATGGGAAGTGCTGCTTGCGTGCGGGCTTTGGCACGGCAGCTCATGCGAGCTGCATCGGCACGTGCATGTTGGCATGACAATCCAGTGGAAGGACCTCCCCTTTTAGGCCTAAGCTGGAAACATCTGGGCTTTGGGTCACGGTGTTTCGTCAGTCATTGTTCTGCGACGAGACGATGCCGACTGAACAGTTTGCCCTGGCTGTCGCAAGAGCGATTCACAGACACCACCGAAAAGCACCGAAAGTGCGGAGATGGGGCTCATCGCAAGAATCCCGCGTCCTAGTGGTCCCGCCCGCTTCTCTCACCACAGATACTCCAGAGACATGAACAGTCACAGTACGAGTACCACGTTTGCGCCTACAATTTTCCAAGACATGGGTCGGTTGGGCATTGTGTCCCGGAAACCTTGAATCCAAACCTTCGCTAAGCCCACCGTAGACATGCTTAAGCCCACCAGGCTATTTCGACTCATGAAGCCTTAGGTCGTTCAACTTCGCATCATGTCACCTCCTTGCAAAGCTGCCGTAAAAGTTGAAATAAACGTTCACTAAGCTTCGAAATCCCGAGCTGAACATGAAAAGTGCGAAAGCGAGGCTGCGGCCGTCCCTGCAATTGCTCCACGCACGCGGAGATTTGCTGACTCAAGGGATGCCTTGGACAAATCTTAAGCGCATGGGACTGCCAAAAGGCACTCTCAAAGACACTCAAAACTCCTCGACGCCTTCTTCACTTCTTTGACTCTTCTTTTCTTGCGCAATTGCGGAAGCTAAGCTTCCAGCTCTTCGCCAAGTTCTTGTAGACAGCTGTCGTGGGCCTGCAGTCTGCAGCAAAGTGAACCATGCGGGCTCTGGCAGGTGAAGCCGGTGAAGCATTGTAGCGCTTCACCCTCTTTGTCTGCAAGGTCACGTGCCGAAGGAGCCAAACTCGCCGCCAAGCTTGCGAGAAAAAACTAACCTGGACCAAACCTACATTACGGTGGTAATATTTTGTGCTAACCCAAGAACAGTCAAACAGCCAGCGGAGAGGACACAAGAACTCATGAGGGGTTTCCAGCGTTGCAAATGGCACGGTTGCATGCAGGCCCACGCCCGTGCCCGCAAGTGTTTCGTTTATACCTATGCCACAAATCAAGTCCCCTTTCTAAAGGATGTCAGATCGCCTGCGTAGCTTCGCTTTGCGTCCCGTTTTGGAAATGGGGAAGATTTGCTTTGCGAAGCTTTTTGTACTCGCAAAGCTACACGTATTTTCATGACATGGGGAAAGATTGGTGGTGCACGTTTTGGCCTTGTCGAAAGAGCCCATTTCAATCCGGACGGCCTCATTGACGGGGTTGAACAAAGGCGGAAGGCCAGGGATGGAAGCTTGAAGCCTCCTAAGCCTGCAAAAGACGTGCGAGAGCACCCCAGGAAATCCAAGGGCCCAAGGGGGCCCTAATCGCCAAGGCGCAGGGTAAACCCTGCAAGCAATGCTGTGGCCTTTTTAGGGACCCAAACATGGCTGAGAAAGCTCGGGCAGGCGCAAAAGTAAAGAAAGAGTCTTGTGAACCTCCCAGCAGGGCCTCGCAGGCCGTAAGGCCCAAGCCTCATGTTGAGCCTCAAGCTTCCTACTGGCCAGGTCGTTCGCTTGCGTGGCAGGAAGTTCAAACGGCAGGTGTGAAGGCACATGGTCTGCATGCCAAACTATGAGCTTGTCGTTTCGAATTGACGGAGCTTGGAGCTCCGAAACTGTGCCTTCTTCAAGTCAACAACATGATGCCGGAGCTGCCGCCAGGGCTGGTGAAGCGATGGCATCAAAGAGTGGTGCGGTTTGGTGCCTTATCACTCGACCTATGGGTAGCGTCAGCATCAGCATAAGAACTGGAAAGACGTTGATGACGTCAGCGCCTCGCTGGACCGCTGGAGGGGGGAAGATGTAACTTATGCCAAACCTGCTGCGTCACACGGTCTGGTCGGTGCGGTTGACAATCCTATGCTTTGGTTGCAAAAGGATGCTACAAGCAAAGCACTGCAACATGCAATTTGGTCGCGTTCCTGATGCTGTTCTGCGCCCTGCGTTGAATGCACCTTGTCTTCTGCCAAGAGCAGAAACGACGAAAACAATGCTGGGATCTCTCCTGGAATGAGTCGCCATCTGACTCAAATTTCAATCCTTGATTCCTTTTCGGATTCTTGTGGTAATGGCTCGCTCCGCTCGGCACTGCGTTGATGTGTGGGGACTTGGTTGTTGAGCACGGCAGATCAGGCTCCTCAGCCTTGGCTAAAGCATCAGGTACCCAGATCGCTGAGCATGTCAAACAAAGCCCACCAGGAGGAGTAGCGCTCTGGGCGGATGCCTGGACAGAAGCCCACCAAAAGGCGGATGACGGCCCTGCCTCCACCACTTGGGAAGAATGACTTGATTCTTTTCGGCCAGACCCAGATGATGGATCTGCCAGTTGAGTTGAACACTGGAGCTTGAGTGTTAGAGTTGTTGCTTTGGGAAAGCAGTTTGATGGGTCGTCAGCGAATAAGGTGACGATGGGACAGTATCGGATGAAAGAAGCACCGACTTTCCTGGGCTACTGTCCTTTAGGAGATGCGCCGGAGATGCGTCTGCCTGCTGCTAGGAAAACTTGCCCATCGCAAGAATCGTTGACAGGTTCAAACAACATGGTTCCCAGACGGAAGACCCCACGGCTCCCGAAATTCGGAATCCAGCTCTCATGCTGTGAGCCCTGTCAGGTCTGCAGTTGACACTGAGGATGTCGAAAAAAACAACCCGGAGTCCAAGACCCAACAATTCTGCAGATGCTGAATCTGTTGCTCTGAACCCTACATTTGCACATCTTCTGGTAGTGTGCTACGATTTCACTGCGGTGGCTTCCGGTTGGCACACCGCCTGCTGCTGCCACCACAGGCTCCAATAATATCTCAAGTAAGCGTGCGAACGAATGTTACAGGTGAACGCAGTACTGATAGCAGCGACCGTGAAGAGAGCGCCCAAGGAAGGTTATATCACTCGTTGTGTCATTCAAATGGGTTTCATAAGTTCGCTCACTCCGTTCACTTCTTCTAAGCCCACTGTTGAGTGACTCACTCTCTCTCTTCACGCGATATTACCACGAGTGAATGAAGGGTCTTGTCATAGAAACCGTACAATCTTCAGCCTTTCTGCGTGACAGGAACTCTCAGGCAGACTGATAAGCAAAAACCAAGTACAGCAAGGGTCATGAATACAGCGTCTTCCCTTGTTCAGGACGTGACTCTCTGGTAGTGCCAGAGCGCTTCCGCAGGCTTCTTTAAATGCTCGTACTCTGCACCCATGTTGAAATAGGCGACACCTCAAAAGTCTCTCTTTGTAACGTGGCAGAAGCATAGCAACATGGCAGCATTCGACGGAAGCTTCTCAGGCTCACGCAAATCAAGCTCTCGCTATTTGTGCTCCCGGCAACTGGCGGAAGACCTCGTCTGCGGGCAAGTGCAAAGAGCTGCAGCATCAAGGTCCTGGGAGGGCGGACTGCCACCCTCCGGCGGCGGGGACCTTGGACGAGGGCAACGTCTTCCCAATCGGTCGAAACTTCCAATGCGTTTTCAAGCAGCCCTGCATTTTCATGAGTTCGTTTCGGCCATTGTGGGTGCTTGCTGTTCGTCGTATTGGGGACAGGGAAGTTGTGACTCCAGTTTAAGCGGCAATCGCTAGGAATTCCCTACAAATTTGTAGGGCACCTCCCGATATGGGTCTCCCTTTGGATTTCCAATTTTGTCAACTGAGTCTTCTTGTTACAGGTCCCGTCCAAACAGCCCTGGATGGATCTCCGCGCATATACACATACATATACATAAACCCAAACATATACGGATGCAGATACATTTCTCCAACTGTCTCTCTCCAGCATCCCCCGTGTGCTCGTGGCATGCTCGTGGTCGCCACGGTTCTCAAAGCGTGTCGGGCCACATGGAGACGAATGCATAAACACGAGCATGCCACTACCCAGCGGACACTGTCTTTTCGCTGCAAAACGGACAGGCCCGCAAATGGGCCTTGTGGCTTGGCCAATAGACCGTGCGTCCCCATGCCACGGAAGATCCAAGTAACAGGCGATTCCCATCAACCGAGCCAACACCCGAGTAAAAGCGGAACATCCTTGCGACTACACTGGCCCAGGACGTTAGGAAGAAGTGAGGAAGATATGATATGATTCGGGGCACGCACCCTGTCGCGCGCTTGCGCAGCTTAGTACCCCCCCGCCCCCCCCAGGAACCCTTCTGATTTAGTTGTTGGCCTTGAGATTGCTGTGGGCACGAGGCCTCAAAGGAAGGTGTTGACAGCCCGTCTGGACAAGCCGCACAGCTCGTGAATCCAAGCAACATGAGCATGCCCTCTAAGGTCCGCTCTGCTTCTGAGCCGCCTGGCAACCGTACAAACATACCGAATGAAATCAAACCCAAGCTTCCGTGCCCTTTTGCCTCCAGCTTCTTCAGAGCTTTGTCTGCATGCTGCAGCGCCTCTCTGCGCTCAGGGGGCACTCAGAACGCACTCAGAGCGCTTTCATCGCTAACAAAATCAATCTCAAAGGAGTGCGAGTCGACATTTACTCACAGTTTGTAGATCTGCCTCTTGGTGCTTGCCCATCTGGGACAAGAGCGCACAGAGATTCAAGTGTGTACCTCTCTCTTGCGACTATCGAGCAATTTGCACAAGTGCGACAGAGTCTTCGATGTAAAGAAAAAGTTAGCCATTTGACAAACGCAACAATTCGGGCTCACGCGAACGCAGACAATCGGTGGTCTAAGTACTGCAAACGTTCGCTGCACATTCGGCCTGCCGGATTTTGGCATCTCCCCCGTGACCTTCCAAACGCGTTGAAGTTCTACAAGGCAGCTTAACAGCAAAGAACCTTCTGAGTGGCCCACTGCTCCTCAATTCTCTGAGCTTTCTTCAAGTACTGCAGAGCTGTATGCAGCCTTTGAGAATACCAGCACAGGCGAGTCAAATCAACGGAAACATGTAGACATGTCGACATGACAGGCATGCACCGAGCAAGAAACTTTCCGAAGCTCTTGTAGAAGCAGCCCATGTTGTTGTAGGTCACCTGGAAACAAGTATGTTGCCTGCTGCTATGTTCTGGACTGCCCGAGCTGGCGCACTGCTCTCAAGACGAGACGAGACTCAGCATTCATGTGCCTCAGCTACACGCAAAGCACCAAGAGAATCGAAATCTTGCGTCTGAGGTACTGGCAGATTCGCAGGGTCTGTAAGCGCTTCTGCTTTCTCGAAGAACTTGCAGGAAACCTCCGTGTTGTTGTCCTCGTCGAGACTCTGCAGACTTGATCTCACATCGGTGTGAAGCGCGAAGGCGGCAAGCCGCAAACTTTCTCTCAGCACTCCGGAGGCACTGTGGAACTTTTCGTTCAGACTGGGAGGCTGGTGTGATCACACACAGCGGTTGCCATAAATCGTGTGATCGCAAGAACGTCCTATCAAAGCCCAGAGCATGAAACTGTAACACAGTCTCCGTCAAAAGTCTCTCAAGGGCTGAGCTCAATTTCTGAGAGAGTGATGAGAAGTCGCAGCCGTTGGGTGTTGCCCAGGACTCTGTGATGGCCCAAGCACGTAGTACCAAAAAAGGCAGCAACTCCAGCGAGCGGACCTTCAAATGCTTCATGCCGAGGGTGTTGTAGCCTGGACACAGGCACACGCCCTGGCCAGTGAACAAAGGCATCTCACGGTAGCAGCGCTTCCGATTTCACTGCGCACGAAACGTGACGCGAAAGAAGAAACAAGCCTATAGCCAGGCGCTCAAAGAGAGTCGAGAGCATGGTGTCAGGCATCTGCTGTACCGTTGCCTGAGCAGATGCCACAGGTGCCACAAGCATGTGGAAAGCCCTCAAGCCCAAGCGAGCAGAAGTGTGCGAGATTCAAGCCTGCTCTGCCCGCAGTACGGCTTCTAGACACCTCACAGCGCCGTCGTGATCACCCGCAGCCTGTCCAATCCAGATGAATCTGCTTTGGAACAAGTCCGGAGGAAAGCCTGAAGCATGGGCACATGTCAGCAAGTAATGGTCGCTGAGAAGTGCGGGCGAAAAGGTTGTGCCAGGAGAAAGATTTCAGCTGATGGGAGTTGAAGGCTGAACTGTGGCAATGGATTATAGTAAAGACAGCCTGCAGCTGTACAAACTCCCTTTCAGCTTCGATGAAAGGTCGGAGCCTGAGCCCAGGTTCAAAATTCAACATGTTGCAAAGAAAAGGCGTCATAAGAGAACTCCAGTGGTGTGACATTGTCGAGGGCCACACGCTTCTTGCGAGTCGGCCTCCATTCCCTGCTCAACGGGGACGAGGTCCCAGAACACACGGGCCCAAAGCAAAACAACACCAAGCCTCTTGGGAAATGTGAGACCACCGTATCTAGCACTTGGTCCTTGAACACCCTTGGCAAAGCGACGGCAACATCTGCTTCGGCAAGAGTCGGTGGGAACACGTTGCTTTCGCATGCGGTCAGCGAGACACTGGCAGGCACAAGATATTTGGATTCTTCGTCGGAATGTCACAAACAAGATCATGGCATTCTGCCCGAACACACTCCACGCGGTGGGAGTGGCAGGAAACATTATCAAGGGTGCCACACATGCCAGCACGAGAGACCTCCAGAACATCAACCGTCCTCGACTCTGGGTTAGGTCTCTTGCTTCTAGAACTCCATGAAACAAGATCATTGTGGCACTTATGTCTTCTGATGGAAACAACGCTGCATGTGCAGCATGGCTGCATTTCCTTGATGGTTCACTTCTTGTGAACCATGTTACGGCCATGTGCTCATGTGCACCGATGATCTCAGATTGCATCAGACCTTGCGGGCCGTCATATCACAGTCGGTACTGCAATTAGTATAGGATGTTGCTAAATGAAAGCATCCAGCTGCTGGAGTCCGGCTTTTCTATAGCAACTTGAAGCTTGGAAGCTAGCTTCATCAGAGAAAGTATGGAACGAGCTGCCGAGGTGGGACCTTGACTCACCAAGCACTATGCGAGAATGAAGCTCGCAAAAGAATGCCGGACTGAGGCTTAGACAGCTGAAGCTGAAGCTGGAACTTCCTGAAATATTCGGAACCTGCCATCTTGTTCCGGTTATTGCTGTGCTGACACTCAGCCTGCAAGCATCCGCCGAGGCCTCAAGCCGCGGGTTTCTAGCACATCCCACCACATCCTTTCTTACCCCACCCTGATCCCTCCCTCCCCACTGACCCATTGCACCGAGGGGGACTTGCCCCATCATGGGGTCCATGCTGCGACCTTAGCAAGACACCGCTGGTCTGGCTCCACGGTACCACGGTGACCAGGTCTGGCTGGTGCAAATTTCGTCAGTGGCCCTTAAGGCCCGAAGGGCTTTCACTGGAAAACTCAGAAGGCTCGTGGAGACATAGATTGACAGTGGGAGGGATTGGGAAGCTTAAAAGAAAGAAGCCTCGGCGCTGCCCTCGTACTTTCGGAAGCAGGGCTTGAGAGTAGGGCTATGGTGGCTATGGCGGCTATGGCGGCCTAATGTATAAGGCATCTCGAAGTCGGAGGCTGCCAAGCCGGCCAGTTTGTCCTGCGGTATCGTCTGAACATTCAGAAGCTACAGCTCGGTTTCGTACTCGTAGCTCTTGGTCATTATTCTCTGATCTTACTGTTCAGCTTTGCAGGAGTTAACATGTCTTTTTGGTATGGAAGTAGTTCTCATAGAACGATTTCATACGTGGTCTAGGGATGATTCAGAGAATTCACCAAGGTGTGAAGTTGTATTGATACTTGCTCTTTTTTATAAAGGTTCTTTAGTTTCTGACCACTTCGCGAGGGCTGGGAAAATCACAACGAAGTAGGAACAGAATCTCGTGCAGCAGTGGCTGCCATGACCAGCCATGATCAGGGGAGGGGCTTGCCATGGCTAGTAACGAAGGTGTTGCGGAGTGCAAGTTGTAAGCTAAGCAAATCCAAGCAAAGCCACCTAGATCAACATCTTTGCAAGACATGTGAACTCGAGAAGCGACAGGCAACGTGCCATGCAAAACGGCCACACGGTGTGTGAGACTGGATGTCAGCCTTCCTTACCGCTGAGCGAGGCCGAGGCGCATGTCAAACTCGTTCAAACTGGCACATGCCAAGAGCACTCACGCTGGTTCCGTTCATCAATATCCAGGATAGATGCTACCTGACTTCTCGCGAAGTTGCTGAAATCGCTGTCTGATTGCTCAGCACACACAACAACTGAAGACCAAGGGTATTGCATTTCCACACCGATAGCAATAGTTTGGAGCTGACCTGAGAGTGCATTCTGAGAAGAATTGTTTGATATCTTTGCGAGGGCTGTGACCATAGGGGTTGTGCTGAGGCCACTGGGGTGCGCACCAAACTGTGACCAGCAGTCCAGTCTTGCTCTCCTGCTGCGAGTCGCTGAACATATACCTGCAGGGTGCCAAAAAAAACGGGACAGCCATGGACAGTCCATGGGACAAGCGTCTTCAGCGCACTTGTAGCCCTCCTGCACTAGCTGATGTGCCCGGGCAATGAGATCCAGGCCATTGAGACCTCTGTGTCCGGGACGCTTTTTGCACGTTCAAAATGTCAAAGAAAGGCTCTGCAAACTTCAAGAACAGGGACGGTTGAAGTGTTGCGTCGGCCGCTCCCCGAAAAGCCAACCAGCCCCTCTCGGGCTGACCTAAGTGTAGTTAAGGCTTCCATGTTCGGTCACTGCTGCCATCAACTTCCATCCGCTACTACCACACCCACCTGTGTCTGAGCCCTCTCGGGCCCTGACCGCCCACGCCTCGATGTCTTCAGGATCTGACCACACGAGATCACCAAAAGCTCCTTCATGTGGTATCTCCTTCCGTGTGCCATATTGCCGGTCTCCGACAGTTCGGTTATTCGGGCAAGGGCTCCAGATCAACAACACATAAAACCTAGTAACACTGACAATCTTTCGCAAACATGACAATAAAGCAGCGCGTTGCAGGGGACAGGAGCCAAAGCGAACATTTGGCGTTTGGGACGCTCTGACAGTGCGCCTGATCTTTGTGATTTCCCATCTTTAGCCAAAAGGTCCAGCAAGGTGTGCAATTCCCCTGCGGGCTTAGATCGGTGCGAATGTGCTACTCATTGTTGAAACAGATGAAACCGACGCAATTGATGAAGCAAATGAAACAGAAAAACCATAGACAGATGAAACAAATGAAACGGACGAAATAGATGAAACAGATGAAACCGATGGAACAGATCGAACAGAACGATGCAAGGTCAATGAGTGGTCGGCACACCAGATTGCCGGGAACCGAGCCTTGGCTTTTTCTTATATATCTTTCAGGACTTCTTCGGACATAACTTTGCGCCAGAAGTGTTGGGTCAGAGAGCGTCGCTCATAGAATTTTAGAATCAAAGTCCAACAAAAATGCTCGAGTTGCCATCCTGGACTAGCCGGCCAATCTGCAAGCCTGACTCTCTGGTCTTCGCAATATGCAACCGAATGCATGAAAGAAACTGCCTGCACACGATTGATCGTGCGGATTTGATCGAGGACCTTGACCTTGCATCACTTCTTGGAACTGACACATGGATCCGAGGAGTACGAGCTGTAACTGAAATTGAGCTTGGCACATCCGGTGATAGCCCTCCATGAACGCAAAAAATAGAGTTCTCCACCTTGGAGGAACCACAGCCACTAAACAGGCGTTTGAAAACTTGGGCGGAATCTGCGGGGGCCCGGCAATGGCAGACAAAGTCAAGTAGTCAAACACCTCAGTGCAGTACCTGTGACAGTGGTGCAGCGGGCCAAATACTGCAGCAAACACACACACACACACACAGACACACATGCAAACACACACGCACACAATTGCCCGATGAGGGCAAGACTTCCATGGATTTGCATTGCCATACTTGCGCAAGCACTCATCATAAAACCCATAGACCTCCAATCGGTGTCTGATTGCCAATGCAGGTAGACACATGATTGAGATAAAACGCGAACAAAAGATGCAAAATTGCACACCTGCGTGATCTGACGGGATTCATGGTTGCCGCGAAGCAATGTGATGCTGGCCTTGCCGTCAACACTTTGGCGTGACCATCATGCACAACACTGAACAAGCTCTACCCAAACTAGGTCTGAAGGCTCTGACGGGATAACGCAACTTTAGCAACATGAGCAACTCAAACGTCTCAACGCTGTTGTAACCTGCAAATGCGGGGCCACTTCAAGCTCACAAAGCAGATCAAACGAGAACGTCCACAGTGGGTCCGCCTCGATCGACGAAGTCGCCCATGAATATGTAATTTTTTTCCTGCAAACAAACGAAAATGAGTTTTTGGCATGTTTGCAGCATGCGACCGTATGCCAGCAGTCATCTTGCAGCCAGCGCACAGGAATTTGCCCACCGATGTTGAACAACTCCAACAGATCAAAATATTGACCTTTTGAGAGCAGAACATGCAAGGTTGTCCATGGCCGTCAACTGAACCCAACACATGGATGCAGCGTATCTGCGCTTCGAAGCACACCAAAACACCTCAGGTTTATTGGCCTGCCTAATTGTCCTCCACACAAGGGTCTACTGCTGTTGCTACTGCCAGGCCCAAAAGTTATTGAGCGAAACGATTTACAATACAGCGTTGCTCTACTGTATGATGGTTCGGTTGCTACACACTGGCTTAGCCACACTCATGCAAAAACACGCCTGCGGCTTGGAAGTTGCGACGTGTGCTGCATTCTTCGCCACGTATGTATGAATGCTCTCAATGTGCTATCAATGATATGGTTGGGCCAAGCTCTTGACCATGGATGTCGCCACATATCCTTACATGTTTGGTTGACAGCTCTTAGCCGTCACAGCCACAGTTTTCGATGCATCACACAATACCGGCACAGCGTCCATGGACATGAAACACAAAAAGGGATCTTGACAAGTGACACTACTGGCAACTGCACCGGTTGCACGTTGCTCTCCTTTCTCCATGGCTCAGCAGCATTCCAATCCAAAGGCAGTACCCATGGACAACAAGAAGTCCTCGATGAGGATGTTCTTTAATTGCTGACCTGGCAGACATGACACGTCACAGCAAGGCGGGCATGGGGGCCACGCGGGAAAAACCCGAACACACGTGCATTCACACACACACACATCACCCACGCTATTTGGTTGGGGCCAACGCTTACGAACCCCACGCAAGCTCAAACGACAGGTCTGGTCGACAAGCAAGTTTTAGCACTCGCTCCGGCAAGATTTCTGGCACGATATCGCCATCGCGCTTTAACCTGGAGGTTGTTTGTCAAATACACTTACACATGCGCTGCTCTGAGCACGAGCAGAACAGCCAAATGCCGGGCTTGTGAATCAGTTGGTCCAGGTCAAACTCATTGCCATCCCCCGGCAAGGTTGTCCCCATCATGGCCACTGCAACTTGTATTCAACAGGTCAACCAGCTCTGTGAGTTGTGCAAATGTAGCCTGGTCACACAACACATGTGGCTTCCAGGAGGCAACGATTACAACACATACACTCGGGATGACCAGTGCTTGCTGCCTGAGATTTTGCATGATGCGATCTGCCAAGCTTTTGCTGCACGTTGCTGACAACATGGCGAAGCCGCGAAGAAGACACATACCAGGCGACATCCACGTTGGATGCCGTTTCTGACTGTCGATCCATCGGCAAGCCAAGAATTTTCCGAAACTCAAAACAAAAATAGCGTTTGAGCCAAAAACCTTTGAACCAAATGCCAAACACTTAAACCACACACCCAGTGCAAGCCCTCTCGTTTCCATCGGTGGGCAAAGCAAAAAACATCGACCAGCACTTCCTGGTGCACAGCGCACGTTTACTTCTGTTGGAGTCGGAATGCATTGCCCACAAACGCTTAGTGATGCAAAACATCGAGGGCGTGGCGAAATGCCAGAGCAAAGCGCAGCAAGAATGTGTTGTGAAAACTGTATTTCGCACATGATTGCTGGATTTCCAAAGGCCAAGTGCTTCCCACCGTGAAAACAGCAAAACGCGAAACTTTGCAAGTGCCGACAGAGAATGTTTAATGTGCGTTTTGCGGTGGACCTCTTACAGCGTCAGCAGTGGGCATGTTCAGTTTCGTCGAGGTGACAAATACGCGCAAAAACCAATCAAGACACAAGAAGTTGCCTCGAGTCTGAGCATTCCGGCCTGATGTGACGCGATTGCAAATGTCGGTGGGGCCCCATCAAAGCTGTGCACACCGTTTACGGCACGACCACCGCCCGGTGGATTGCGTTGATCAACAAGGCGAGTACAGAACACAGAACAGATTTTTTTCCAAGTTCATGTCCATGACCAGAGGATCTCTTGCTTTCATCCGTTGCAAACTGCACTCGACGACGTACAAAGATCTTGCAAGTTTTAAGCAAAACAGCATGCAAAGTCTTTGACCAATCAATTCCACGTGCACTTCTGGCAACCTGCTCAAACCAGCAATTTAAGAATTTGTAAGCTTCCAAGAAATCCGTGTTTCGAAATGTTTCTTTCTCGGGCCGTTTTGAAAATATTTTTAACAATCTTTGCATCTTTTTTTGGAAGATTCGAAAAACTGAAACCTGCAAGCAAAATTCCAAGTGACCATGGCAGGGATGTGGATTTCGTGTGTTGTGGTGATCTCCACAGGAAATTTTACAAACACTGGTTGGTCCTGCTGAAATGGACTTAAATCTTGGTTCCAAACCCAACGTCTTAACTACCCAGCCTTCTAACAGCTTGCTTTTCAACTTCAGTTACGAAGTTGAAGAAAACAAGAGGCCAAAAAGAAGATGTTTTAAGATAAACATTTGGAAGCAAATTTCCATTATGTCTGAAGGATTTGTCAACAAAAAACAGCTCAACCGGAAATTGCGAAGAAGGTGGTCATTTTCACTTCAAGACTCAGACAGCTAAACATTCCATGCTCCGTGCGGAAGTGGACACCGTGTTTTGAAAGTTGTTGTGGTTAGCAAGCATAACCAGGCTGCTGTCAACCCACCGCCGCCTCCAAGAAGAAAACTTGATTGCCGTGTGTTACCGCATGGGTTTTGTTGCATTTCCGAATGCTTTTCTTTTCCAAGTTTTCTTGTTGTAATGCCAGAGTTGGGTTGTTAACCTGAACACTGACCCTGCATGGTCGGGTTAGCTTGACCCTGCAACCTCTGGCTTCTTAAGAGGAGGGAAAAGAAGGGGTTCGGGTAAACCCGAACTTAGCGGAAGGTTAAGGTTGGAGTTAACCAACCCTGACCCTGGTTGGAGTTCAGATTATCTGACCTAATACCTGAAGTTTGGCTATCTGACCTAGGTGATGGATTAGCCTTCCTTCCGCCGCCGAGATTGGACCCGGGTTGCAACAAAGTTCAACCCAAACCCAATCAACCCAAGCCCGCAGGGTATGCTCATGTCCAACCAGTTACCCTTGTGCCGGCAGGCGGTCCAAGCCCCAGATGTGCACTGTGGAGGTTAAAATTCGCCCTTAAAGTTCCCCTTGGCTATTCCCTCAATATGGCATAACATGTTAGAAGGCGTAGAAGGAAGTAATGCAAAAAATGCTGAAGGGAATTGCAGAATGCGCACAGAGAGTTGCAAAAGAGCGGAAGGAAGCAATCCGAGGTGTTAAAATGTTCTTTGGTTGCATTCCCTTTACAAAAAATGCTTTTTAAATGTACTTGTCAATTGTGCCTCGCGCTGCGGGGCTCCGCAAAGGCGTCTTGTTGATAAGCCTGGCGGGCTTGTCTGTGTGCAGCTCTGTGCGTGGTGGCAGTTGGCGGTGTGCAGGTTTCCGCATTTGGTTTAGGTTTGCTGCTTAGGTTTCTGGTCTGCCTCCCACAAATGTGACAGTGCTAGTCGCAGCAGAGCTCTCTCTTGTATCTGTGTTTTAAAACTGGCCTCTGTTGTGGCGTAGTCTCTGGCTGTTTGGTTGTGGGGGCAAGTCCTTCCTCTTTGATTTGGCGGGAACTGGTCTGAAAACGCGGTCCTGGGGGCTTAGGGCTGGCTTTTGGAAGGGTCCAAAGTGCCCGTAAAATGCGCGCAAAATCTTTTGGGCCATGGTGTGGCCTGGCGGTCCGCCTAGGGCAGAGACTGTGGTTCTATGTGCAGAGACTTAAGTCTGGGAACCGGGAACCCCAGGGATGTCAATTCTTCGCAATTTTCATTTGAGCAACGCTTGAAAGCAGTGGGAGTGTATGCTGCAATGGCCCACATGTGACCTGCATGTGGCTCGACTTTGTGGAACCGGCGTGCGTCGAAGGACACTGGATTGTCGTGCATGTCCAGCCAGGATCCGCGAAGCTGATGAATTTTGTTTTTCATCACAACTTCGTCCAGTGACGTGCCTTGTTCATCTTCAATCCAGATCTTGCCTCCAGCAAAGCTGCCCAGTGCGATCGCATAGTTTGGCATGCCAATCATGTTCCCCATGTCGCGGTGGAGTCCTATGTGAGGGTTCAGAATCACTGCGAGGGAAGTCCATTTTCCATTTGGAAAGCGATCTCGCAAGAAATGATTGACTGCGACACATGCTTCTTTCATGGCGGATGCTTTCGACATGCAAGGGGCGTTCCCTCCAAAAGCATACAGTCCCAGGGTGCAGTAAATGTCATATGATCCCGAGCCAATGCCTCGTTGGCGTCCGCGATGCTTCCATTGTGGTGACCAACAATCCAGCAGGTTAACCAGATTTTGCTCAGAAGGATTTTGCATGACAGCTTCACAGGCAGCTGACAGCCCAGAGCTCATTTATCATGCATGAAAAGAATCATGGCGGGGCAGCAGGCCCTGGATTGAAGTCTCGCAGTTGCCTGATTGCCAGCGGCACTGGTGGGCGGGTGAGTCTCGCTTTAGGCTCAGCGCTCCCGCGGGGCACGGGTAAGGCGTGCTTTAGTAAGGTCTCGGAGCCATCGGTGGCCCTGACCACCATGCTGTCGTAGGATGCCACATCCTTGGCGGTTCCATATTGGGGCTCGAAGCTTCGTCGCGCATTGGTTGGGGCCCGGAAGGCCCCCATCTCCTCCAGTCTCTCTTGCCTGCGCCGGGTGAGCTGCATGTTGTGTTGGAATTTTTTGGCATTGTCCTGGTACAATCGGAACATGGTGGATTTTTGGTGTTCCACATCCTCGGGGGCCGCATGCACGGCCTCGTGGGGCCGGCGGTTGTAGGCCAAGGTTGCGTCAGGCAGGTGCTCGCTCCAGTTGCCCCCATGTCGGGCCACGTCGCTGGCCAGGTCCCGTTTCAAGGTTTGGATGGTTCTATCTACCACTGCCAGAGCGTTCCGATCCGAGGGATCCTTCACTCTGTGCACCACGGGGTCAGGCAGCGCCCCCTCCAGGCCATTGAATTCAACCCCTTGATCCGTGGACACAACGTAATTGGTCTCCTCCTCCACCAGCTTCGGGATGATCTCCCGGGCTGCTGCCGAAACCGTCTCTGTCTTCTTGTCGGGCAGGGCTTTGGTCACTGCTTCTCGGGTGAAAACGTCTGAGACAATCAGCCCGTACTTGTTGGCCCCCCGAGTGTTGACGTTGAAGTCGATCAAATCAGCTTGCAGCCGATCGTTGGGGCCCTCGGCTGCACTCTTGCCTAAAGACCGGGGCTTGGGGGCCAAAATCTGCCTGGCCACGTCGTCCCGCAAAGCTCGCGCGGCTCGGGCATAGGTCATGCCCGGCCGGTTCGGGAATTCCCGCCGTGCCAGCTGGTGCAGCTTCCGCACATCGCGGACAGAGAAGTCCGCGGCCAGCTGCCGGAATAGGTTCACGTTCTCCGCGTCCATTTTATATCACGAGCGGCCCCGCTTCTTGCCCTTCTTCTCCAGGGCCTCCACACGGGCCTGGAGCCCCTGGCAGACACCCCACAAAACGCAGCACATGCGGTTGTAGTCAAGAGTGGTGAGCTCTCCCAGCTCCTCATCCACGAGCTTGCCGCACAGCGCCTGGCCCACGGGCCCCGTCTCCTGCACTTCATTCGCAATGAAGCCGAGCGTGCGCTTCTGGCTGCCCTGGGTCCGCCGGTACCACTTGGGCGCCACGGCGTCGAACAGCTCCTGCAGCTCCTCGAGCCCCGCGGGCTCCACGCTGTGCTTCAGCTTCTCGTCCGAGAGGTTCTGGAAGCCGTAGTTCACGATCACCTCCCCGTCGTTGACCCCGCCCGTGTTCGATTCCACGATGAGGTTGGCCGGCCCGGCCGAGGAGGTGCGGAAGAAGATGGCCTGGTTCGGCGCGAACAGCTGCACGCCGCCCGCGGAAGCAGCCTCCAGTTACCCCTTCGCCCGAACCGCACTCCAGACGCAGCTTTGCGTTGCCGACGGGCGCGAGGTTGACGACCTCCGCCGTCACGTCCCCGCTGTTGACGGTGGCCACGACCCGCAGGTCCCCCTGCGCCTGCACGCCCGTGCTGCCGCCAATGAGCTCCAGGTAGGCCGGGCTCGAAACGATGCCGTTGTCGGCCCGAATCGCACTGGCGGTGTAGAGCACCGAGTTGAGGTAGGTCCCCTGCGTGCCGCCCGTCAATGTGAGGTAGTCGTCTGTGGGCCTCGCCCGCACCGTGGGCGCCCGCAGCTCCGTGCTGAGCTCCACGCTTCCCGAGGTTAGCGTGCCCTGCACGTCCAGTGCGCCGTTGACGATGGTGCCCCCGGAGCCTCCGGTAATGGTGAGCTCCGTGTCCTGGACCCGCGTGGAGATGGCGTTGGTCACCAGCCCCGTGGCCGTGCCCGTGGCGTCGTCGATGTAGAGCTCCGTGTCCACTCGTAGCCTCGGGGCTATCGAGTGCACCTCCGCCGTGGCAAAGGTGCAGAGGCTCTGGTCCGCCTGGTCCGTCACCCTGACAGACACGGTGCCCGCCTTCAGGTTAAGAAATTGATTGGTCGGAAGCAGGGGCTCCACGGTGTCCGCCTGGATGCTGCCGGCCGTGGCGATGCCCAGGCTGTCCGCGAAGATTCGGCCCATGGTCAGCATGTTGACGCCCGTCTTGAGGCTGAACTGGCTCGAGGACAGGTCGGCCACGGCGGCCCCGTTGGAAGCCTCGAACTCGATGCCCAGGTTGCCGCCCCGCAGCGTCAAGAAATCCGCTCCGTTGGCCCTCACGTCATTGACCAGCAGGGGATCCGAGGGCGGCGCGCCCGCCAGCGCATAGCGGGCGTCGCTTTCGGCCTTGCTGTAGCAGTCACACGTAAGCTGCACCGTGGCGGAGTTGCCCAGGATCAGGTTCGCTCCCAGGGGTGCCTGGGGCAGCAGCGCCCTTATCATTCTTGGCGTGAAGTTGTCGAGCACCATAGGAATGATGCCCCCACCCCCCGCGTTGCCGTTGACCACATGGTACCTGGAGTCCAGGGGCGTGAAGTCGCTGTTGGAGAAGTACCTCCCATCACTTTCGCTTTTGCTGTAGCAGTCACACGTAAGCTGCACCGTGGCGGAGTTGCCCAGGATCAGGTTCGCTCCCAGGGGTGCCTGGGGCAGCAGCGCCCTTATCATTCTGGGCGTGAAGTTGTCGAGGACCATAGGGATGATGCCTCCGCCTCCGGCGTTGCCGTTGACGGGATGATTCCGGGCGTCGCCCTGCGCTTCGGTGAGGAGCCCAGAGGAGCTGATCTGGCTGGCGATCTCCGCCGAGGTTTCGCCCTGGTCCCAGTAGTTGGTCAGCTCCGAAGCAATGGAGCTGTCGATGTCGGCCTGCGTGGCGTACTGCGAAACGTTCAGGGCGTCCACGGCGCTCGATATCTGCGCGTTCACCTCGGCCTGCGTGTACGTCTGGCTCTGGTCGTAGGCCTGGCACTCGATCTGCAGCGTGTTGCCCGAGTTCTGGAGGCTGGCCACCAGGGGCCCGGCGAAGTGCAGGTTCCGCAGGGCCTGCCCCGTCAGCAGCTCCCAGGTGGTGTTCCCGCTCCAGGCGGGCGCATTGGAAACAGCTGCGCCCGTAATGAGGGCGTCCACTTGCGCGGAGTCGTAGTAGGATGCGAGCGCTATAGCGATCTCGTTCAGGATGGGCGCCTGAAGCCCGGTCCACGGCACGTATGCACTCAAGTCGATGCCGCCCACAGCCGCGGCAATCGCGGCATCCATCTGCGTGGTGGTGCTGTACGGAACCAGAGCTGCAGTGATGGCTCCATTGGTTTCGCTGCTTGTGTAGTAGCTGCCCAGGGTGGCCAGCACCCAGGACTCGCTGGCCAGGGGCGCCAGAAGAGCATTGACCTCCGCCTGCGTGTACGCATCGCAGGCCAGGCTCAGCGTGAAGTTGTCAATCTCGAGGGAGACGCTCAGGGGAGCGTTGAAGTGCCAGTTCCTAATTGTGTTCGTTCCGACCAGCAGATCCCAGGTCGTCTGCCCGGACCACGCCTGGGCGTTGGCGAGGTTCGTGCCGCCGCCCGTGGTGAGTGCCGCCAGGGCTGCTGTGAGCGCATCGATGGCGGACTGCAGGCTCGTTTCGGAAGCCGAGAGGTCCGCCGCCGTCGCAAAGGGCCCCGCACCTTGCAGCGCCAGGATCTCCGCATCGTGCCCATCCAGGCGCACATCTCGCACGGCCAGCAAGCTGTTGAGCCCCGCGGTGTCCGTGTACCCCGCGAGTGCGGTGGCAAGCGCTGCAGCCACGTCGGCAGCCGACTGGAAGCCCGCGGCTTGCAGCACCGCCAGGGCCGCCTCGGCGGCGTCGAGTCTCCCGTCGCGGAGGGCGAGGGCGGCGTCCAAGGCCGCCTGTTGAACGTACGCGAGGAGGGCCGTGGCGATGAGCTGCGAGACGTCCGCGGGTGTGGTGCGCAGGGCCACTGTGCTGCTGAGGTCGGTGGTGGTTGGCCGGTCCAAAAGAGCCGTCGCTATTTTCTGGTCGACGTCCGCGGCTGTTTGCCGGGCCGCCACGTCGAGGGCCAGCTGGTCCTGCGTGCTCTTCAGCCCATAGGTGCTCGCGACCTGCGCGAGCACTGCATTGTCGGCGCTGGTGATGGCACTGTTCATGGAAGCGTTAGTGGGATGGTTGGCTAGCTTGAGGTCCACGGAGGCGGGCGTGCTCTTGGAGTTCACGTCCAGCTGCAGCGCGTCGAGGGCGCTTTGGTTCGCTTTCCCCGCCAGACCCGTGGTGAGGCTGGTGCTGAGAGTGGTTATGGAAGAAGCGTTGCCGGCGATGAGGCCCTCGGCGGCTGCCAAGTCAGCTGCCAAAGCGTAAGGGTCAAATCGGGCGGTGCCGGGATGGCTGCCACCTGGGCCTGCAGTGCCGCGACGGCGGACGAGTTGGTCCCGATGGATGCGGTGTTGGCAGCGGTGTCTGTGAGGGGTGTGTAGGCCGTGAGGACCGTTGCGAGCTGCCCCGCAGAGATCCCCTGCATCTCGATGGTGGTGATGGGGGTCTGGCCATCGTTGAGGATGTTGCCGGTGATGGTCGACTCAAAAAGACTCATGTTTTACTAGTCGAGGGAACTGACCCCAGCTCCTGAGAGCGTCACGAGCTGGTAGGAGAGCATGTGCACGAAGCACTGGTCCACGCGCTCCGCCTCCATGTTGCTGAAGCTGAAGCGACAGAGGTCGCCGGAGCGGGTCGAGATGCCCGAGAGCGGATGCTTGGGCACTCGTTCCACCGGGAAGGCCGCGATGAACTGCGTGTTCCCGTAGAGGTTGTCCCGGATGCGCATGTTGCGAAGCTTGGAGTCATAGGTGCCCGCCAGGATCTCCAAAAAGTGGTGCCATTCGGCGATGCTCTCGTTGGCCGTCCTAGGATATTGCAACGCACCCAGCTGCAGCTGGCCCTTGAGGTTCCGATTCGCATTCGCTCCAGGGTACTCGAAATTGTCCACGTGGTCCTCCGTGGTCTTGTTGAACGTCACAAAGGCGCCGAGCAATTTCGTAAATGCCCGTGCTATTGTAGTATTGTAGCTGGTGGACCCTGCGGGGATGCTGGAGAGCTGCGTGTGCATCGTCGGGAAGCTGAAAACCAGGCTGCGGCCGCTGGTCATGATCCTCTGGAAGCTCTCGCGAAGGGCGGAGTCGAGGGTCACCTGGGAGGCGTAGAGCTTCACGTTCTCGATGGTGTACTCCTGGCTCCCGCTGACGTTGCGGGCCCCGTCGGTGGGGTCGCAGAAGGTGATTTGAAGAACAAGGCCGAGCTCGGGGGGCAACATTTTGCCGCAGTTGAAGATCCCGATGAGGTGCGGGCTCATGAGCACGGTGCGGGAGCCCGAGGCCGGGATCTCCTCGGCGTGGCCCCCGCCGTCCGCCAGGAAGCCCTGGATGTGCCGGTTCAGCCACCACTCCTCGTTCTTCAGGAGGCTGTAGAGGTACGAGCAGCGGTTGTAATAGGAGATGTCCTCGATGCGAGTGCCGTTCGCGAAGACCTCGATGCGGTCGATGAGACAGCTCGGGTCCGGCGAGGCGAGCTGCAGCGTCGCCGTGGTGGAGGTGTTGCGCACCGTGAAGCCGAGCTTGACGCTCTCGCCGTCCACGAAGTCCATGCCGCTGGTCAGCGGGATGCGGCACACGCGGCTCGTGGTCGGCGTGAAGACGCTCAGGGAGCTCGGGTAGTACTGGACGTCTTTGCGGCTCTGCACATAGTTAACGTTGGAGGTCTCCAACCGAAACGACAAAGACTGGACCAGCTCATCATTTACGGCAGCAGTTACCTGCTCCATACTGTTTACTTGTAGCGAAAGATTCACGCGGCCTCCGGCTCGCTCGCGCTTCGAAGCGCCTCGAACGACGGGGGCGGTGCGGCGCGGGACGGCCTCTGCATGCGAGGCCCGCGGGAGGACTCGCTGCCCGAGGACTGCGCCAAGGGAGCGGGGTTCAAGCCCGTGGGGAAGCGCGTGGGCCTCGCGGGGCGAGCCTGCATGCGCGGGGGCGGCTGGGCCCGCGGCTCCGATTCGCTGTCGGTGTCCATGCGGTAAAACTGCGGGCGTTGCCGTGAGGCCTGTGGCTCCCGGAGCTGGAAGTGCTGCTCCGCCCCAAACTCCTGCATCCCATTCAAGGTCTGGATGTCGGGGGCCGAGCTGGGTCGGGAGGCGTCCGTGTCGGTTCCTCCGCCTCCACCCCAGCCCAAAAGGTGCTCTGCCGCCACCATGCCGCCGTGCAGTGCCCATGCGGTTCCCACGAGTGCGGCCGCCCCGCCTGCCACAGCCAAGCCCCCCGCCGCTGCTCCCATGCCCGCAGCGGTGCCCAATGCTGCCTCGCCAAACAGCGCAAGCGCGCCCGGACCCGCTGCGGCCTCTGCAGCACCTGCCGCTTCTGCAGCCCCCGCAGCCATTTCTGCTGTGGAAGCGAAGCCCTCGGTCGCCTCCGCCTCGGCCGCCTGCTCGCTCATGAACTGCTCGATGTCTCGGGCTGCCGCCCTCTCCACCTCCTGGGCTCGCTGTCCCGCCCGCTCCAGAAGCGGCTCCACTTCACTTGGCCGGCCGATGATTTGGGGTGGAGCTACTTCGTCGGGCGGGGGCGCGAGGCCCTCGGGCGTGCGCGGCAGGGTTCACGGTCGTGTGGGGCAGCGGGGCTGGCTCGGGCTCGGAGCTCTGGGGATAGTCGTCCAGCCAGAAGTGGCTGGAAGTCAGGATGCTGGCATTGCGGTTTGGGAGGTCGATGGGCAAGGGCTCGCCCTCAGCGATGTAGCCCAGGACCTGTGAGTATGACGGCCGTACGCGGAAGCCGTGCGCACGCCGCTCCTCCATGTCTTTACATGAGGCCGCCATAAACCGCAGAGTCGCTAGTGTTGCGCCCGGCAGCCACGTCGCGGGCCACGCGACGCACGCCCGCCCGCTCGGCGGGGGCCCACCTCAACTGGGGGATCCTCCTGTTAACGGCGTCGACTGCACGCCCCACTTCATCCGTATAGGCCTCGCCTTCCTGGCGCTGCCGCCGGTTGGCCAGCCACTCGTTGAATACCCGAGCATCGATCAATTGCTGCTGCCGCTTGTAGAGCAGCGGCGTCAAGTTGTAGCTGGGATACTGCTTGTGAAACGCCCGCAGCATCGCGGCCTCATTGCGCCGCTCGGGGAAGGGCATCATCTCTTTTTACAAGTCCATTGTGTTTGCGAGCAGGAGCTCATGGAAGCGGTCGGCTCGCGAGAGCTGCCGGGCGCGGCGAGCCTCCGAGGGCGTCATACGCACGGGTTGCTGGGGCTCAGGCGGGGGCTCTTGTGCTCGCTCCTGGTGGGGCTCTTGCTGCGGCTCCGGTGTCGGCGACTCAGCATGCTTCGGAAGCTCCGCCACGGCCACAGTCGGGGGCGGCTTTGGCTTGTTCTTCGAACCTGGCGGTCGCCCTCGCCGTTTGGGTTGGGGCGCTTCCTGAGGAACCTCGGTCGGCGGCTCGGCCACCGCGGCAGGCTCGGCAGGCTCGGGAGGCTCGGCCACCACCGGCTGCGCGGGAGGCTCGGCCACGGCGGGCTCGGTGGCCACAGGAGCGGGTTCATCCTCAGCCATTTTCTTTTCCAATTATTTTTTTTATCGTTCGGTGTCGAGGAAAACCACAAAGGAAATGCTGGTGCCTCGAGTGTTCACGATGTTGCCCTGGTAGTCGGTGAGCTTGAAGCGCAACTGACGCAGGGTTATGGGCCCGTGCAGCTGAACCCAGTGCCCCTCTGACGTCTCGGTCTCCATGACGTGGCCCACGCCTTTCGAAACGACGATCTTGCAGAGGATGTCGTGCCCCAACGGGCCCACCGTCGTCTCCCCGTTGGCCAGTGTTGGGCACCTGAGGTACAGTTCTGAGAACGGATTCATCGTCACAAAGACGAAGCGCTGCGCAGAGCCTGTGAGGTAGCTGGGGCCGAGGAGGTGGTTGATGGACAGGGGCTTGCTGGGCGAGGCGCCCGGCGGGTAGGGGGCCGTGCCTGGGAAGCGTTGCCGGAGCTCGGCATCGTTGAGGATGAGGCGCACGCCGTCGTAGGTCACGTCGAGCTCATTTGTCTCGGCGGTGTAGCTGGCGGAAGCGAAGTTGCTGCTGATCCACGCAGCCAATCGCGGCCCTGTGTACGCCCCCACCGGGAGCTCCGCGTAATGCAGGGTGCCGGCGACCGTGTCCTCCCAGTACAAGAACGTCCCGCGGTCCGTGCTCAAAAAGGCGTCAGCAACGCGGACCTTGTACACCGCAAGTTTGGCGCCGGATTGAATGTGCACACTCTCACCGATGTCGAAGGAGAAGCTGCTGTCCGTGCCCTCCGCGCGGAGGCGCGAGTCCACGTAGATACTCGTCATGCCCTTTTTAGAACGGCGCCTGAAAAACCGGGTGGGCCGCGCCGAGAACTCGCTGGCGTTGGAGCCGTCGGAGGTTTGCCGGGGCCTGTCTGGTGGGGGCCAGTGGCTGGGGTCGTAGATGCCCTGCGTGCTGGTGCAGCACCTTATGTTGCTGCACTCACTTTCGCACATCGGGCCTCCCCCCAACAACTTGGCCGCCATCTGGCTCAGGAGCGTCCCCATTTAGCAAGAACTTCCGGTCGAAGCGCACCCAAAACATGTCTTCCTTGGGCGCGCGGAGGTTAACGAACCAGAAGCTGTAGGGCTCCCTGGTGGCCTCCTCGTACATGGCGTAGAGGGTTTCTTTCGGGAGCATGGCGCTCAGCTCCTCCACCAAGGCATCCAGCTCCAGTTGGTTTCGCAACCGGAAGACGCAGTAGAACATCACGTTGACCCGCACGGCGGAGCTCATAAGACGCAGCTTCTGGGTCGAGACCCAGGTGTTGATGCAAAAATGTCTGCCCCTGATGAACAGAGTGTCCAAAACGCCATCTCCCGTCTTGCGGTGCACAGCTGGATTATCGGCATGATCATCCAAAACTACCAAGACCGAGTACAGTTTTTTGAGGCCCAGCTCCTTGCTCTTCTGGGTGATGCGCTTCTGGTCCGCGATGATCTTCCGCAGCGCCCCCTCGTCCCAATCCTCCCACCAGCACTGCTCCCGGTCCGTATTCACGCCCAGCTCGTCTCGGATGTAATCCTTGACAGGCTGCCAGGCAGAGTCGACCTCCACCGAGGGCGAGAAGATATAGATGCGCTCGAAGCAGCCCCGGTATTGCTCCAAAATCATGCTCACAAGGAGTACCGTCTTTCCGCTTGCAGATGGAGCACACAAAATACCGTTGGCGGGGGGCTTGCAAACCACGGGGTCAGGCGGCTGCTTGACGGAGTACTCAGGCGTCTTGAAGAGACGCACCTTGCCCATTTAACCCAAGTGTTGCGCTCGCGGCGATCTCGTCGCACAGCGCAGGCGGGATGGAGTAGAGCTGGTCCCGCGAGTTGCTCCCCTGCCGCCCCTTGGTGGGCCCTCGCTGCGCGGCCTCTGGGTGACAAGTTCCTTGGAAGGCCTCGCAGCGGTCGCCCTTGCGGCAGGGCCCCTGGGAGGGGGTCCAGGGCAAGTTGTGCCAGATGGCCGTGGGCTTCTTGTAGCGGAAGCCGTACTTGCAGTACGTGACCCGGTCCATGTGCAGCCCTTGCATGTAGGGGCGGGTTTTGAGGCGCCCGGTGCTCGGGTTTTCGATGGCCCACCACCGAGGCTTGAGGTAGTCTATGACCTCCAGGGTCTTGAGCACCAGGGCATCTCCGAGCGGCAGGTTGCGGGGGCGCTTCTTGAGTGCGATGCTGAACTCGGTGCAGCAGGGCGAGGCCCACACTGCGTCGAAGTGCCCGGGCTCGAAGGCCTTGTAGTCCCATTGCAGGATGTCGGAGCAGATGGTTGGGCTGGCTTTTGGGTTGCTGTCAAGACTCGTTACCTCCCAGCCACGGGCCGCGAAGGCACGTCCGACCGACCCCGTGCCGCTGAAGAGTTCCAGGAGTCTCATTTGTTGAAGGAAAAGAAAAGGCCCACGGGACCAGCAAGCACGCCAGGGCCACCACGCACTCCGCGGTGGCGACGGTGGCCGGCATTTTTTTTCTTGTCGTGAAAAAAGAAGGAGCGATGGAGCCCAAAACGCTCGGTGAGCTTACGACCAACCAGCGTGGCGGCAAGTTCTTCCCGGTGTGCGCGGAGGCCTGGCGGTCCCACGAGTGGCTGCGCATCTTGTGGCACCCCAGCCCCTACGGCAGCGAGACGGAAGCCCGGCGACTCCCCCTGTGTCTCGAGCAGAACGAGGCCGCCAAGGCAGACCTGCAGGCGATCGAGAAGGACATCAAGGGCCAGCTGACCCAGCGATGCCTCCACGACTCTAAAATCTTCGGCCGCTACCTCACTGCGTCGGACGTGGAGGGTCGCTTCGTGTCCTGCCTCAAGACCTCCTCACGCGGGAACAGCTTCATCAAGCTCAAGGTCGATTTGTCCCGAGTCCACTTCTGGGACGCTGACCAGCAGCCGCTGGAGGATCCTGGCGACCTGGCCGGTCGGGAATGCAAGGTGCGCGCAGATTTGCGCCAGGTGTGGCTCATGTCGGGTCAGTGTGGGCTTCTGATGGAAGTGACGGACCTGCAGCTCAGAGAGGCCGAAGCCCCGGCCTTTCAGTGTCCGTTCTAGAGCACGCTCAGGAGCTCGCTGCTGGTGGCCCTGCTGCTCCCCACATAGAGGTGCTTGAGGGTGAAGTGCGGGCTCTCGGTGTCGCACAGGAAGACCCGCCCTTCAAGCGTCAGGCCTTGACACGAGGCGTAGGTGATGGCGTGGCACAGCCGGGTGTGTTTCAGGAGGGCGGCGTGGGTGAAGGAGTCGCCGCCGTCCAAGACGATCTTCTCGGGGCCCACTTCTGCCACATGCACGTAGATGCCTTTGGTCACGCCGATGAGCTTCAGGCCGGGCCAGACCCGCATGGTCTGCGGCATGTTGGTGGTCGTCGGGCCAGTGCCGGTGTACTCGATCGTCACAGCTTCCGGCGGGGCCAGGCGACGGTTGTCCCGCGCATTGATCCTGATGCGGTGGGCGTGGGAGATGACCAGGCTGACATCGGGCTCGCCTTGCCGCGGAAACCTTTCCCGGGCCGCCCGGACCGCTTCCGGCAGGGACTGCTCCCGGGGCTCGTCGACCCGGAGCCACCGGAGGAAGTCGAAGATGCCCGGGTCGCTCCTCCTGTTCTCGGTGAGCTCGTGGTGCCAGCCGTCGGTGAGGTCGTGGAGCAGCTGGCAGTGCTTGAGCTCCCGCTGCACCGGGGTGCCCGCGAAGTTGTCCATGACGGCGGGGAACTGGCGGAAGTCGCCAAGCAGCAGGAACTTGACTTTGCGGTTCATGGAGACGCAGGCGATGTCGTTCCACAGCCCCGTGTCGAGCTGCGTAATCTCCTCCACCACCAGCCAGTCGATGTTGCAGTAGCCGTTCCGGACGGTGCTCCGCACCCAGTGGTCGGCCGTTTCCGCCTGCATTCCAAAGTTCTGCAGGGAGGAGTGGGTCTTCGTGATGATCTTCACCTTGTACCCTTCTTCCCGGAGGGCGGTCACGATCTGGCGCGCCAGGTGGGTCTTCCCGGTGCCCGGGTAGCCGGTCAGCAGCAGGCTCCCGCCCTCGAGGCAGTGGAGCACAGGGTCCTCCGCGACCTTCCAGGTGTCAATGTTGCACATCCACTCCGCCTCGATTCGGGGGATCCGATACTGGCCTTCGAGGCCCTTGACCTCCTCGCATCGGTACACGGGCGTGCCGTCGGGATGCCTTTCGCGGACCAGGCTGTCCACAAGGCCCTGGAACTTTTTGGGCAGGTCCTGGAAGACGACGCAGTCCGTTTTGACGGCCTTCAGGTACCTCGACGGCACGGTTGCGAGTGCATCCCGGATTCTGGAGACGGCGACGTACTCCGAGGCCATCACGAAGTCGTGCACAGGCCGGCAGCTCCGGTTGGACAACAACTGGGTCACGTAGATGTGATCCCAGTGCATCCCGCCCGCGGCGTCCAGGAACAGCTCCCGGTGCTGGCACCCGGACCCGTCGAACTGGTGGTTGCTGGTGCGCATGGTGTATAGATGAGGTTCATGTTGCGTGCCCACAGCCCGATGAGGGCATTCACCGACAGCTTCGCGTAGTGCTCCTCTCCCTCCGGCCAAGCCGCCTCCATTTTCTGCAGGGCCTGGGCCACGGACTCCTGGTCCACGTGCGCCGTGGCGTCCATGCTGTACACGAAGTCGCTCCACGTCGCAAGGCCCTTTTCCAGCATGTAGGCCACCGCAGGCTTGGCGTACCAGCCCTGGCCCACGTAGGGGAGCTGCTTGAACGCCGCCCAACGCCCGTCCTCCCGGAGCCTCACGTAGGTCAGGTCCGCCAGGTGCCCTTCGCGGGCTTGCTCAACGTTGTCCTTGGGGCAGAAGATGGGCGCCGGGAACTTGGCATGGGCCAGACCGTTCTTGCGGCACCGCACCACGTCTATACCGTGGCAGATGTGGTCCGGCTTGTGGCTGTTGAGCTTGAAGACGAGCGGCGGGAGTCGAGGCGATTCCACGTACTGCTCGTAAGCCCGCCGGCTGAAGCGCGACTCCAGTGTCGTGGCGTGCGAGGACTCCAGGGCCGTTTTGTTCCGGTGGCACTCGAGGCACAGTGCCTGGAGGTTCTGGGCCTGTGCGGCGAAGGACTGGTGCACGGGGACGATGTGGTCCAACTCGCACGTGGTTGCGGTGATGGGGGCCGCGCAGAGCTTGCACTGGTGGTCCTGCTCCGCGAGCAGGGCTTGCCGAGATCCGGGCGGATCGCGGCGGGCCTTGAGAAGGTGAAGGAAGACCTCGCTCGCGGCGCCCGCCAGACGCTGCCCGCAATAGGGGAGCCCCAGCCGCCCCATCCAGGCCTGCAGCACATCCAGGTCTTCGTGGAAGGCGGAGATGACGCAGTCCTCGCCGCCCCGCACCCTCAGCCGCAGGCACCGCCACTCGCTCAGGCTTCGCATGACCACCTTCGGGCAGTGCCCCTCGGCCAGGAGCTCCCTCCGGACCTGCTCCAGGTCTTCAGTGTAGAAATGACCGCTGGCGACCTCGCCCTCCCACTCCCGCCAATCCTTGAACTCGGGCGTTTCGCCGGGCTTCCTCTCGCCCCGGTACCTGGCCCGCTCCCCGATCGGCTCGCACTTCGCGACGGTGCGGGCGGATTTGTAGAAGAAGGCGTGGCCGTTCCAGCTCGTGAAGGCCACGGCCCGCTGCTCCTTGACGGTAGGCTCGTACTTGTCCAGCAGGCGGCCCTGGCAGTCCACGTAGAACATCGGGGCCTGGCGCCAAAGGCAGAATTCCCGGATCTCTCGGGGGGTGATGCCCTGCTCCCGCCACGTTTTTTTGGTGCAGATTGCGTCGAAGTCCGAAAGCACCTCCTGCAGCGGCAGCCGCATCAGCTCCGCGAGCTGCCGAGGGACGCAAAGCTTGTCCGGCCGCTGTTCGAAGGCGGACTCTAGGATTTCGTCGCCGCAGTACAGCTGGTAGGAGACGTCCCGCAGAGCCCCCAGGGGCTGATCCAGGACGGTCTCCACCACCACCCGGTCGTCTACGACCTGCATGGCCTGCTGGCTGAAGGTCCACTCCCTCGTTGCGTCCAGGTAGTAGGTCTCGTCGGACAGCTCCCAAATAATGTCGTTCGGCTCGGGGTTCCCGAGCTGCGCGAGCGCGGACGCCTTGAGGTTCCGGGCCGCTTGGGCATCCGAGAGCCCCTCGCTCTGCCGGGGCAGTGTGACGTTGAGGTCCGTGACGGGCAGGCGCTTCGTGCGCTCGTAGGGCATGCCGCGGTTCCGGCCGTTTCGCCGGATGCCGCGGATGATGACGGGCACGTGCACCACCCAGTCCACCCACTTGTCCTTGAAGAAGCTCTTCCCGAGCTTGGTCAAGTGGTAGTTCCCGTTGGGCTGGAGGCTGCGGAGCAGCTTTTTGGCGCCCCCCCGGAGCATGATGTAATCGTTCGGGCCCTCGCGGATGAGGGGTTGGTTGCGGTCGTACTGCCGGCTGGGGGGCGGCCGGTCGATCAGTTGGTAGTAGTACTGGCCGGCCCTCGTGAGTTCGCCGTTCGGGCGGCTGAGCATCGCGTAGCGGAGGTGGTGGTGTGCCAAAGGAAGGGTTTCTGAGCCTGCCGCCGAGGTCCTCGCCCTGACCCCGGCCTCGGCTGCAATTCTGATCGCTTCTCGTTGTTGAGCCCAGCTCATGACTTTTGAAAACCCCGGCCGGAAAAAAGGTCGTCGCCCGAGCGGGCCCCCCTTCGCCGGTCGAGTTTCCAGGAGTTCGCATCCATAGGTACTGGCGAGGGTATGAAAGAACGCCTTTTCGCCGGTCGACCTAAAAATCACTGTTTCAGGGCGAAACGTTGGCATTTTTTGTTTTGCATGTTCTTGCTGGATCTTCGCATGATTTTGGCGTGACTTTGCGCATTTTTTGCTAGAGTGCTTGGGCCGCGCTCGCTCCTCGAAGCGCCAGCAATCGACAACATACCGTGCTAGTCCTAATCATATGCCAACTAGAGACCTTCCTTCAGCACCTGTGGTCGCAACAGCAGCAGGCAAAGCCAGCAACACTTCTAAGGAAGACAGCAGACACACACAGGGTCCTGACACAGGGCAACGCCGGGCGCACAGAGGTTCAGGAGGTGTTTGGGAAGGTGTTTGGGGGGTTCTGAGGCTGCGAGGTCTGGAAGTGTTGTGCGTCGCTGTGCTGCAAGGCTTCAGGGTTTAGGGTTGGCAGGTGTGAGGCAGTGAGGTCGCTTGAGTGCCCGGGAATTTCGGGCCCCCCTCCTGTGATCAGGTGCTCCTCGTCTCCACTGCTGGCAGCCGGGCTCCGCAAAGGCTTCAGGGTCGGTAGGGTTTCGGGTTGCAGGCTATTGTGGGCTCCGATGCAGTGAGGTTTAGTTCGTTTGTGCTCAGGAGTGCCTTGCGTGCTGTCTGCCCTTCCTCCCCTCCCCGCTGTAACTCTAGAGTGCCCTGCGTCTCCCCCGCCCCTCCCGGGAACCCCGGGCCCTCTCCTGCGACCAGGTGCGCATCGTGACCCGGCTACTCTTCAACATCTTCGCGCAGCGTGGCAGGCGGGTTTCGGCAAGAGGGGTTCAGGGTTGTCTTGGCGCCTTTTTTTGCTTGTGTGAGCCTTGCGCCGCCCTCCCTCCCACCTCCTTCCCCCCGTAAGCTAAAGTGTGGTGCTCCTCCCCTGTTGTGGGCAGGTGCTCACTTCCTCGCGGCCATCTTCAAATTTTGGGACGTCCAGCGCTCTGAGTGTGAACCAGACGTGTCTCTGTCGAGATTGCGACTTTTGGGCAATTTTTTGTTGGGAGGACCCGGGCAAGGCAAAAATGGCCAATTTGCTGGTCGGGGAGCTCGGCGTGAAAACGTGATTCTGGGAGGCCGGGAAGGCCAACGTGAAAAAGTGAAAACGTGAATCTGGGAGGCCGGGAAGGCCAATGTGAAAAAGTGAAAACGTGAATCTGGGAGGCCGGGAAGGCCAACGTGAAAACGTGAAAACGCGAATCTGGGAGGCCGGGAAGGCCAACGTGAAAACGTGAAAACGTGAATCTGGGAGGCCGGGAAGGCCAGCGTGAAAACGTGAAAACGTGAATCTGGGAGGCCGGGAAGGCCAGCGTGAAAACGTGAAAACGTGAATCTGGGAAGCCGGGAAGGCCAGCGTGAAAACGTGAATCTGGGAGGCCGGGAAAGCCAACGTGAAAACGTGAAAACGTGAATCTGGGAGGCCGGGAAGGCCAACGTGAAAACGTGAAGTCGTGAATTTGGGCGTTTTTGGGCAAAAAATGACAGGAAAAGAGGCAGATTCACATTTTCACGTTTTCACCTCCGGTGCAGGGAGGGCGGGATTCACATTTTCACGTTTTCACCTCCGGGTAGGGGGAGGGCGGGATTCACATTTTCACGTTTTCACCTCCGGGTAGGGGGAGGGCGGGATTCACATTTTCACGTCCGGGAGAGGGGGTCATTTGGAAGTCCGCGTTCATGTTGCAAGCAGGGTGTGGGTCCATGAGCTGTTTTTGCGTGCAAGGTCTGGGCGAGTTGGCTTCGAGGCGCACATGCCAGCTCTTTCTTGCAAGCGTGTGTGCCGGACAAGCTTGGGTGCTTTGTGCAAGGGCTTGCGTGTCAGATTCGATTTCGGCTGGAGCGAAAACTGGGTGCCATCGTGGAGGCCTTTGCACCCGGATCCACGGTGATCCACTCGGTGAGCCAGAAAGTGCACAAAGTAGGCGATCGTGACAGCATCTCCGTGGCCCCCTAAACCCCAAACCCAAAAGCAAGCTTGCCTCGAAGCCGGTTGGCCGCGCACAAACACAAACATAGCTCCATGTCAACCCCTCCTGAAGTCTTGCTTCGGCTGGCTTGGAGGGGTGAGCCAGCAGTCAAACTGAAACAGGTAGAGCTCGACCATTCGTTCATGCAGATTGCAGTGCTTTTGCTCGAGCAAGAGGACAGCTAGGACCATTGTCGCCATGAGCCGGCCGCTGTTCTTGGCGTGTCGGCCAGAGCCTAGGACCGGCGCTTTGAACAGTGTTAGAGGTGTTCCCGAGCAGCTTCAGGCGAGCAACGCAGACGGCGCGGGCTTTGCTTGGAGCGGGGGCCGTGCAGTTTCCAAGGTGGGATGTGATGTATGGCATGGAGTGTCGAAGATGCGCAAGCCAGCGCGAGGTCGGTTCCTCCGGGAATATGGGCACAGAACTTGCTGGTCGCACGCAGGGCCAAGGCGGGAAGCCGAGACCGAGAGAAAATTCAGTGTTAAGCGTATGTCCTGAAGAGCTGAGGCTGATGGCACTTTGGGCCGTGGTGAGGCCGAAGACAGTGAAGAGGTCAAGGCGAAAAGGGTTTGTCGTTTCGGCGTGGCGTTCCTTGTGCTGTTCTGACGGCGTTTCCTTCGCTCCTGCCCGAGTGTGTTCATTTTCTGAGCAGGGGCCTCTGCAACCTCGTGAAGACGAGGTTTGCTTGTCTTTTCGGCGTGTGTTCAGATTTCGCATCGAAAGCTGCTCGGCGGGAGCATCAGGCGAATTTCGAGGAGCTTGAGGGATCGATTGCGAGGGTCTCATGCTTGCATGAAACGGTCCTGCCAGCAGCACATGTAGGTCTTCTCGGGATCAGTCCATGTTGGGAGGCCCCCAAAGAAAACGATTCCGTGGAAGAGGCGACGGCCGAGGCACTTTCAAGGAGCATGTTCTTGCTGGTGAGGGCTTCGCAGTTCTAGCAAGCTTCGATCAGGCGGGTGAAGGCTCGCTGACACTAGCATTTTTGAGAATGTGCCCCTTGCTGCAGGTTTCGCGAAACAAGCCAGCGGATGAGGCGCTTTGCGGTGTCTCTTGCTTTGGTGGTTTTTGTCCTTTCGGTGTGGTGGGCCAGGGAGCTGTGTGGTGCTTCAGACGAATTTCGCTGAGCTTGAGGGGTTGCTTATGCAGGCTGCCTCAGCACAGACTGCTGACCCGGTTGAAGATGCCAAGCAGGCTGTGCCTCCGAGGGTGTTGTTGCTTGCCTTTCTTGTTGTGGGCTGCGTCTGAGCGGGCTCTTTGAAGTTCGCAATTGCAGATTGTGGCCTTTGCCCAGGACGAGCAGCTGCAGAAGACGGTTCAGGAGACAGAGGAGATCAAGGAGGAGGTGCTCCGGCTCGAGACAGTTGTTTGTTTGATGTGGGTTGATGCCTTCAGCACGTCTCAAAGCCGGTGTTTTCTAGCATTCGTGGCGTGGTTGTGGTTTTTACAGGACGAAGGCTTCGACGAATCCACCGAGCAGGCCAGAGCTGGCTGGCAATGTCCGAGTTTGAAGTTTGAAGGGCGTGAAAGCTTCAAGCTCCGACCTACGCTCCGTGAGAACCTTGTTCTGCCACTGGGCCTGGCAGGACACTTTTTCAAAGAAATGTTTCGACATGGCTGTGAAGAAATGGGACGGAGCCCAGAAGGATCTGGACGGAGCCCGGGAAGATCGGGACTTTGCGCGCCAAAGGCTTCGAGAAGCCGTGCAGAACGGCAACGAAAAGGAGCGCAAGGAGGCCAAGGAGGCGTTCAAAGAGGCCGAGGAGGCGTTCGAAAAGGCCGAGTCGAAGGTTGAAATGGCCAAGGAGGAGGCCGAAAAGGCCAATGAGGAGCTCGAGAAAGCCAAATCAACAGCACCCCTTCAGGCCGGCGGTGCTTTTGCGCTTCTGCGTGTGCAGTTCGTGCAGTCCACCATTGTTGGTTTTTGGGGTCATGCTCTCCTCCCAGCAAGGATTCCGCTCGTCGCTAAGCTTCACTGTGTTGGCTTGCAGCACTTCGGGGAGCGGGAGGGGCTTTCGGAGCAGAGGGCTCTTGGCTGCTTCAGGTTCATGCAAATCTGGTTGCTCTTCGTGTTTTGCCGATGCTTCAGAACGGGGTGTCAGTCCTAGGCTCGAGGTGGGGGGGGGGTCAGCCTGTTTTGCGCTCGCTTTGCGCTCTCCAGGTTGCGGTTGTTTTTTGTTTGAGGCTCGACTTTCAGGTTGCTGTGTCCGTGAGGGGGAGTCAAGGGACCTGGGTTCTTAGTGCTTTTAGCACACGGACCTTGCCGAGTAGTGGGGTTCCGGCAAGACGAGTGCAGAGGGCTTCTGCGCGAGCATGTTGGCTTTGGTTTGTAGCACTCCTGCCTGCCCGGGGCTCTTGGTCGTCGTGCGTTTTCGTGGGGTCCACCGTTGTTGCTTTTTGGGGGTGATCCCCTCAGGATCCCCTTGTGGTTGTGGTTTTGTGAACCCTGCGTTGGTTCTTGATGCTTGCAGTGAGGCTGGAGGTGAGAGGCTTTGCGTTGCTCTCAGGTTGTGGTTGTTTGACTTTGGACTTTCAGGTTACCGTATCCGGTGGTTGTGTGGCTGGCGGGTGACTGCTGTAGCAGCAATCTGGGTTTTGTTGTGTTTTCTGATTTGTCGAGGTCGGGCAGGGCCTTCGAGGTCTAAAGACCATCCGCGTTTTGCAGTGCAGCTGTGCGGGCTTCTGTTTAGCTTTTGCTTGTGCTGAGCTTGCGGCGAGCTGACCAAATGTCCCAGCTTGCAGGTGCCTGATGCACAAAAGGCCATCCAGGACTGTCTGAAGTCAACTCCGGCAAAGTTCCTAGCGAGCCCCACCCATTGAAGACAGTCGAGTCCGAGCCAACCTCCAGTAGCCCAACTGTTGAGCTCTTCGCCCGCCCTGCTCGCAGGACATCCTTTGCCCAAGCTGGACTGTGCGCTCTCCCAACACGATGGCCCCACAGCTCATTGCGCGCGAGGAGGCCAAAGCCGCAATCCTTGAGTACATCAAGGGGGTCTTGTCACAGGAAGAGTACTACTGGGAACCCGCGTCAAGGATAAAAAAGTGCGCCATCCTGACGACGGCCGGCATTAAGGGCACAGGCAAGACTCGAGTACTTCACGAGATGTGCACGAGCTGGGTGTGCGAAACCGGGGCGAAGGCGGCTCTGATTGTGGACTTCAATGGGGGGAGCTCTTGGGACCGCAGCAAAGCTGCAACCGAAGTGTTTTCAAAGCTCCTCCTTCAGCAGTCAGGCATGCCTGCGGATAAAGCAGAAAATTGCGCGCGGGTTCTTCCATGGAAGCAGGTGATGCAGTGTTTGCGGGAGAAGCTGAACTTGGGCGACGAAGACCTTCTGCTGGTAGGCATCGATGAGATTCGACAGTTGGAGACCCTGGCTGGCAAAGACGGGGCTGTGCAACTAGTATCCGACCTCATGGGAGTCCAGGACGAGTCCCTCCTCCAAACAAGCAGCTGCCCTGTAATCTTCGTGTGGACATCGCTGCTTGAGAGCTACATGTCGATGCTGATGAGCGACTCTGGGCGCCGCATCCTGCCAACGATCTCGTTGAGGGGTTTGCCACTTGCAAAGGCTTTGGAGCTGCTGCCCAGCGACCTTCGCGAAGCACTGGAGAAAGAACCATTCGGACGGCAACTGGTGCGACAGCTGCTGGGTCATCCGCGGTTGATGTTCGATGCGTTGATACAGGAGTACTCCAAGCACAAGCCTCCTCGGAATCCACTTGCATGGAATCAACTTCAGAGTGACATTGTAGCTTATGCCAAGCTCGGCGACCGAAAAGCCTTGGACAGCATCGAGGTGGCTCGCTGGTATTCTCCTCTCCGTTCCACAACTCAATCAGGGCTTGAAGACCTCTGTCTGCGTGGTGTTGTTCATTCCGTGCGATGTGGCAACAGCTGGATCAATATCCTTCATCCCATACTGCTGCAACTTTGGGCACGGAGTGAGGAAACCAGTCTCGCAGACCAGATCAACCAGATGTTCGAGCAGGATGCGATCATGGAGGCCACGCACGAGAAGAAGCTTGAGGACATTATGGTGCACTTCGACTGTGCTGTGCGCCTGGCGTTGGGCGAGAACAACTGCACACTAAAACAGCTGTTCCCTGGGGCAAGCTTTTGGTCCGAAAGGGGCGGTTTGCCGAACATCATCGTCACCTCCACACAGAATGTTCTTGCACCATTGGAGTATGTCGAGTCCTTCGCAGATGTAGAGGCGGTCTTGGAGTCTCTCAAAAACGGTAAGATCGTCGTGTCCAAGCTGCGCAACGAGCCGGGCATCGAGTACTTGATCCCGTGGATGGTCCCGAATCAGGATGACCGGAGGCGGATTCGTGATTTGAAGCCGCCGTGCAACAAGACAGAGTCAGCTTCTCTCCTCGTTCTTGGCATCCAGACGAAATGCGTCCGCGAGAATGTCCCGAAATGGGCCAGCGTTGCAAAGTCAGCACAGGAGGCGCTTGCTGGCTTCCAAAACCACCCGGATGTTCTTGGAGCCCTGCCCGTCTTCTACACCACCGAGGTCCGTGTTGAGACTCCCCCAAAAAATCTCGAGATTCCCAGCATCTACTTCAACGAAGTGGGGCTCGCAAAACTATTGTTGCAGCGGACCGGTCCACTGCGGCTCTTTTTCCTGAAGCCCGGTAAGCCGCTCGAGAAGATGCTGCCGGACTTCTTCGAGAGCAAAAGAAGTGCATTGCATGCATAAGAGAGCATGAGCTGTGGTCTTGACGACATATATATATATATATGTTTCAAAGGGGCTGTTGGAGACAAAAGAGTCTCCAATGTCCAGAATCGCAGCTCGGAAAGATGTCCCAACGCCTCGTGTTAGAGTGGAAGGCACCTTGTGGCTCAAAGGTGTTACGCAAATCTGGTTGCACCTCGTGTTTTGCCGAGCGGAAGGCACCTTTGTGGGTCAGGCAAAGGTTTCACGCAAATCTGGTTGGAGGGGTGTGAACCCTAAGTTTGTTGTTGTTCTTGGTGCCCTCAGCTCACGGTCTTCAAGGACTTTCTTTCATGTTTTATTGGCAGCGCTAGGTGAAACGACTCCCGGGTAGCGAGATTTGCGACCGGGATGAGCGCATCTTGAACTCGCGCATCAAGGACAAGGTGAGCAGGTTCACGCAAGAACCGAAGCGACATCCTGGCCCTTTCTGGAGAAGGATGAAGCTGTGCAGGAAGTCTGGGCCAGATTAACAAGACCCAGACCTCGTCACAAAGCATGTAACAGAGAATCCTTTCGTGCTATTTCCGCCATCATCATTTGACACCTTCTTAAAATCTTTGGCGGTTACACAGTGGCAGATGTGACATCAACGAAAGATGTGACGTTCCAGGAGCTAGATTTTCCTGACGTGATAGACCTTCTGACGGGCAATTGCAGCGATCTACGATTCGACGCCAATCTCAAATCGTGGGTTTGTGCGCTTGTGGAACTCTAAGTGGCGTGTTGCAGCAGTGGAAGTCCATGACTGGAACAGCATTGAAGTCTCCAAATAACCGTCCTTTCCTGATCTTCACGGATGAGGCGGAGCTGCTTGCAGCAGAACAGCTACCGGCACGGAATAGAACGGGCAACATAAAGTCAGTCTTCACTGATCTATGCAGCCTCTTGCCCCCCAAAATGGGATGCTTTTGTGCTGGCACGCTGAACTTGATGGAAGGAGGACCCGTGACTACACCCGGCTAATCGTTCATCAGCTCGAAAAGCAGCTGCCAAGATGATGGAACGGGGGACGGGGAAGCGGGGGACGAGGTGTTGGAGCAGGTGCAGCTTTTCTCGGAGTGCCTCGCCGGAATATGAATTTCCAGGCAGGCGAGCTGTCAACAGAAGTTGCGATGAATGCAATGTCCGCTTCGACGACTCCTACTTAACTGCCGCACCCTACTTTGACAAGGCAGCGATTGCTCTGTCTTTGGTTCTTTGCTTGGCAGTTCGCTGGACAGTTTGGTGAGCGGGGCCACTGTACCTGGCACGGACACCTTCGTCACAGATCTTCGATGCAGGGGTGGCGTTTCCATCCGGCGACACCGTGCTGTCCCGAGTCTGTGGTGGTGTCGGGATAGGAATGTCTCTGAGAAGCTCCAAACAGATCTGGAAGCTTTCAACATCTCCTTACAAGATCTCCTGCGATGCCTTGAAGTTGCTGAAGAACAACGTAGGGCCCACCGCGAGGGGAGTGCCATGCGAAAGATGTGTGGCAAATGCGCCGGCTGCAAGGTTTCGGCTGTAGATTTGCTTGCCAGCGCATTCAAATTGCACAAATCATGGTTTGAAGTCGCATGTCAATATTATCTTGTTATTTAGAGCTCTCAAGCTCTCGACGCGCAAAGTTTTTGCGCACAGCTTGCTGCAAGCTGTATTTGGCTTGCAACACCTTTTACTAGACCGTCGGAATCTTGCAATGTTCGCTCGAGTCTGCTGCACTCATCGTCGGCATCGAGTCTGCAGTACTCATTGGTGTGTTGAGTCTGCCAGCTTCGGTGAAATTTCGGCTAGTCTTTTGGAATCTTTCTGGAATCTTTCGAATTTTTGTGAAGTCTTTGCGGAGTCTCTACAAGAGTCTCTGCGGAGTTTGGCGGTTTTTTTCGCAGTGTCTGTGGAGTCTCTCCTGAGCTTACGGTAAAGATTTGAGTGTCTGGACATAGATACTCCGTCTCTACCGCAGTCTCTCCTGCAGTTTGCGGTAGTTCAGACTCGCTTGACCGGATCAGTGGAAGTCGAACTTCCAAACCTCTACCCCGCCAGGCCGCGCTACGGCCCAAAAGATATTGCATGCATTTTTCGCGCACTTTATGGCCTTCTAAAAGCCAGCTCTGAGCCTTGCAGGCCGCGTTCTGGAAGGAGTTCGGACCAGATCGAGAGGGAAGGACTTACCCCAGGAACAAAACAGCCAGAGAGTACGCTATGCTGTGGTGTGGTTTTGAAAACCCAATACAAGAGAGAGAGCAGAGGGCGGAGGCCTTATCGTGTCAGTACTTACCCGGCAGGGACGCTCTTGTTTCTGCTGGAAAAGTGCCTGGAACAACGGGCAGGGGCAAGCCTGTTTATGCTGGAGGGGTGCCCTTCTGTTGGAGTGCCAGCAGTGAGTGGGCCCTAAGCTGCTGCTTAAAACTTCTTCAGAAGGTCCAGAAGTGGTTAGGACTCGCAAACGGTTGGCGGCACCTTCGCCAGAACGCCCAGAAGGGATGACAGAATCTGCTGCCTCAGCCCTACCAGAAGGCCCAGAGGAGGTTAAATTGTGCACCTGAAACTTGTGGTCCCTCGGGACTTGGGAGCAGCAGGGAGGGAAATCGCGAACCTGAAGCCTATCGTGCTTCAGGACCCGGCATGAAGTAAAAGCGTGAACCTGAAGCCTATGGGCCTACGGGGCCTGGGAGCAGCACGCAGATAAATCGCAAACCTGAAGCCTACGGGCTCTCCGGACCCGGGAGCAGCAGTGAGAGAGATCTCGAGCCCGGAGCTTATGGACCTACGGGACCTGAGAGCAAGGCGGAGAGATATAACGAGCCTATCGGCTTTCACAGGACCTGAGAGCAGCAGAGATGTGCATCGTCTTGCGCAAACTGCCCATTCTGTGACAGGTTTAGTCGCAAAAATCGGCCGCTGCGCGGGGCAGTTGAGTGATCACAGTATCTTTAAGTGTCTTCTATTGACAGGCATCTTGGACACCTTGCCCGCAGTATCACTGCCCTGCCAGGAGGGCGCCCGCCACCTGCGCTGTGGCAAGCAGAAGCAGTGGGTAGACCTCTCAAACTGATGCCTCAAACATCTTCAGAAGGCCCAGAAATGATTAGGCCTCTCAAACTGCTCTCCCAACAGTTGCCTGAAGGCCCAGAAGTGATTAGGCTTCTCAAACTCCTCAACCTTCCCTGGAGGGCTCAGAGTGATTAGGCCTCTCAAACTGCTGCCTAAAACTTCTCCGGAAGGCCCAGCAGTGAGTAGGCCTCTCAAACTGCTGCCTAAAACTTCTCCAGAAGGCCCAGAAGTGATCAGGCCCCGCAAACGGCTGCCGGAACCTTCGCCAGAAGGCCCGAAGGAAAGTGAGGAACTGCTGCTTCGACCTCTTCCAGCAGGTCCAGAAGTGACTAGGCCTAGCACTTTGCTGTGGGTCCCGCATCAGGTGTAGTCACGGGGTAAACCTGCTTGAAGTCTCTCAAAAAATCGGCCGCTGCGCGGGGCTCCGAGTTATAAGGCCCCTTGACTCTCACACTTGACGCGCGGTTGGCTGCAGACCGTTAAGCAGCTTTGTGGGCCTTAAACTGCACCAGGCTAAGCACGCCAAGCCGGAGGCCCGGTATCTGGGAAGCACACTAGCCAAGTGCCAGCCAGCAGCCTTTGGGGCTCTTGCGCCGTCTCAAAAATCGGCCGCTGCGCGGGGCTGTAAGACTATGACCTCTTGCAAGCAGCGCTCCAGGCCTGCCCTATGGCCATAGCAACGCGAGGACGCCCGGACTCACACAGCGCCGACGGCAGCATAGTGTAGCCACACCAGCCCCTTGTCTGCCCCCGCTCGTCGGGGGGGGAAGGGGCGCCTCTTCTGGCACTCTGTGGGCATTGTGCTTCGTGTGCTTGCAACTTTCTTGCCGACCTAAAATGGAGTCCTGAGTGCTATTGCTACGGCCCTGGCGCTTGTGTGGGGACTGTCTCTACGGACGCGTTGTGCAGTTTAGGTGACGGAGGTTCCTTGCCTTACGGCCTACCCATACTTTCGCTTAATGTCTGTGCCAGACGTGGCGCAGCATTGCTATGGGTGACGGGCTGCTGAGTGATTGGTGCCGGTAGGTTCTTGGTTGCATTGGTCTCACCATGCTGGCCTTGTGTTAAGTTGTCTTGCAATAAGGGCCTCTGCGCTAGCGGTTGCTTCTTTGTAGTCACGACTTCTTTTTCGCTCGCTGGCTTGTACAGTTTGGCTCTCAAAGTAGTTGTCCTTTCGACCCACAAGAACGGCTGCTGATGTAGTAAAGAGGCGTCGGCTCAAAAAAAAAAGCTCGAAGCGGACAGGTGCAATGCTCATGTTGCGCATGCTCAACAGTGTAGACTGGGAACAGCCGCAGTTGAAGGTGAGGCTTTCATGAGTGGCAAACAAAGCTCGAATCAGGAGACGCCTGCTTATAAGCAGGATAGAATCGCTCTCCGCACTAGGTCTAGGAGCTTTGAAAGTGCATTGTTTGGTGTTGGCCGCCATGCATTGTGGAAAGTCTACAAAATTTTCGGCAAGTAAGTTGGAGAGCGGATTTCTTGCGAATTTCTTTTTGCTGAAATTTTGTCGGGAGCTGGAGGCAGGCTTAGGCCCCATCTTGTCCATGCAATGTAGACGTAAGCAAAGGGAACGTTCTCAGCGTCTGAGTTGATGCCGGGTGGACTCTGCAGCTGCCATGCCCGAGAGAGAGGCAGCATCGAAGAGTGGCAGTGATGATGAGCTAAGCAATGTCAAGCCAACGTCCTAGGATCTGTCTCGGTGCCACTGAACTCCGAGCAGATGGTGGATCTGGGATGCTTCGCATACTGCTTAAAAGCATTGCAAAGTGAGCTCCTTGTCTTTTTTAGATCAACATGCTGGCTGTCAAAGCGAGCTAGTGCGATGAGAGTACCGCGCGATCGATTGATCGCCATTATTCGCCATCTGTTTTGTGATGATGAGGCTTTGGCGGCACCCATTCGCAGTGAACCATGGGGGAAACCACCAACGAAAACTTGCATGACCTTCGCTCCGCCAGTGGCCAGCACCAACGCAGGATCTTAGCGACGTGGTTTAGCGCAGCCTTGTCGTGATTTTGATGTCCTTGGCCCTTTGGCCAGAACAACTCGATTTTGGCAGTGTGCACTTTGCAAAACACGGGGGCAACCACCACTGAGAAACAAACACACCTTCGCACCGCCAGCGCCGACGCAGGATCTTGTCCCGATGCACAGCGTTTCCCCTTAGCCATGTCAACTTCAAAGCAACAAAGGCTCGAACATCTCGAACGCGTGGGCAATCGTAAAGTGCCCTTATTGCGGGTTTGAACTTGTGAGGTTGTACATGTGTGGTTCGAGAAGAAGCTGTAGCAAAGCACGTTTGTTCATCGCAATCAGCACGGGTGTGTGGTGCGATTTTTAGCATATACGGTATAAGGATTGTGTTTTGACAGCAACGTTTGTATGTTGAAACAAGTGTTGAGCTTACAACAAGTACGAATTGCAAGCAGTTTGGCGTGGTATTGTTGAACATTGTTGCATATTGTTGCAAATTCGGTCTTGCAGTGGCGTCCCGTGTGTGCAATGCGCCAAGCTGGTCCCCAGGTGCGGAATGGGTAACGTGTACGCAACGGCCATTTTACTTTTGTCGTACCGCAGGACACGTATGTTTTCAAAATGTCTGGTAGTGACACATAGTAACTGTAGTACCGTTTCGCTGTGATTGTGAGTGCTTCCGTCACAGCATGGCTTTCCTCGACGTTCAGAAGCAGCAGTAGATGCAGAATCGGAGGAGAGAAGGCGGATGCATGTGTTGTTGTTTGGGCATGCGCGTTCTCAGAAAAGGAGTGTTTGCTGTCAGGAGACAGCTTACCAGTGGCCCCTCTCTGAGACTTGCTATGACAATTGCACCTCGACGCAGCCTCGTGCAAGAAGGTTTTGGACAGAGCGGTCTCCACGAACATCCAATTGCAGGCAAAGCACCGACCCAATACGAACGTTCAATACGTGCTAAGCCACATCGTGCAATCAGTTTCAGGTGTTTCTGTACTTCGGCGCTTGGTTTGACCTCTTGTTCGCCTTGCTTCAGGCGCATATGCATCCAGGGCCGTAACGACAGACTGCATGCGTTCCTGCACCAAAGCTTCAAAGAACACTTTTCCGTGCAGAATCTCGGACTATCGTTGTTTGTCATCGTTGACTTGGAAACTATAGCCAAGGAAAGCCCTGCCAGACTCGGACTGTTGAGCATGTGAAATCTACTCAGCAAAGATTTCGCAAAACTTTGCTTCCTAAGACTATGCTGGCCTGCTGAGGCTTTAGGTGTCTTGGGCAACCATGTTCTACGATATATTCTAGAAAGTGAAACGCCCTGCGGGCCCTGTAATATTTACGGTGGTTCGATAGGAATTTCCGACGAACTCATACTCTTTTACTTTTTTTCTGATATTCATGCTGTTGTGTTAACCATTACACGCACTAACAACAACGAATGCAACAGCCCTTGTCTGGTCGACTTTGCATGCGTCCACCTTGAAGCTGATACACCAAACTGAAGCTTCATATGGGTTTTGGTGTGTTGGCAGGTAATTGCTGGGTGGGCGAAGTATCGATGGAGCGCTTGCCATGGCAGTGTCGCAGCCTGCTGCTTTGTTGTCAGCGCAAGCTTGGTTTGCAGGATTCGAGGAACCGTTGTCGTTGCAATTCTCTGGTGGCAGCCATGTCTTGAATATCGCATTGTGATGAACGGAGCTCTTATGTATCAATGCTGCCAGCACCAACTTCCTGCTGTGCTTTGTTCTGGAGCCTTGCCGCCTGTACTTGGGATATGCCGGGAATCTGGGAGAGAAGGTCAGCAGCTGAGTTAGCTTTGTCGGAATGTCAGGTGCATTAGTGTGGATCCTGTTGTCACCAATTATCCTAGGTGCCGGAGCTGTTTCTGTTCGTATTCCTTTGCACCGGGTGGCGTCCCCAGCACTTTGCCCACCCTGATCTCACAGCCTTGTGCATTCCGAGATGCGTTGCTATTTTGCTCACGGAGCTTGTCCTCTGTGGCTGGGTGGCAAGAAGCATAGGAGCCGACTGCCAACGAAGAGACTCAGAAACTGATTCTTCGTTTGCACCAATGAGGTGAAATGCTGGCCTCGCTTCAGCCAGCGAACTGTAGCATCGCTGCTGGTGCTGCATGTGATATCATGTATTATCATGTGGTACAAACGGACAATGCGTGATGAATGTGACGACAATGACAACACGTGACATCCGGCTCTTTCTTGCCTTCGAGGCTCCAGAGTTACCTTGCATTCTTCCAATGGAGCAGGCAGCATGGGGGTTCCTCGCGCACCGTACCGAAGTTGCTGAAGCTGCAACCAGTACCTGTTGCACATTGCAGATTGAGGCGTGCTGGATTGTGCAGCTTGTTCTTATGATTTGCGAGCTCACCCTCGGCATTCGAACTTTGCGCAGGACACCTCCAGAGAAGCGTAAAACTGCATGGACCAAAACCCTTCGCATGGCAGGCTGATCCACGACCAATCGGCTCGATTCTTTGTTGCCTTGGACTCACCAGAAGGCCTTTCCAGTCGCCTGCTGCACTTGCATTGGCTTTCATAGCAGCAATTGCTTCGCACAGTAGATATTGCAGCGATCTGAAGCAGAAACTCCGAACAGTCGAAACAGCAGCAGCATGAAGTGCTGCCAAGTGTCAAGTGCTAAGAGCATGGGAGTCAGCTGCATACATGCTGCTCCAGCAACCCAAGAGCACGAACAGAAGTACATTGCAAACCACACCACGCAGGCACAGTTGATTGTGCGGGATTCCGGGACAGATTCCTGCGCATGTCGAGGCCAGTCGCTTGATGACCTGAGCAGGCTCGGAACCTTGCCATCCCGAGGACATCAGAAGGCTAGCTGTATCTAGCTGTATCTAGCTGAGAACCTAGCTGAGAACCTATTCTATTTGCAGCAGCATTGACACTTGGGGGCCTTAGAGGAGAGGAAACTCTGGTGCAGCGACCCAAGAGAAACATTCTTCAGATACGAAGGTGCAAAGTGGTGCAATGCAAAGTGGTGCAATGCACGCAGCAATGCACGAATCACAAAAAGGTTTGCCCAAAGTCAAGATGGGCAAGGCAGAGGCGGCTCTTTACATTGCTGTTGGGTTTGCATTGGGGTCCGGCCGGTTTCTTCCATCGAAGAAGGTCCTGCAGCCCAAGTGTACGGGCGCCCTCGTGAACTTACCAGGCGTCGATGAAGCCCGGGCATAATCTGACCGTGAGTCCCGTCCAAGTTGCTGAAAGGTCACATGCAGACTGATGCGCCCTGACGCACCTCTTGGATCCTTAGGGATTCAAGCCTCCAAACATACCAGGCTTAATTCGTTAGTTCGTGATCAGGCTAGCCTGATTGCTGGACCTTGGAAAAACTGCACTCGGGGTCGTGGCAGGTTAAGCAGCACCGGACACTGATCGCACTCATGTGTCATCTGTCTGTACTGCTGAATGCGGAAGCGTTTGCAGCTCAAGCGATCTTTTCATGTCCAAGTAGAGCAGTATCGTGGGTGGTGCAAGGAGCTAGGCTATCAGGTAGCCCATTTAAGTTGACTCCACACAGCTCATTTTAAGGTTTGTGTAGACTCCAGCTTGATTTCTGTGCATCGCCCTAAGTTGAAAACTCGCTTGGAATGGGCCAAGAGGTGTTCCCGTACAGACATGTTCCTGTGTGGGGCATCCAAGGTGCGTGCTTTACGCATCGTTGTCGATGCCGTTTGTTCGAGATCACTCGTGGCCGCCTTATGGGCCATGCACTGCCAGCATGCCTTCAGAAAGAGTTCTACAAGTGGCGTCAAATCCAGCACAGCAATGGCATTCAGAACTTGACGAGAGATTGACGAGGACACGAGAGCTACTCCAGCAGGATAGCTACAAGCATCGACAGGCATGGCTCACCATGGCTCACATGTGACGAGGTATGTGGCCGCTTGTCTGTTCGAGGGGATTCGCTCCGTGTCAGGAAAGACCACATGGAGGTGGTATTCAAGAAGATGTAGAGGAGGAAGAGGAAGCGCAACGCCCCGGAGGCAAACATCCCTTTCGAGAAGCATGTTGGCGCTGTTGAGTGCAGTAGCGACCCATGTCCAGATGTAATCTCGAACATTCTCTTGCTTGAAGTATTGGGCTGCAGGCTATATTCCGGTCGCAGGGCTTGGTGCTCAGAGTTTGAGTCATCGAAGTTTTGCGAAGCATGCGCGCCATGTACTAGTCTGTGGCAGGCAGCCCATGCCGCAGACGCAGAGAAAGCTCCCACCCTCCGACGTGGTGATGGTTTTTCCTTACAAGGTCTGCAAGTGCCTGCGGTTTCAGCGGCAAGGAGGGCTGAGGAACACGAATAGTCAATGCAAAGTGCCTCTGCTCGCTTTCCTTGCCTCAAGAAAGTTACGCAAGCGCATAGCCGTGAACCACCTGATAACGCATAGCTAGCCATTCCAGACATAAAGATCTACATGCAATTCGCCACCCCGACTCATAGCCGTGAACCACCTGGATAACGCATAGCTAGCCATTCCAGACAAAGATCTACATTCAATTCGCCACCCCGACTCTAGATGAGCTCCGACATGTAGTTGTTTCAGCACAGAGGGCAATGATTCGATTGTGCAATGGACCAGGCAAGGCAACAGTTGCTGCACGATGTTGCATGATGCTACACTGCAGGAGATGCTAGCGACTCACGCGCAGCCGGCATCTTAATTCGTTGATTCGTTGGCCACTGACTTGTTGAAGGCAACTTCGGCTCCACTGGTGGGACAGCAAGCTCCAGTGGCTGAGCTTGAGGCCACGTGCATCTCCACTAGTCAGCGCGATTTTCGTGAATTTCATGTGGTTTCACTTGGTTTCAGGTCGAGTATGCTGAGAATCCGGCTTTCCTGGCAAAGGCCAAGAGCTTTCTGTCGGAATGTTGAGGTGACATTTAGACTTCGCAAGTCTGCCCGCTCAGGTAAAAGTCTTGGCAGGGCAGTTCTCGAGCTTTCGTCGGCTCTTCAGTTTGCTGCAACCAGTGGTGGATTGGAAATTGGATGTGTGCTGATTTCCAAGGCAGAACTTCTCCTGATGGCAACTGCTGCCCAGCGGCAGTTCAGGAAGGAGTTTCTCCGGCACGTCTGCAATGAAGCATTTGGGCTCTCTTGCGCATACGCATGTTGGGAAAAGACTTGGACTTGAGGCTTCTATCGTGCCTACTTGTTTGGCATCTTTGAGCAGATGGCTGGAAACAAGGACCTCTCTGTTGTCGAAGCCGGGCGAAGCTATTCCAAGCTGCATGTCAATTAGGAGCGCCATGCTGCCTTGGCCGAGCACCTGAAGGGAGCCTTAGATTTTTGCATGGCAGCTGGCTATGAGAAGGCGAGTGCTCTGCAATTGTCTCGCCAGAGCACAGCAAAGTATTAGTAGACTATTAGTAGCCTTAGTATCTTCTTCACCTGGAGGTGGCGATAGAGGATTTCCACGAGGAGTTCATGGCGAGCCTTGACAGACTGGGTTTGGACGGTTCGGCTACCGCTGAGGCGCAGGGTTGTCACATGGCGAATACGGACGGGGAATGGCCATGTTCTGGCAGAGGCTGTCATGGAGGAGAACAGTGATTATCTTGTTTGCTGGATGCGTGTGCTTACGCAGCATGGCTGCAGGTTGGGGCGGTTGGGGCGGTTGGGTCGGTTGGGTAGGTTGGGGCGGTTGGGGCCGCAGCTTTGCAAGAGATTGGTCTCTCAGGTCAGCCTCTTTGAAGCAGCGTGAGGAGGCCGAAGCATTGCACATTCAACACAATCTGGCAAGCATCTGTATACCCTGTGGAGAACGGAAGCTGGACGATTCTGGCAGGAATTTAGTGGGTTCTTGACGGCGCACTCGTCCGTCCGGCAGTTCTGCGCGCAGGAGGCTCTTGTCCACATAAAATGACCCTCCATGTTCAGCTTCACTGATTCCACAGCTTTGCTCCCATCCCTCCCCACCATTTTCTCTGAAGTGATAGAATTTCTAGGACAATCAAGACCACAATCATGAGTCGAGCACACTGGTTTGCCTTGGTGGTGTAGGTGGACCCCATGAACACTGAAGCGGATCATCTGCAGATAATCGCGCTGTCGGCATGCCTGTCAGTGCCTGTCCATGGCTAAGGTGTAGTACCACCAAGCACTCGTGACCAGTAATGCTGATCAATTGCTGATCCCTTCCTCGCAACACTCAGGTGACTGTTGTGTACTTGGACAGATCGGCTGGTGATGCCGCTGCCGAGCACCCGTTTGTCGGGCTCCCATGTTGCGCCCACGTGTTAGTTGATTCACGACCCATTTCGCCTGGTAGGACAGGCAAGAACAGGCACTAAATGACAGGAGAACCTTTCTCCTCGTTGGTTGTCCAGAGGGGCTACTATGTTCAACGAATTTGTGTGTTTGTTGTTTCCCACGTTGTTTGTTATCGTTTCTTATGTTCTTGGATCTTGCATGTCGTTGTTTGTTTATTGACTTGTTTGCTGGTTTGCTGGCTTTATATTTCTTTGAAAAGCTCAATCTGCCAACAACGAGATTTGGACTTTCGCTGTTGGCCAGGCGCATGACTCAAAGCTGCCGTTTTCGCCCGTGTACTTGCTCTATCGACCTGGGTGATGATCTGAGAAGTGTTTGCACTGGTGCCCAAGTTGAAGCTAGATCTGCCGTCATGCCTCTTGTTTCTCGATCCAAAGGCACTACGATGTGCTTTATCCTCATTGTGAGCCAGAGCCACCATGTGATGAGTCGAAAAAGTCCGCATTGCTCTTCTGCGCTTCTTCGTGGAAACAAACCACCGTGTTGCAGTGACGCAAGAATGGAATCACGCACTTCGCAGACAAATGCTCATCTTCGCTGGGGCGATGCTGCAGCAGAGGAGGTGCATGAGTTGTAGGTCAGGTTAGACATGTGCTGCTCTTGGAGTAGGGTGCTCGGAAGTGTTCACCTGAGGAAGCTCGTGGCCTACGTCAGCCGACAGAAGATCAGATTCGTCAGATGGAATCCTGGAAGGCGTTGGTTTGCCTTATTGTGCAGCTTGACCTCTAGGCCTATGTTTGCAGAGTGTTCTTCTTGCGGCTATCGGACTGTGGAAGGCCAAGCGGAACACAGTGATCCACACCTTGAGTGACACGGGCCTGGTGAAATGCTTGGCCGAAATAGACGGGCTATGTGCTTTTTGTAGTTGTGCATGCAGTAGGCGGGGATGCCATTCCAACTCAGGTTCTGATGCTGTACTACTCCCGAGATCGCGACGAGATCTTTGCCAGCTGCTGATGGCTTGGGCTCTAGAGTCTGTAATGCACATGGCACTGCAATTGAGGTCCGCATAGCTGCTGATCCACAGCATCTTCGGCAGGTTAATCTCTTAAGACACTTTGTGATCTGCTTGTTTCGTTTTTCACGCAAGCAAGTTTCAGGTTGCAGAGATGATTCGGTATCAACTGGAGTTGAAACCGCGTGAAGCTTAGCTTTTGAAATTGGAGCCGACATCTGAAGAGTTTTCAGTCCACTGGACGTCGAGGCAATACTTGTCGGCCTTTGCTGACTACAAGAACGACTATGCAGGTTCAGAGGGTTTTTGTACAGAGTGGATTCTTCGCGCTGTCCCGCATTTGCAAAACAAGTGTGCGTTTGAACTGCAATTGGTTCAGGCAGACGGGATATGAATTATCGCGATCGCTGCGTTGCTTTGCGCTTGGTTGTGTCTGCAGGGCTACATGCGGCTACATGTGTTTGTACTGCTTGTGCGGTGTGCAAATGCTTGCAAATTGCCTAGGTTTCACATCTCTATGAGACACATGCCGACAAGAGCAAGGAAGGCGACTATCCCCAAAAAGGCTGGACTGGCAAACGGTTAACCACGCATTCCGACATGTTCAGTTTTCAGCTGGGTACCCATGTGGATTGTAAATGGTGCAAGCCAAAATTCCTACGGGTGCGGCGGGGGTCGGTTGCAAAGTCTGTTGAAGGTGATGGCTTGTAATTCTTAAGGACTCAGAGTATGCTGTATTTGCGCTCGAGATGCAATCTTCCGCACGGTGGACCGGCTTCGTCTCATTGATCACATCGCAGAGCACTTGGTTGATGTTTGATCCGATTTTGACGTAGCGACTTGGTACTTGTGTACAGAGAGAGACTCTGCATGGCTGAAGGTACGCAGTGGCGATCGGAGCTGCGCGGGCATTGATGTCGGGCAGTTGTTGCATGAGTTGCATCCTGAACGTTGTTCATGTTTGTGCAGGAGTTGGAGATGTCTGTTTTTCTCTTTAACGTGTTCTTAGCATTCGCCGTGTCTAAGTGGCGACTTGATCCACTACTTCCCTCTGCACGAGCAAGGCCAGCCTGTAGTTGAACCGAGTCCAACCGAGTCCAACCACGTCAAACCTCGCATCTGAAGATTGCGCACATGCATTCTTGTGTCTCTTTCCTTTGCATGTTCAGGAAAGCTACAAGACATGGACAAGGATTGGTTCAAGACCTTTGTGATCGGACGAAACATCTACAAGGCCGCGAGTGATTCTGCACCTTGCAATCTCTGGCAAATGCCGGCAATGCAATTTGTGCAATGCAGGGCCTACATTTCTTGTTGCAGTTGCTCCTATATGCTCTTGCACTGTCCACGCCAGGTCAGGGACTATTTCGGTGAGCGCATTGCGCTGTACTTCCTGTTCATGTCACTTTCTTACAGACTAGGTGTTTCCACATTGATGGCTGCTAGTACGATATACTCAGCACTGCAGTGCAAGGTCTCACTTCATAAAGTGGATGATCTTACCAACGTTGATCGGCTGCTTCTGCTGTGTGGCAGCCTTGGGCAAGTTAGTTCGTGTAAAATCAAGCAGAACTTGGCATGTCTTCATGTTTTTCAGTGCTCTACTTGTGATATTTTTTGATGAATGCTCTGATGAATGTTGTAAGTCGGAGCATGCGGGCTTTCGGCCCTTGGGCGAATGTTGGGCAGATGTCGGCGAGTCCCCCTCACCCCAGTGCGACCCATCCTGTGACAAAAGGATAGCAAGTTTATGAATATTGAATATGCTAGTGATGCTAGTGGCTCATGGTTCTAAGAGTATTTGATTGATGGCCTTGTGCTTGACTGTCAGGTTCCGTGATGGGGAAAAAAGAGTGCACACAAGCGGACGTGCGGAGACAACTGCCGACACACCAAAGACCTCAAAAGACCAATATCTGGGTACCTGCTCTTGTTCTTCGCGCTGAGATGTTGGACATCAGGTGCTGGACCTGTTCATGCAGACACCCAACAACTGGACGGCTGCATTTCTGTGTGTCGGTATTGGCCTTGCTCTGTTGGCTCTGTTGGCACCTCCGTGAGGCTGCAGCAATGTGCAGCTATTTCCATGTAGTCGTTCCAAGGCGTGGGGCTCTTCTCCACCACCTTCATCCACTTCTGGCGCAGAAAGTCCAACCTCTACGCTTTGAAGTTCCTGCCTCAGTTCCGGCAGTTCCGGGTCCTGTTGCTGGGTATTTCTAGCAGCGGCAGCAAACGCCCGCAACAAGGTGGGGCACCTTCTCGATGAAGAAGAAGCCTGAACCAACCAGACCAGAGTTCTATGGAGCCGCAGCCTGACGCAGCCGATTGCCATTTGCATTGGTTTTTTTCACTCAACATGCCACGAGGTTAGCCGAATCAACCCTATCACGAGCAGGGTTGACAGGTGCCATCGCCTCCTATGTTCTTGGTTTGGACCCGCGACGTTGTGCTGGCAGGTTTTACCCTTGGAGCGAGCGGATCTGGAAGGTCCTTTTCAGCTATTCTGTGATCACAGCGCCTTGGTTTGCAGCAGCCATGTTCTGCATCGCGTTTCATGTCTTATCGTTGTGTATGGTAGTGAAAGCTGCTGTTTTTGGTTTACGGATGTGTGCGCTTTGACATTTGTGGCTTTGTTGTTTGCCGTTGTGGATTCGCCTGGAGACCTATGGAAGTACAGGTGTCCCTCATCGCGCTTTTTTTCGTGGTGGGCATTCTGATGGTGCTCCGCCACATTTTCCACAAGAACGGCGGACGAATCACGTTCCAGGCTGGACATTCAGCGAGTTGTGTGCAGTGAAATATCTGGCTCTGTTGAGGTCATCAATGCACTGATCGTGGAGTTGCTGAATACTCTCTTCACAAGCCTTGCAAACTGGCTCACGGACCCATGCCGTCTGACTTTGGCTGTCAGTGTTTGAAGTTGGATACTTGGCAAATCTGGCCACATGTCTGAAACTCCAGGACAGAGAGAACCATCGCTCCTACTCAGAGCATGCAAATCATTTGTTAGCCTCGCGCCAAGCGATGCCGCAGCGTTAGTCCCCTCTCCAAAAAAAGTCCGGACTCGGCATGACTCGGCGCATGTCGGCCCTGTGAGCACGATCTCTTCACACCTTTTCACACTTATCTGGAAGAGGCCAAGATGGTGGTCTTCAAGTTCATCAACTGCTACGTGTCGCTGTACTATATCGCCTTCCTGAAGGACAGATCTTGTATGTTCTTCTTGGACGGAAGCTATGGAGCTACGCATCCTCATGAAACTTCACAGCTGCTGGAAGAACAAGGCCCATTCATATCTTTTTGGGATGCCAATGACTTGCGTCAACGATGATTGCCTCATCCTTATCAGCCATGCAATCGCGCTTTTTGTGTGCATGCTTTCTTCGGGTGGTGCAATGCACGGTGTTCAAGATCAACCAAAAAACGGACGGGAAGAGTAATATGGAAAAAACTTGAGGATTTTCGAACTGGTGAACTGGTCGCAACGCATGACATGGCCGGTTCAATCTTGGGCGTACTCTGACAAGATGACGGTGACGAGAAAGTGTGGCAGCACGATCCACCGCACACCAGCATGACCTGTTGAGTAGTTACCACGTGTGCCACATGTAGGCCACCAAAAGTTGCTGAAACCGACGAGGGGGTCTGCAATTGTTGGGCCGCGATTCGCTTGCCATCTCTCGCGGCCATTTTGCAGCAAAGGTCTCAATGACTTGGGCTCCCAGCTTGCGATTTTCATGATCATGAGGCGCTGTGCTGCCAGTCTGCCCGTCGTTGGCAGTTCTACGATTCTAGCATGTTGTGTTCGGTACAGGGAGTCTGGGGGGTGTGAGCTTCTTGTCTGTTCAGCAGACACGGAGCTGTTCATCGCCAGATGGTTTGGCTTGAGGGGTGTGGACGGAGCGAACATGAAGTTGTTGGTGCATGGCCTGGGCTTGTCTCCGAAATAGCACAGGCTGACGGTGCAGAACATGATCGAACTTGGAGCTCCGTCAAATCCTAAGGTTATTCAAATGTGAAATTTGACAGCATACCCACCGATTGCTCCAACCTGAGGTATGCAGTCATGTACTACAGGGAGTACACAGAAGGCAGCTGAGATGTCATGTTGTGGTCGGGGCGATGCTCATGTTCAGTCAGTTGGAATGCAGCGTTGCTTTAGACTAGCAGGTCTGTTACCAAGTGCGAATGAACACACATACAGCTAAATTCGGGGCAGGAAACACCTTCAAAACTTCCCTCTTCACGTACCTTGGCTCGCAGTATGATGAGGAAAGGCGTTAAGCCTGTTAAGCGTCACTTGAATGCTGTCGCTGGAGGAATCCGATGACGATCATGTCGACTCCCTAGTTTTGGGGTTCCTGGCCAGAAGCTGTCCTGTGCTGTCCTTCGCTTGTGTCTTGAGAGCCTACAGCGCCCAGGCCAGATCTTTCCAGTCCAGAGAAGCAGAGCAAGAAGGAGGCTGGCGGTGCTGTCCAAAGCTGTCCTTGGCATCCCTGGCAACAAAATGGTTGCACAACAAATGTTTTACGCTATGTTTTTTTACAACTTTGCGACACCACAGCGGCTCCCGACGTGGGCCGGCTCTTGGCCTTGGATGCGGGGAACGCTTGAACTGCTTGTTTTTGGAAAGTGCTAAAAGAGGACTACGATGTGTACCAGGACATGGACGAGGCATTGGGCACAGCTGCACAGCTAGTGCGTAATGGTGGCACTTTCTGTCAGCCTGTTCTCTTGTTTGTTCTCTCTGGTTCGGCCAAGCTGCTGCAGGTGCTGATCCTTTATGGGTACACTGTGCTCTTCGTTGTCGCCTGCCCTTGGGTGCGCCTCCTTGGCTCATCATGTGGAGCATCCAGAATATCGTGGGCAACTTGTGGATAGGATTGCACTTGATTGCACGCCCTGTCAGATCCCGTTGATCACCATGATAAGTCTTGTCCTGGAGCTTGAACCTCAGCTTTTCGAGGCAGGTTTCATCTGGCCGCAACGCATCATGATTGGTTTCTGTTTCTGATTCGCAGGCCTAAAGCCATCACATGTTGGGGCATTTGGCTGCAGGCTATGTAGTGGCTTGCAGCTTAGGTGCTTCATGGATCAGAAGAAGCTCGTCCTTCTCTTTCGAAGGCCTTGCCTGCAATTGGCATGTGGCCACTGCGCATGAGGAAAGACGACAGTGCCGCGCAATGCAGGCCATTCCCATCACCAGCTTCGAACAACGAGCCTTGGGACACCGCCTTCGACGTTTTCGGTATGCGTGGAGCTCAGGATGCTATGTAGCGCTATTTTCTGAGTGGCTATGATGTGCTTGGGGGTGTGCTTGGGGATGTGCCTTGCGAGCCTTGGAATATGCATTGAATGCATTGGTGTGATGAGACACATTCGGCGACATTCGGAGGATAGCAATGGCCACGAACACGGCCGTCGTCGTGTTTGCCTCGAACGTCTTCGTCAACTGGAGCCTTTACTCCGGGATTTACGGGATTCGGGAGGGCTGCAAGAACAGAGCAATCCTGTCCCTCAATTGTTCGATTTGAAGAGAAGATGCGGCACCTCAATAGGGCTGACGATATTTCAAGAGTCCTTCCTCTGTGGCCTCAAACGGAAGCAAGAAGCCAGCTACAATAGGTTAAGGGAGGAATTTCCAGCGCAGCTGTACAGAAGATGTACTGCCGTGAAAGGGAACCAGCAGGAGTCCCAGGGACAGCGAAGCAGAACCAGGATCATCTGAGTGGTGGCTTTTTAGTGCCCATATTGTGCTTCTGCGAAGCCAACTATAGGGCAGCAGCAGCCAAACAAATTATCATCGGCGTAGACGAAGGAGGTTCACTATGCTTGCAAGTGCTAGACTACCAGACTGCTCCATCCAAAAGAACGCATCTCCGCACTCTAAGTTGTGGGTGTTGCTGTGATGCGGTAGGTGCATGGAGGAAAAAGGCTTTGTTGTGCGAGGAGTCACCACCACAAGATCCTGCTGTTCTTGGTCGTAGAGCACTGCATGATTGCCTTCAGGCCTTGTGGCTCCGACTGACATGTTGCAGCGCGCAGCTGCGTGTGGTCAGCACGTAAGAGTGCCTGCCAGGATACTCATGTCGACTTTGTTTCCGGCTGTTCCTTGGGAGGCTTTTGCGTCAGATTAATCATGGCTGCGAGCGGATGAGTCTTGAGAGAGAGCCTTCTGGAGGTGCGGATGCTGGCCATGCAGCAACAGGTCATGGTCCACAGGCCTCCTCCTAAACATTGGCCCTGAACGGTTGAAGCAGTGGACGCCTTGCATTTGGCCGGGCTTGGCTCTGGATCATGAGGCACTTGAATCTTGGCGGAGAAGAGGACGATCACGAGACTCGCGCAAGTGCTGCTGCCTGAATGTCGCAGAAACGTGAGTTCCCATGTGTGAACAAGTTGCGAAAGCTAGCCTCTGAGAGAGTCAGTGGCGTTACCTAAAACATGCTTCGGTGGGGGGCGGGTCCAGGGGGGGGGGCCATGCCACGACATAATGTATCCCAGCCAAAATTTCGTGACGCTCGGGCACCCTACCCTCGTGTTCATGGGGTGGTCGTTTCTGCGCAAATGAACGCCACTGTTTTGTGCTCGCTCTTTCCCCCTCGTTAGTGTATGTTTTGCGTACCTTGTTATGCAGACTTTGTTGGAAGTACAGAACTAATGTTCTGGTTGCTTTTGGCATTGGTGTTTATGGTGTTTCATCTTGAGACGTGTTTGTGAATCCGGACTTTTTTAGAACATTTTTTTCGTGAAGTGCTCGGGAAAGCGGCGACTAGGCTTTGTGCAGGTTTGCTTCAGGTCATCTTGCATTTTTACACGCTCCTTTGCTGACTGATATGCTGTCGTGAGTTCTGGATGTTGTTTTCGCTGTTCGCTTTAGTTCTGCTATTTGTCCTATACTCTGCACGCACACGTGCAAGGTGTTATTGTTGTGTTTTTGTACATCGGAACATAGATTGCTTTATGTGCGGTTGCTCTTGCAGACCGCTTGGGAAGGAAACGTCTAAAAGACAGGTCTTAACACATCTCACTATGTTAAGCTGCTGTTGCTTAAACTATTTAAGCACATTTTTACTCCGAACTGCGTTTTTTCTCACTCCGGTTGTGCAAGATATTGCACGTTTAGACTTTTACACCAAAACCAGACTAAAATTGCAAAGAAGTTTGATAACCATGAACGAAAGAGTACGCTAACACCGTGACAATAGTCAAGAATCAACTTACTTCCCACTAAACAAGCGTTAGTTTGGGATAAGTTTACATACACATTGTCGTTGTGCATATTTTTTTAATTCTTTCCTGCCCTGTCTGTTTCTAACTCAGTGACTCTCCTCGCCCGGGTCTCCTGCGCTGGTGTCCTTGGGGTGTTCTCAAACTCTTGCAGAGTATCTTTGTGCCCGAAAGTCCTGCAAGCAGTACGTGGCGTGACTGGAGTGCCCATGCCCGCTGCAGAGAATCTTTGGAGTGCTCATGGATCCCGCAGAGAATTGGAAGGCAACACCCCCAGGCAGGAGCCAGACCTTATATTTTCAATGAAGAAATCCAAAATTTGCGGTCCGTTTTCGGTGTCCGGACTGGAGCTGCTTTCTGGAGCCCATTTGAGCTGAACAAATGCCACATTCAACTCACAGAATGGCAAGCTTTTCTGTGCCACGTACTTTTTGGACGTATCGTTGACAACCTCATTATTTGTTTGTTCTTTGCTGTCCAGTATTCACTGATCATTTTTTCTTTTTTCGCTTCTTTCTTACAATGTTCACTTCGAACATCCCCACCCAGAAACTAAGCAACTCACAACCACTGCAGCGGTCGTCTGGAGCTCCAGAGGAACTCTGTGCGATGCGGTGTGGGGGTATCTGGGGGTGGGCAGCACTTGTCGATGGTTTTTTTGTCACACGCCGTAAACGATTTTTTTCAATTGTTCGCCGTTTCTCTTTCCAGGGCGGGGCGTGCTGCTTCGGAATCCTCGGTAGTATTTACAGTTCTCTGCAGGGTTTGCCTGGTAGGAACTCGGTGGGCTTTCCAAGTATGGTAGGTATTTCTGTGTCACTTTACTCTGCGGGATTCTCAGCTCTGGGGCTGGGCACTCCATGGACTCCGTGGGGTTCTTACAAAGGAATTCTCGGCGGGATCCTCCCTCAGAACTTTGGTGGCATTTCCACACATTGCGAAACTAGATGGTCACTTCTCAAATTACGGTCCCTTTTCGGGTACCTTAAATATTGGGTCCGCCTTAGAATCGTAACGCCAAAAAAGGACCCTAATTTTAACGCTACGCGACCCGCCTCGGCCCGGCCCAGCGCATCCGCGTGAGCATGGTGATTCCGCAGCGCCCAAGTCGCTGGACCCCAAGCAATAAGGGTTGGGTTTAGGGTTTAGGGTTTAGGGTTCCGGGTTTATGGTTTATGGTTTAGTTTAGGATTGAGGGCTTAGGGCTCAAGGTTCACGCTTTGGGGTTTAGGGGATTGATCGTAGGGTTGAGCCAGGCCCCTCAGGGGCGTAGGGGGAGTGGGGGGGGGGGGTGGTTGAGTGCCGGGGAGGGGGGGTGGGGGGGGGGGTGGGGGGGAGGTGGGGAAGAAAAAGGGGATGGGCGCCTGCTGGGAGGGGCTTCAACTGCCTCTGGTCCTGGCGAACCGTCCGCTTGCGGACCCCGGTTTCCTAGGGGGGGTACCCATTTGAGGCAAAAAAAGGGGTCCGAAAAGTGGCTTTGGGTGTGGGGGGAGGATTTGGAGGGGGGTGCCTGTTCTGACAACCTATACACCTCCGGCCCGAGGCCTCGGCGGATTTGGGAAATGACCAGATGTTGTTTCTGCATTCGCCCCTGGAATCCTGCACTATCCTTCGTCCCAGTCCCTCACCCCCACGTTGATAATGGCTGGCATGCCTGCTGCCCATTGCCATCACAAGTATTGGCGCTTTTTGAGAGTGAAACAAGGGTGCACTGCATCATGGCACTAGGCAATGATGGCAACGGCGCAGCCTCCTCCGCTAGTACATGATGCTGATGAGGAGGAGGACTGAATGATGTAGTTTCAGCTGTGTTAAAAAATGAATGCATTAACGCGGCCTTCAGTCAGTTTGTCGTCCCCGCAGTACTGGTAGAACTTGACCTTTTTGCGACAAGCCGGGGGCCCTTGGCTTCGTGACATTTCGTGACATTTCGTGGCCAAATCTCGCTGGCCTCCGATCTTCCAAGGCATCCGATGCAAAACAGCAGAACCGGATGTGCATTTCACCTTCAACTCCACACTGAGAGTTTGCACGCCATGGCTAAGTCCAAAATTCACTCCTCGAAGGTGGGATTCCACGTGTGCTGTGTTCTTGATGTTCTTGTAGTGTGACTATTCAACCACATTGTCAATCTACAGGCAACGGCAAGTAATGGAGTACGAGGACTGTGCTTTTCCAACATGGGATGACCCAGTAGTCCAGTCTTGCCTCCAGGCTTTTGGTTTGTTTTCAGGTTTCTTCGACTGCTCTGCATATTCTACTTTTTCTGAGCATTTTCACCATTCCGAAAGCGTTAGGTTTCCAAAGAGGGATCAGCGCAGCACGCTCTGCAAAATGCCGTGCAACTTGACGGGCTGTGACAATGTTTGTGTTGAGAGTGTCAGGCCTTGACGGTTGAGAGCTGATGCATGATTGGGTGTGCAAAGGGGTTCAAACGGCAGAATGATTGGCCAAGAACGGTGAAAGACCAGAATATGCTAGCGCCGTAACGCTGTAGCATGGAAAGGAAAGACAGCAGAACGTAGAAAACAACGGCCAACATCGCTCAAACATTCACTGAAGCTGGAGATGGGGAACATGTGTGACTGTACTCGAATCTAATAGAACTGATGGGTCTCGGAATATGCAGCCGTCTCGAGCTGACTCGAGCTCTGGAATGGATGCCAGATCGCAGGGCGAGCTCCATGCTGGTCGGAGTAACGCCGAGTTGTAAATCATGTTTTGCTAAAATGTTTTGCATGTTAAAGACGCAGATGCCTGAGTTTCTCTAGTGCTCTCGTTGGCGCACCTTGGTGCGCCAGGTCCGAATCGGCCATGTGTGCCGAGTCGTCGACGAAGGTTTTCTGAGGTGAGGCGCCAAGCGGGTTGAGAACATTTGAGAACTCTCGACCTTTCTCGACCCAAAACCAGAGTTACAGGAGGTTCAACAGTGTCAACACAAGTGTGTCGCAAGATATGTTTGCTACAGCTCGAGGCATAGAATTACAGCCGCTTGGTCGTGCTTGAAATCCTGGCCGCTGAGGCACTCTGTGGCCGTGTAGCACATGAGCCAGGGCAGAGTCTTCCACAACGGCCGTTGGCTTGTTCCTCTTCCACTTTTAATGCTCCTGGTGCTGGGCAGAATGTCAGCACGGAAACGCCGTTTCACCCAGTTTGTACAGAACCATCTTCGACAGTGCCACTTGTCTGCATTTGGATGGCTCTCTTGTCTTGAGCTGGCCGTCTCTGCTGTCGTTCGGACGTGTTGCAGGGGTTGCTTCTGGACAGCCTTGCACCTTCTTTGCAGATGGCATCAGGTGGGGGCTTGCGCTGCTGTTCGCATGTACCACAGGATGGGGATACATGACTTACTCTGGATCAGTTGCAGGACAGCCAGGACATGCTTGCAGGCAGGGACATTGAATGAAGCGCTGTTTGAGCGATGTCAAGTGTGAGCTGAGGCGCAACTCCACCTACAGACGACGAGGCCGACAGTCAGAAGAGAGGTAAACAGCTGAGGTGCTAAGCACAATGACAGGCTGCGGCACAACCGGCCATGCAGGCACACCGCGGTGTGTTCATGCTTTTGCAAATCGGCCGTTGCCAAGATTTGCCAAGCCATCGGCAAATTTCAGTGTCAGGTCAAGGTTGGAACTGTTGGAACCTTGCTCTCTACTGGCTCAGTGCTCGCCTCAGCTCAGCATCGTGTGCAGTCGCAATGGCCCAGTTATTGCACGATTTCACATGCATTGTGAGGTGTGGTTGAAAGTGCTAAGTTTCTGCAGCGGCCAGGAGGTCTGGAGGGGCAAAGCTAAGAAAGAGTTGCAGCAGTCGCCATTGTGTTGCCTTCTCGAGGCTGCGTTTGCCGTGCCTTGCTGCACGGAGACCTTGGCAGGCCCACGGCTGATCTTCGTTGTATGTTAAGTCGCATTGTGCTGTCTTCTTGATTCTTGTGGTGACTTGCTGTGTCCACCTGTGTCTGTATGGAAGACTGGAACCCAGGTGCGCACGACGGTCAAGGCCGCTTACTTGCGGGCTCCGTCACGCTCTCACGTGGCTGCGTTGCCATGGAGCAACTCACCAGGCGACAAAATCTGCAAACATGTCTCCGCAAGAGTCCGCAGCCATAGCATATAACTGTGTGCGCTTGCGCGCCTGGCCTCGGCAGCCGGGTCGGCCAAACGCGGGGTGTAGCACGCGCATTGCAGATGAAATCCAAAAGTCATTGTCACTTGGATGAGGTCCTGTGAAGGGTGGGCCACGGAAGGGAGAAGGATAGCAGATTCTGGCCTGCTTGTTCTACACGCCTCTCGGCCGGGCCGAAGCGAATTGCACCCGCAACTACGTGTCCCGCTTGTACGTTTGCTGCAAATTGCATTCTGGCATTCTGGGTGAATGCCTCTGGGCTTCTTCTCCAGGATTTCGCCCCACTTGCTTGTCAAGCTGAGCCTGCCCAGTGTGTTCCCCAGTTGCTCGAGATCCTGGCAATGCTGCAAGTCGGTCTCTTGTTCTTATCCTTCCATCAGGACGGATTCGAGCGTAGGGAATCGTTCGATTCGTGACCAAACCGAGTTTGAGCAAATTCGATCCTGCTGATGCTCATGATGCGCGCTGATACCCTTTGTTTGTCGCCCCTAAGCGCACCATGGCCCATCCAGCTTCGACCACAGGATGTGGGTGAAGAGCAGTGGCGTATTGCAGATGAATCATCTTCGCGACGGGAAGTCATTGATGTTGAATACGAAGGTCTAGCTTCTGGAGCAGAAGGTGAAGCAGTCTTGAAAAAGCTTGCGCAGATGAGGGGCCAGCTGCGGGCACTGAAGGCCCGGGGTGTGCAAAAAAGGCGAGACAGACTCTGTACATCTCTGCGTAGTGCAGGAGGTGTCTGTCCACATCGCTCCGCCGCGACTGCCCAGGGCCAGTGTCTTGGTTCACTTCTCCCTTGTCCATGGTGAGTGATTGAAGACAGGTCACAGGCGAGAGTCGTGAAGATCGTACCCAAGCGGTTTCAGGCCTCTCGTGTTCATACCGCTTGTACCGTGTAATGCAAGTAAAGCCTGGAGTTGCGTCGGAGGTCTTGCCAGTGCATTGTCAGCAGCCTTGCCGCGAGCGACTCGGTGCCGTCACACAGCTCAAGCCCTTGTTCAGAGCTTCTGTTTGAGGCGGGGCTTGGATTCTTTTCATGCAAATTTGCGCGGTGGGTCCTCGCCTTAATGCAAATGCTGGTACCAAATGGAGTCGCACGGAGTCTCACGGCCTCGCATTGCTTTGCACGGCTCCACACAGCTTCGCACGGCTTCGCATAGATTTTAGGTGTTTGCTTGCGGACGACTGCGTCCTTGCCGAGCTTGTGAGCGCAACGCCGAAGCGCCTCACACGGCTGGGCCTGGCCGGGGGCCCTGACCGGGCACCTTCGAAGAGCTCCTCCCAAGTCTTGGCTTTCCATAGTCTTTGTCCTGTTTCCTTCAAGGACCTGAACTCCTTCAGCTGCAGAGATGCCCATGCTGTTGCGCGAGTCATCGCAAGGGTCACCGGGTCCGCAACCTATTCATCTCACGGAGTGACCTTGTCAAGTCTCCTTGCCTGCGATGGGCCTTCATGTCCGTGCCAAGCTTGCGGGAACTTCGTCTCCTTTTCCACGGCCGGTCATTCGCCAGGGGCTAAGAATGAAGATGGAGGAATCGAAGTGCCTGTGGACTCTTAGTGACATCTGTTCTGCCGCCTAGGCATGGCTGGGCAGCGGAATGGAAGATGCTGGCACCGAGGACCAATGAGCGCGGCAGCAGCAGCAGCAACAGGGGATGTTTCTTTTTCAAAGGAGCTTGCCTCCGCTTTGCCAGCAGGGCTGGAGAAGCTGCATCTTATGCTTGAGTGCTGTCCCCAGACATGGTCAGAAGCCCAAAGCCTTTGGGGCCCCCTGTCTACCGGACATCCAAACCCGACATGCAGCGCGTCTAGTTGGCGCTTTCAGATGTATGTCGACCAGGTTTGCGGGCATGCAGCCGTGCTGTAGTGGTATGGTGGGTTTGGGGTTTCGTTGCGCAGTTCAAGGTGCAGGAGGTGCACGTCGTCACGATAGCAAGAGTCAAAAGCAAGACATTCCTGTCTTGCAAGGAGATGAGACCTGGTAAGGTTTCTAGTAGGTTCTAGCACTTGGAGAATTTGTTCAGTTGTTTGCGTGTTTTACTCGTGCCTGGAGTGCTGGACATGCAGAGCTTCAGGTCATCCTGCCAGGGTGCTGCGGCGCTTTGCAAGGCGACGTGGGCATTGCATTGTGGACTGTTCAAGGTGGTGATTGGCAGTGACGGCTCAGGCTTTGCCGGCAAGCTTACAGCAGCTCGCCTTGGACTTGCAGGTTACAGCAGGGAGCCAAGACTCGCGATACAAACATCATGGGACCCGGCCTCCTGCGATGGTTTCCTGCGTTTGCTTTTTTCCAGTGTGGCCGCAGAAGGGGGCGGAAACACAAAAACACACCGATGCACCGATACACTGTATCACTGTGTGGGGCGTCGACGCATCGGCGTAGCCCGTGTTTGCCCTCGTTGAATGCACACTGGTCTTTGTTCGCGAGCAAGGCCCCCAATGCAAACACCGCGCTGGCTCAGGCAGTTGCAGTCAAAAAACAGACGTGTGCAACATTGACTGGAATGGTTGCTGCAGTGGAGACTTGTTCAGGCCTTAGCAGCAGCACTTGGTGGGCTAACTGTCCTTCAGCTGCGGCTCGCCGATTTCAACATGAGCCTCAGCGATCTCAGGATCCGAGTGATTCCAAAACCACACACATATGTCCCCCTTTGGTGTGGTGTCGGGTTGAGGGTTTAAGTTTTAGGCCTTAAGGTTTTGTGACAGGTGTGCCGGCTTGGGCTGGGTTTGGCAGTACACGCGATTCTCACATGTACATGCAGCGTTTTGAATGGGTACCAAAGGTCTGTGACGTAGCACTTCTATATATGTACATACACATATACATGGGCGGACGTCAAAATACCATGCATGCAAAATATGATGGAAGTGCGATATGAAGTTCCGCTCTTGCTGGTTTATGTCTTCGCCACAAGGCGGCACCATGCGTATATGCAGGTTTCAGGCTCTTCCCCATGTAGGCGCTAGGATAGCGCTAGCGTGGCGCTAGGTGTTCCTTTCCAAAGGCTAACATGTTAGGGTTTAGCGTGTAGGGTTTAGGGTTTAGAGCGATCCAGCTTCGGGAAACTTAAGTAGTATAGGCGGCCTGCGGCTTAGGTAAGACTTTGGAACTTACACACCCTGAACCCTACACCCTAAACCCTGTGGTTGCTCCTGATGCATACTGCCGCCGTGCCGAAATTCTAAAGTCATGCGGCGACATATGCGCTAGGTTGGCGCTAGCATCGCGCTCGCAAATATGAAGGGAAACTGCTTGCGGTGGCCACTTGCCCATCCAAGACATAAAGCAGTACGAAGACAGCTGATTTGAAACATGGCCAACCTGGAAGAGCAAAGCACTACTAGCTCGAGCTCAAGTAGCTCCAATAGTTCCGATGACGATGCCTGAGTCGTAAAATGGCGGCGCTAGTGTGTTTTGCGGGGTTTTTGCATAGGGAGCAAGAATTAGTACTACACTTCTGTACTTGCCAAACGTTTTCCTTCTCGTCATAAGGCGGCACCATGATTTTTTCAGCATCCGCCGTTCCTGGAAGAAGGAATATTGACAGCCACCCACATGTATACATATACTCTTATGTATATATATATATATATATATATGTATGCATACGTATACATTAAAAAATGTACACGTATTTTTAAATACTTAAAAGCATACAGATATATATATATATATATATATGTATGTATGGTCACCCCCCCATGATCCATATGTGTCCTTTTCTTGCTTGCCGTTCTGCGCCTGGGCTTGCTTACGCCTGTAGTTGACGTGAAAAACACCGGTACTTGCCATACTTTCTTGTCTTGCCATGTCTGAAGCTACAACTTGTTATTCATCACGTATAGTTTTAAACAACAGAAATCTACAAACAGAATCCGTTTGTGGATTTGGTTTTGTGCGGTTTGCACATTTCTGTTATTCACTCTATAATAACTATCTACACCTTCTTGAACTTCAACATTATTCATTAGTTAGACAAATTAATTTATTAGCCATTTTATGATGCATAAATATAACAAGAAGAAGTGAAGGGGTTTATTATGAAGCACCGAACACAAGAAGCAGACTACATATTGAAGTTAGAGACGAATTAGCGGGGACGGAGACATTCTTAACGGACACGCAAGGACTTAAAATAGCTTAGCGTATGAGAATCCTGACGGGATTCATCAAAATGGTTCTATTTTATGGGACTAAAGGCGGTAGAGATGTTATGATGACTTGACACTGAACTTGTATAATTAAGATGCAACCGACTCAGCGTTATAAAGATGTAGATAAGTTCATTCAAGAAGGTTTTGTTGAAAGAGATGGTTAAAAAATACTGGACTTGCTGATATTATAAGTCATAGTTTACGTTCAGCATCGGGACAACAATCAAACAATGATTATGGTAATGTATTCAGAAGTCGTAGTTATGGTTCTCCTATTGTATCAGGACAACGACCAGAACACACTTAAACAAATTTAAGAATACGAAAAGCAGGAGACCCAGTTAGCATGTTTGATAAAGGAAGTATAACATCAAATGAATCAACGTTAGACCATCTGCAAAATCATTCTTATAAAGCTATAGGCAATGCTAAAAACAAAGTAGGAAATCTACCTATAACCGAAGAAGAGATTTTACAACAGTTTGATTCAATGATCTAAATTATATTAAAAATGCTTCATAAGAAAGCAACAACATACGAACACATAGAGAAACCGAAGAAAGAGAAGAAAGTCAAACAAAATGCTTACGAAGAGATAAGAAAGTCTGTTTAGAATAATGAACAAAATCTTGAAACACCAGGTCGCCAAAACTCGAGCAGGCTCGAATTTTCCAAAAACAACCTAAATTATGTCATCTATGAGGCCTAGGGGGTCACACAGCCCATGGTTTCAGCATTTTTCCAGAAAATTCGAGCCGGCTCGAATTTTCCCGAAGACTCTTGAAGCTCCAGGTCCCGGAAACTCGAGCAGGCTCGAATTGTCCAAATCAAACCTAAGTTTCAGGATCTACCGGGCTGCTGGTGCCGTAGATCCTGAAATTTAGGCTTTTTCGGCGACCTACTGTGTCAGTTATTTTTTTGGCATATTCGAGCCGGCTCGAGTTTTCAAAAATAGCTGATTGATTGATTGATTTAATTATTTAGGTATAAATATAAATATAGATACAAATATAAATATAAATATAAATATGTATATAGGTATATATGGTATCCCCCCAAAGATCTACCGTTTTCGTATCTTCTTCTCACAATGAAATAGCTGGTATCCCCCCGCTCCCGGGAACCCACGTCTGGACATTTCCAACGTTTGCTACTCATGCTACTCATTTGACATTGACGGTCATCTGGCTAAATACTGAAAAATACTGAAGCACTGAATTTCAGCATTTTGGATCCGAGATCAAAGATCCAAGATTGTCAGATACTGTTGAAGTCAAGTTTTGGATCCAGCGCGGATACTGAAAAAGACACTGAAACACTTTTCAGATCCAAGATCCAAGATTGGCAGAGAACTCTGCTGAGCAATCTTGGATCTTGGATCTTGGATCCTGAATACTGAAATTCAGTATTCCAGTACTGTTTGTCAGTATTCGTGCTGGACCCCAGATTTGACCTCAACAGTCTCTCACAGTCTTGGATATTGGATCTTGGATCCGGAATACTGAAATTCAGTATTTCACTATTTTTTCAGTATTTCCGAACGTCCGCCTCAATACCAAAACTTTAAGTCTCAGCATTTTCCTACCAGCGGCCGATTCAATTCATCTATATATGAAATTTGTAATCGAAACCTTTGAGGCCAAATAGGTGGATAGGTTAAGGTGGGGGTGTGCCAAATGTATAGGCTTTTTTGGGGGAGGGGGGGGAATGGGGTACCAACAACCCCCCCCCCCCCCCCGAGATGTGAAGCTGGATTCTTGCATGGAGGATCTCTAAATCCTGAAAAAGGATGAGTTTTTAGCAATCATCGCGGGGCTGGAAACTACTTCGCTAAATTTGAAAATGCGTAGGATTCAGGAAGAGGATGTAGAGAGCAAGATTTATAGACAAAAACATTCTGCCATCAACAAATTGGCATACTCATCTTTGGACACGGCCCACTTTTGCCCGAATCGGGGTTTAAATAGAATTCGCTAAGCCCTAAACGAACAGATGTAAAAGAGAAGATCCAAGGAATAAAGCTTGAGGAAGAAGATGTAGGGAGCAAGGTTTTAGAAGCAGATGTAGGGAACAATCTTTAGGGATTAAGGAAATACGTTGGGTAACCGCGTTCACTTTTCAGGATTAGCTCTCCTCTTTAGGAATTGCGCACCACCCGCCATATGGTTTTTTTGTCCCACCTTTTTTTGGGCTTAATGCTTTAGGATTTGAAGGGCATTAAGGAAAAAACAATTCGGGAATTGTTAGGGATCCCGCTCTTCAGGATTTGGCGGCAAGATTTAGGGTTTAAAATTGATCATCGGCCAAAACCCAATCCCCAAAACCCCAAGACCTCAAGACCTCAAGACCCCGAAACCACAAAACCCCAAAACCCCAAAACCCCAAAACCCCAAGACCCCAAAACCCCAAAACCCCAGAACCTCAAAACCCCGAAACCCCAAAGCTAAAATATTAAGGTTATCAAAAACATAATGGGCAAAGCAAAAGGTGCACTGTTCAGCAAAAATCTACTTGTCATAAGAATATTGATTTAATTGAAAGCATCTTTTCATTCCTGCTATTGAGCTGAATAAGACGGAACAGGAAGTTTGATAAAACCCTGACTAAAAATGCAATAAAACTTTCTAGAGATTTCGAATTTCAAGAAACTGGCGAAATTAAATGAGGTTGTCGGGGGGGTAGCACATGTATATATGTACATATATATACATATATATGTGTATATATATATATATATATACATATTCAAATGTTCATAGCAAACCCGTCGATGCATGTGTTCTTCAATGAGAGGAGCGTGGCAAGTGCTCTGCCAAGCTCTCTTTCTGACTTGCGAACCTGCCTCAAACGTTTTTTTTCATCTTTTTCTGCTGATGTCTGATGGCAGCTTTGGTTTGTTGACAGGTTTTCTTCCTTGTCGGAATTGAGGTTTGGACCTTTGCTGTCGTGACGTCGGCGATGATGGAGCCAGCGCTCTAGCAGCCAACTTGCCCAAAGGCCCTGTATTCTTGCTTGGGATTATGTGGAATGAATGTGCAAGCAGTGCAAGGGTTCACAAATTGACAAAGCATGTTGTTTTTTTCAGGGCTGGAGCGCCTCACACTTTGCTTGCGGGACTGGCGATTCACGGCAGCCTTGCTGCCTTTACGGATCCTTGCGTTCGGCAAACTTTCAAACTTTCCTAAGCCATCCTAAGCCCATGGTGACTAAGGCTGTCGGAATGCGATTGCTGGCATCAGCAATACCGCGAAGTGTAAGGCAGTCGGCTCTTCTTTGGGAGTTTTGCTACACCCTTGGGCGGATCGTGTGCAGGCAGTTTAAGCTGGTTGTGTCAAGCTCCACCATTGGTGTCAGTGGAGCTGGCGCCTTAGAGTGGTGTTGCGGCGCCCAGAGTGCCCTTGCAACTTTGAGGGACATTTTGTGAGGCTTCTTGAGGCTTTTGACGTGTGATTCGCTTTGATGAGCCGCTCTATTTTTTTCTTTGCTCTCAAGAGTCCGATTTTTCGCAAGAGTAGCGCTGGAAGAGACGGATCAAACCCCCTCTTGACACTCCACTCTCCCTCTTTGGCAATGCAATGATGCTATGACACTGTGGCATGGTCCGCGCCGGCTCCTCCTCCTCTCTGGAGATCCTAAATGGGCTCAGAGTGTGACCAGCGAAGTCCTCGCATCTTGGAAGATTCTGCACAAGAATTTGCGCATTGTCAGAGCAGACGTTCGTGATCCTCCACAGAGGGCGTGGATGGGACAAGAGTTGGATGCAGCTGTATTGTCGGCACACAGGCGAAGATTCTTAGATGCTTTTGGAGCAGTTTCCGGAGCTCTGAAAGGTGGAGGGGTGTTGATTTTCCAGGTTCCACCCTTGCACAGCTGGCGGACTGAACGTGTTGGGTCTAGATGGTGCAAGCTGCTCGAGGAGGTTGAGGCTGGTAGCCTTGTCCGAACCTGGTGCCAGGACGATCTGTGCGACTCAGAGATGCCAGATATATCAGGCATAGTGAGCATGTTGTCGCAGGGACAACAAAGACGAAGCCAGGTAGTGCAAGATGTGCAAGCAGCAGAGTTGAAGCCGAACCAGGAGCAGCTTGAGCTCATCAACATCATTCTTGGGATAAAGGCCTCCAGACCTTTGCTGGTATTGGGAAGACGTGGCCGGGGGAAATCAGCAACTCTTGGAATGGCAGCTGCAGTTCTACTACAAAGAACCGGCGGGCGGATCCTAGTCACATCTCCGAGCAAGGATGCATCTTCTCAGCTTTTTTGGGCCGCTGAATGCTTCCTTGGCAAGAAGCTGAGGCGGATTGGCTCGCACAAGCTTCTGTTTGGCAAGAAGGGAAGCCTAGAATTCATCACCCCACAACGCCTTGCCCAAACCAGCCGGATGGAATTGAAGGAGACTTTCCTGATTATTGATGAGGCAGCGGGATTTCCAGTCAATTTCACAGCGGGCATGCTGCAAAGAGCTGGCCGAGTGCTGCTTGCCACGACACTGGATGGCCAAGGCCTCAGATGATTTCGGTTCCAAGACCCGACAATGGCATTACTCGAAAACCCCGAAAACCCTGCCCGAGGCTATGAAGGCAGTGGCAATGGCTTCTTGGTTCGAGCAGTGCCGCATCTTCGGGCTGCGCGTGCAGGCTGGTTTGGCTTCTCTTGCAACGTCGATGCTCATATGAAGGGTGCAGCTGTTTACGCAAGCAACCCGTGATTTTGCTAGGAAAAGAGAGAGTTGTGCAGTCAACTTGCCTTGTTTGATCTTGCAACGTCATCGCGCTCGCATGTACAATCCGCTATTTGTGCAGCCTTCAACTGGAACGGATCCTTGAAAAGCAGCATGCGGTAGCGTGACGAAGACAGCAATCTGCCCTTCGAGTGACCAGAGCAGGGTTTTGTATGGCGCGGAATTTTCGCAGATTTTTCGTTTGTAAGGCGGGTCGATCTGCGGGAGGGGAGCCTTGGTGGGTGGGTGGGTCGTGGTGAAGCTTGGCCAACTGCAAGTTTTGGGCTGGATGGGTTTTGTGGTGACACCAGGCTCGGTGGATTTGAGAGCTCTTTAAGCCGAAAATTGGGTCGCCCTCTACATTGTCGTTGCTGTTAGCCTTCTTTTCTCCTTCCGCAGTATCTTGGGCATTGAGTTCGGTTGGATTGTTTCAGATTGACCTTTCTTGTTGTTTAAAGCGATTCCTGAGCATGTTTGCGCAATTTTTCCGTTACTTTTTCAGTGGCTTGAAGGGTTGAATCCTGGAATATCGAAGGGGTCGAGAGCCAAATCCATTTAAACTGATTTACGCCTCTTATCTTGGTTCACCCAAGCACGCTAGCGAAGGCTGCCTGAGATGGTGAACTCGCCAACACCCTCGGGCAGTCATTACAAGGGTCGTTTGCGCGTTCGAGTCTGCTGAACTCTAGTCGCCTTGTGCAGGTTTACAGATACGTGAACTCCAGACATGTTGGCGCTGGGCTCATGGATGTCCGCTGGAGGCACTGTTTGGGGTGTTTGGGAGAATTTCCTGGCATGTTCCAAGGTATACCAGGCTGAATTTGGTTTTCGGCAGGTCCTTTCGCGTGCAGCCCTGCTATTGGATGCAGCCCCAGCCGTGGTCAGCCCAGGAGCAGCAGAAGCGATCGCCAAGTCAGCTCTGCTGGAACATGTTGACGTTGCGGATATTGTAAACAAAGATGACCGGCTAAAGGAGATATACGGTCTCCTACGAGTGGGCCACTACAAAACCAAGCCTTCCGACTTGGAGACTTTCCTCGATGCGAAAGGCATCATATGGCTGGCCTTGCGATACAACAACCGCTACTACGGCATTACAATCTCGGGCATAGAGGAGCCAGTGCTCGACTTGGAGAAGGCTCAGCAGCTGTGGCTGGCACGGTGTCAGGTTCCAGCAAACCTCACGGCGCAGACTCTGACAAGGGATGCTGGTATCCTGGAAGCGTCTAAGCTGCGCTTTGCACGTGTCATGAGATGGTGCCTTCATCCGGACTTGCGCGGCTATGGACTGGGCGAGCGCTTGTTGGATGAAAGCCTCAATCATCTGAAGGCCTTGCCGGTAGATGCCGTGGCAGCACACTTTGGGGCCACTTCGTGGCTGATTAAGTTATGGCTTCGGCAGGGAGCCATTGTTGTGTATCTGAGCCATGGCTGTGATCCAAGCAGTGGCCAGCACAGCGTCAGTGTTCTCATTCCACTCTCAGAACGAGCCAAGAAGGTTTCGCAAGTTTTGCAAGAGCGCCTCCAGCAGCAGTTGCCGGAGCTGCTCTTGGGTCCACTGGCCGATCTGGGTGGCGAGGCTCTGACAGAGCTGTTGAAAGCCATTGCTTGTCGCAAAGCCTCTTGTCAAGACCGGCTTGATGCTTGGAGTTTTGCATTTGGAGCCCGTGGCCTCTCCAACTGCAAGCCTGCACTACGTTGTGTCGTGTTGGAGGCTTTGCAGTCTGGAAAGTCTGGAGATGTAAGCCAGCAGGATGCGAAGCTTTTTCTAGACCTCCTGCAGGGGCGACCCATATTAAGCGAGGGGCAGCTGCGCCAAGCTGTCCGGCAAGTTCCAATGATCAGAGATGCTGGCCAGTGCAGCCAATGTGCCTCTGAGTTTGAGAGTCCAACGGATATTAAGAAGGAAAGTCCCAAAAACAATGTTCTTGGGAGCCCTGCATTCGCTCACCACATCTCATGAGATTGCTGCGTGCTGGCAGGCTAGGGCACTTGCGGCGAACCTGCCTGTGGGCATGACGCGCCTGAATATCTCTCTCAGGCTCGTGCGACCCGTGCGGCATCTGGAGCTTTCTAAATTCTAAATGGAATGCCGTCTGTTCGAGGCATTGCTGCCTTGGCCGTGATGGCGAGCAGGTTTTTCGACCCTTGGCCCGCAGGCAAGAAGGACGCAAGCAGGGCATTGCAGCTAGCCCTGCGTGACCAGCCCCACAGGTGGAATGCATTGCCGCACAGCTGGGTCAGGGTGTACGAAAAGACAGCTGCCAGCGTGGCCTTCACCTTAGAGAGTGTTGGCATGTCTTTCTGGAAGTGGAATTTGGGATTCTGATATGTTCTGATGTTGGTGCTCAGGGCCTGCAGCGCTGCTGTGAGTGGGACTTGTGGGAGGATTGATGACCTGAGCTGAAAAAACATTGTGTTCGTCACAAAAAAACATAGTCCATGGTGGCTGTGGCCAATATCTTGAAGCCAAGTAGATGCCACAAATCATAACACGTCCGCTGTCTTCACGATCTTGAGTTTTGCAGACACCGCGGCGTTTTTCGTCAGAGTGTACCGGAGATCATCAGTTGCCAGGCTTTGCCTTGTTTAGCTTCAGGATGCTTCATGCATGTCGCAGCACTTGAACAACAGATGATGCATGGACTCAAAATGCCACAGGATTCCCCAAAAAAACATCCGACCTAATCCTGGCCCAGTTCCTCAAGTCGTGCCAGATCTGAAAGACTTCGAAAACCAGCCCATAGCACTTGCTCGATACACTCGAGGTATTCTTGCGGTCATTGTGCATAGTCGTAGTATGCTGGGTTCCAGGCCAAGTGCGCACCTGCCCCGCTTGCCAGCAAGCATGCATGCGTGCTGTGCACGGAAGTGTAGGAAAGAGAACCAGAGTGAATCAGAGGCGAACACAGGATTCTATGGATGCCAGGCATGCCCTCCCTGCCCGCCTTGGCCGCCACCCGAGCCGCTGATCCAGTCCCTCAGCTCAGTATAAAGCTCTCAAGAGAAACGAACGGAGAGGAGAGCGGAGAAGCGGTGAGCGCATGCGGTGAGTGGATGTGAGCGGTGAGGGGAGAGCGTGGAGAGTCCTCAGCAGCGACGCTAGGCCTGGCGGGGCCGTGGGTGCTGTGAGCTCAAACCTGCGACAATCCGAGCTTCACGAGATCTTCACGAAAGTTTACACGAAAGTTACGTACACAAGCAGCTTCGGTGTTTCTGTGTTGGGAGTTCCAGATCTCTTTTGACGATTTCTCTACCAGTAGCACAAGCGCCAGTCCAAAGGCACCTGGCTGCCCCACATTTGCCTTGCTTATGGGACCATCTGCAGTAAGAGCTCAATGTTCACGTGACTGGAAATCCAAGGCCCTGGTCATTCCTAGATTTGACGGCGCCAATCAGGACCGCTCCATTGCGTTTGTGATGGCTTCGCTTCAATCTTTTGCAATTGGAGAGGTCACAAATCTTCTTCAATCTGGTGGGCGATCTGCTGTGCTACAGTGGTGCCAATGAGGCGGATGTTCTGAAGATGCGCACGTGAAGCAAAGAATAAGCCAGAGAGAGGGAGCGATAGCCGGGAAGAACCAATAGGTTCTTGGATTTTCCTCGAAAACCACGCTTGAAGGTGAACTTGCAGCTGAGCATCGTCAGATCAGCTTGCCGGGCTGCAAGTCAATGCAAGTCTCAACCCTATGCCCTCTCAGGAACATGGGTTGACTTGAGGCAGAGAGCTTCGTGATCAGGTGGATGAAGAGTGGGGCCCACAGTTGGCGGCTTTTGTCATTGCGCAATCTGCAAGGGAGGAATCAGACGGAAACGCCGGGCCTTGACTTCGAGGTGCCTGACGTTTAACTATGATGACACCTGTGGACTAGGCTCTGTGCAGCGTTTCTCAGTGGTTCTCAAAGCCATTGAGCAACACAGCTTCGGAAGGCAGTGGGCCAAGTCGCGATCGGGATGAGATTTTGGCCCTGAACACCTGGCCGCTGACTTGTTTTGGACGATGGAGACGAAGTTGTGTCGACATGACGTAATTTTCACAAGGATCAAAAGACATCCGCGGCTGAAGTACTTCGAATGCCTTGTCCGCAGTGAGCTACTCTCAGCTTATGCCGTTGTACTATGTCGTACTTTACTAGTTCAATGGCCTGTGCCCACATGCGTTCCTTCGTTACGGTATAGTTGAGGCTGCCAAGTTCCGGATTTTGCTGGAGGAGTCCTGAAAACACACTTTTTTGTGTTCTGGGACTTGAGAACGGGTGTCACAAATTCAGTTGTGTAGGACCGATCCATAATCTTGGAGTTTAGGCTAGAAGCCTCACAGACTGTCAGAGCGTCGCTGTGGTTTGCCTGTGCCCTATCATGTTCAGGAGTTACAGCTTCCACCGCAGACGCGCTGCAGCTTTGTTTTCGAGTTCAAGGCGCGTGTAGCCATCCAGAAATTGCATAGGGTCATACGATCATGGCCGCATGGTGCACAGTGCAGAGGAGAAGTGGCAGAGTGCAGTGGTGTGACAGGTCAGTGGTCAGGAAGTTGAACAACTCTTGCAACGCTTTTGTGTCTTTCCCTTAGAGCGGAGAAGGCTTCATTTTATCCGAGACAGCGGTGTCGAGCGAGGTTCGCCGTCTTTCCCTCATGCCACTGGAGGAGAAGGACGTGCTAGGTCTGCTAGGTTTGTGTCAAGTTCCTCTCAGCACAGGTTGCCACTGTCGGTAAATGTGCCTTTGGCAAAATGTTGGCACAAGGGCCTTGCCCTTTTGCTCACCAATCTTCATTCGTTGGACGGGAACTCACCATGCGGCTGCATGTCGAAGGACGCAGCTGGGCAAGCACAGCGGAACTGGAAAGCGACGAACCTCAAATCATAAGAACTTACAGCTGTGCGAGTTCACTGACTTGTGCACTGTTCGAGGTCTTCCCTGAGACTGGGCTCCAGGTGCTGTGTTTGCGAAGGTGGGAAATTTGTCGCAGGTGAGATGGAGTCGGAGTGTGTGAAGCGACGATATCACTGAATCACACCATTGGCCAGTTGCTCGGATGAGATCATCCAGTCGTTCTTTTCCGTGAGCCCTCGGCTACGCAGCCTTCAGCTGGCAGAAAACTTATCGCACGCAATGCGGTCATGGTCGTGGCACACAGCTGCAGGCGTGCACTTGGTGTGCACTCAGTGCATGTTGCACGTTGCAAAATGCGAATGGCCGGTCGCTTAGGTCGACAGCCGGTTGCAGAGCATGCCACTGGCCATCTCACAGCGCTTGAGCAGCCTTAGCCTGACCGGGGCCGCTCGGCCTTGAGACTCATGGGTCAAATGATTGGGCCTAAGCTGCGACGAAGATGCTGCGAGCCTTTGTGTTTGCCAGATTACGAGCCTGCCTGACGAACAGCTTTCCAAGCTTATCGCAAGCTGCAAGAATCTTAGGCCCTGCCCTTATCCCGCTTATGCCTGACTGACTTGCCCCTCAGCCGAACCTGATTCCTTTCAAAGGTCTCTGTACATTGCCAAATGCCACATTTCCCACATCTCATTTGCCTTGTCGAACCTGGAGCTTCTATCTGTGCTCATCTCAGCTCTGCAAAATTCTGCAAATCTGCAAAGTGGCACGTTGAGGGATAGCTGGTGCCGCAGGTGACACACTGCCAGCAACTTACGGACGCGGGTTGGGCACTTCACCCGCGGTGCGACAACCCCGCAAACCTGGTGGCAGGACCAGTGTGCCACCGAGATTTTGTCTCCTGTGAACAACCCGCGCCGATACCTTAGACACAGTTGGACACTGCCTTGTGCTCACCAATGGATCTCTTGACTGGTTTTTCCCCGAACGGCGTCGCGTGTCAACACTGAGGGCTTCCATCCAAGTAAGAGAGGCGCGCCGTGCGGTGCGCAGAGGCGGCGCGTGCGGTCCGAACCATTCGTTTTTCTCGAAGCTTGTTCGCATTTTGAGCCGAAATCGGGCGTGCCCGCGCTCGCCGTCCGTGAAGCTGTCATTGTTCTGGGTTCGCGGGCTGCGTGCGAAACTGCCATCGCTTTTGGACTTCACATGCAGTTTGCAGCATCGTTTGGTCTTTGGATGGCTTTGGTTTGACCGAGGCCTTCGTTTCGTTGACCTGTCCGAATGTCGGAGCTTGACGGCCCCAACTGTGTGGAACCGAGCCAAGAACTGGTGGGCGTTCACGATCACTTCATTGGCAACAGTGAGTGGTAGTGACAGGTGGAGCATCCAGAGATGGAGATCGCTTGGTTGATGCACTGCCCGCAGCTCACAGGGCAGGCCGGTCTCCCTGCAGCCCTCAAGTTGTCGACCGGAGTATCGCAACATGTTGCCAAAGTCATTTTTCGAAAGCTGCTTCTGGAGGTCGTGGCCGCGATGCCGGGTGCTCAGGCAAAGTCAAAGAGAATGACTCAAAAGTCCTCGAAGAGCCTCAAAGTGCCTCCAAGACTTTCAGGAGTCTCAAGACCTCAAAAGAGTCGAGATCCCAGGTTCCGGAGCTGCACAGCACTGACCGCTGTCAACCTGGTGCCGACCTTCTGTTATCACCCTCACATTGCGAACACTTATGAACAGTTCTAAACAGCTACAGGAGGTTGCAGACTGGTGTTCATTGATGTTCATCAGAATTGTCGCGGCCGTTTCAGCTCAACTCAACGCAGTCGCTGTCTGCAGTGGCAGTGGCGAAGGCGATGTGTGCAGCAGATGTCGGCCAGACCACTGTAGGGATGTATAGCCCACCCACCTTGGGTGGTAAGCTGTCAGAGTGACGGAAACACCAATTGCAAGAAGCCATGTTAAGAAGAGTGGGAGGTCTCCCAGACAGTCTCTGGATGTCCCTGGCAAGGTGGACAAGCCGCCCATGGCGTGCCCGACCGCACGGCTGGCTGCGCTCAGCCTTGGTCCTGGTTCTGTGTGCTATTTAGAAGCAACGCTCGACGTCGTCTCACAAGCCCAGCGCATTGAAGTCGTTCGGGTGTTCAGAACTACAGTCCCACAGTCATTCAAGGGCGTTTGGCGGCCCAGGAGCACTGGGGGACGCGGGCGAGAATCAAGGAAAACAAGCCGACCCCGGGGAGACGCGGGGAGGGACGCGAGGGACGTGGGGCGGATGGGGCGGGATGTGGGCGATGTGAGGGATGCAGGGATGCGGCATGCGGGGTTTGCACCATTCAGTGCCGGTTTCCTACAACTTTGCCGCCAAAGGCTTGCTCGTGCTGGGTGAGACAAGCTTCGTGCCGTTTGCTGGCATCGAGGCTGCCTCCCAGGGTCACTATGCAATTTCCAGAATCTAGGAGAATCTAGGGACCCCATGCCAGTATTGCGGCATGTTGCGGCCCGCATGTTGCGGTCCCTTCGTGCTGTCCGTGCTCGTTACAAGGCTCGCTACAGCAGCAGTTGCTTGATGCAGGAGCTGAAGCCGCATCGCATACGCGATCACTGTGACGAGTCCACTACTGGTGAGGTCGGAACTCAGACCGCCGGCATCAGCCCGTCCAATTGTTCATTGCATAATTTTGCAGAGTCCTTTTTCGGAGGATGGCTACCGATGGTGTGCCAGATCGATCAGGAAGCATCTCGAGGACTCTGGGCGGACTGGTAGCTTTGGATCGGCTTTGGCATGGCTTTGGCATTGGCATATGATGGGGTGTGATGAGAGAAAGAATGCTACAACAGGATGGCGCCGATGTGGAGCTAAGTTGGTCGATGCACGTAAATCCAGATACCATTCTGTCCTTGGACACAGAGGCAAGGGGGCTTTGTATAATTTTCCATTCTGAACCAGTCCTGTGACACACGTGCGGTGAGGCGGAGCATGGCGTTAGAATGGTGAGATGCTCGCCGGGTCAGCTTGGGCCCATGATTTGCCCATGATCTTGATTTGGTTGACAAGTTGATGCCTGCAGCTTGGGGTCACGAAAGGCTATGACTCGGTTAAAGTGGGTCCAGGTGTCCGCATGAATCTCGCTGCAGCGCTGCCCCAGCACTCTCTCCCACCAGAACGTAAGCTTGCAAAACACGTCCCCACGCTCCTCCTGCCTACATCCTCCCTTCACCTCCAAGCATTCCAGCATCTCCAGCCCTAGGGTTTGGGGCTGAGGTTGGAGATAGACGTTCCGCACACGCACCTGCAGACGACCCTGCATGACTTCGGGACTCTGGGACTGGGCACGGACAGCATACTGATACGCTCCTGTGGCCAGGCACGTGGAGGCTGGCAAGTTCATCGTTGGATCGCACTATGTGCATGGCTGTGACCATATGAGCGGTCAGAGCTCGTTCCACAAGATTGCGAAGGCAGTCTTGCAGCAAGATCACTGCCCTGAAGCCGATCTAGTTCCAATGCAAATATAGGTGCATAGCAAGCGCCTCTCTGGTGGCGCCGGACAGATGTACCGTTTGCAGCTGGCTGCGCAGGCCCTCAGGGCACTTTCTTACTTGGGGCAACTCTCGAATGCATCAAGCTGTGTTTCGGCAGGCCTTGCCTCACATGGGGCATGTGGCGCGGCACGTCTCCTTCAACTTCAGCTACATGCCCGTTGAGGTTTCGGGATATCTCCGAGCCTCGTGCATGGCCTCTAGCTGGGTACAGTTTAATTGCGTTCAGGCGCGCGAAACGCACAAGAAGTTTCCGGAGAGACGTGCTCCAATCTCGAGCGTGGGCCATAAGGTGAGTCTTACTTGTTTCATTGGAGGTACAACTTCTGATCGGCCTCATCAGGAACGCAGGCGGACAGTCCAGATGTCAACGCTTGGCATCCGTTCGGAGCGTTTTGGAGCGTTTGCGAAAGGCTCTTTGATTTTCCCAAAATCCCTGGCCCCAACCTGAGTGGCAATTTGCCAGTCGCAAGCACTTGGATAGTTCTTCACGAGATGGTTCAGCAATTTGCCCGCACATCCTACAAGATCACCGATCTGTGTTTGGGCCGAGGGTTTGGCGCTCCTACCTCGGGCAACTTCGCTGGACAGGGCGACTTGTCTGGAATAGATGTGGCTTTCAGTAGCTCGCACCTGCATCTTTGTGCCTGAGCGTTTCCATGTGGGCTGCTACCCGCCTTCTCCCGCTGCTTTTCTCATCTTCGTCCCGCTTTGCCTGCTTCAGCGCATGCCAGTGTGCTCCTCCTGGCTTCTTTAGTGTTGCGTTGCTTTCCTCTCCATTCGTGGCTGCCGTGCTCGTTTTTCCCTGCAGCACCTAACGTGCTTCCGATTTCTTGTGCTGCGACATGCTGCGACTCGTTCTTCTTGCTGTCGCCATGACGAGACCTTCAGCTGCATCCTTTGTTAGTTGACATCCTGTGCACTGGCCTTGTCCCAGCATGAATTGTGGGTTTCAGGTTTTTCAACGACTCGAGCCTCTCGGCCCTTTTCGAACTGTCACCGAAAGAACACGGCCAGTAGGAGCAAGTAACGAGCGACTTGTAATTGCCTGTCAAAAACCGCCCGACATGTCAACTCAAGATTTCCGCCAAATTGCAAAAATGAGTGCCGACATGCCAAAAAGAGGTTTAGCCACAAGTACGCGCCGACATGCGAAAATCACGCCGACATACCAAAAAAAACACGTGCCGAAGCGGCAACACTTGGCTGCCGCTGACATGCCAAAACAATCGCCACAAACACGTGCCGACATGCCAAAAGAACACGCCAACATGCCAAAAACCCGAATATTGCACCGACATGTAAATTTTTACTGGCATGCCAAAAGCACGCGCCGGCATGTCAGAACCGACCCCGCGGGGATAATTTCTCGAGGTGTTATTTTCCATCCCGGGGCGCGTTTTCGTCATGTCGGCGCACCCGATCCCAAGGAGCGTAGCGATGTAAAATAGGACTGTTCCGCTTTGTCGCCTACTACCAGATGTGAAGTTAGCTGATGCTGACGAACCTGCTCTTGGAAGGCCAAGCGTCTGGAAGCGTGAAGACGCAGAACGGCATTGTCAACTTCTCTCCCCAACAGGCCGTGTGTTGTTCGTATTGTTCGTACTGTTTGGAGACATGTAGGGCTTCTCTCAGCGTGAAAAGCAGATGGAGTTGCACCAGGTTTCAAACTTTGGTTGGAACTGGGACTTCTTCCTGAATAACTCGAAGGAGCATCGCTGCATGTCCTGCCAAGTGCACGGAAGCCTGCCAATTGGTATCAGGACAGGGACTGTTCTGCGATGAGTTGCGGACATGGCATGACTGCAGGAGCCTTCGTTCACTATTGACCAGCCTGACACGAAGGGATCGTTCGTTCTGAAGAATCCATACATCAAGGCCTTGGCTTTGCAAAGTCTCCGGATTTGCTGCCATCGGTGCCGTACGCCAGGCACATGCTGGCTGCTTCCTCAACTTCACCTCGCAGTACGTAGGCAAGCAGAAAGCCCAGAAATGGACTCCGCAAAAGGGAACCTGGCAACCATTTCAGCAAACAGTAAGTGTTAATCGTGTGTTCATGCATCTTGTACTATGACTATAACTCCACCTACTTTCCAATGCGCTTGCATGCAGGGTGGCTGGTAAACATGCCGCAGCATGTCTTTGGCAGAAGTGGAGAGGGGGTTGACCGATGTAGTTTCGAGAGCCAGTTCTTGCGAGGCTTCCTCAAGCCCCCTCACGTCAAGTGGCAAGCTGGTCTCAAGGGACACGGAATCGCACAGGCCCAGCAGCGCCACGTCTCTGTTGGTGTCCGTTTCTGTTCCTGGCTCGCCCGTGCAGGGACGACTGGAAGCAGCAATGAACTCCACCCGCTCTGCAGATTTGGTGGCACGACAATTGTTTTTTGCTGACTGCGCATGACATGGTTGGAGCATAAGTCACAACAACAGAGCCCGGGTCTACTGGTACCATCTACTGAATGGAGGTTACTGCTGCAAGATTCCCTGTCATGTAGGGCGTCTGCGCTTGCCAGGATGCAGCGAAATACAAATTGCCAGCGGAAGTTCTGGACCTTTTCGTTGCAAGCATCACACGCATGCAGGAAAGTCCCACATGCCAGTGTGCAGGAAAGCTTTCCTTTTCTGCGAACGCTGACGAAGTTCGACAAAGTGAAGTGGTTGATTCGCTTGTTTGTATGACTCGGCTTCGTGGAAGTATATGCTTAAATCTCGACGTTGTTTCTCATCCAATGGTATTGCCTGCCAGGTTTGCACCCATTGAACATGGTGTGGGGCCATTGTTGCGGACTAAGACCCTATTCACTTAAGAGAGTTTGGGCTGCAGGGATATCTGATACTGTGATGTCCAGATCTCTTCAATATTCTGGCATTCTCGTGTGTGAGGCCCGCGAAGATCGAGCCCGGGTTCCAGTTCCAGGTCGCTTCTCGTGCGAACCAGATTGTCTGATTGATGTGGTGATCTTGACAGGTCGAGCTCTATCACAAAGGGCCCTTCAGCGGCTTCTTGTCCTTCGGAGGAAGGCACACTGGAACAGTAGGCATCGGTAAGCCGTAAGCCGTAAGCTGCAAGCCTTGCCCAGCACCCATGGTGTCATGGAGCCGGTCCTGCACTATGACTCCGAGAAGGTGCTTGGGGCTCTCGGGGATCTCGGGGATCTCGGGGATCTCGGGGATCTCGGGGATCTCAAGTCACTCGACTTGACGAATGGGGAGGGAGACTCCTTCAGAAGTTGGGGCATTCTGCATCGTACTTAGTGCTGTCGAGGGCTTCGACCAGACCTTGCGGGGCCTGCTTCGCGACACGGACGTCTGGCCGCCTATGTACCTGGTCTTTACCAAGCCCGCGACCCAGGCTTCCAAAAAAGCAAAAGGCAAAGAATGATTTGAAAATGTGTGGCATTGGTCACTGTGTCATGCTCTGCCCTCTGCCCTCTGCCCTCTGCCCTCTGCCCTCTGCCCTCTGCCCTCTGCCCTCTGCCCTCTGCCCTCTGCCCTCTGCCCTCTGCCCTCTGCCCTCTGCCCTCTGCCCTCTGCCCTGTGCCCTCTGCCCTCTGCCCTCTGCCCTCTGCGCTCTGCGCTCTGCGCTCTGCGCTCTGCGCTCTGCCCTCTGCGCTCTGCGCTCTGCCCTCTGCCCTCTGCCCTCTGCCCTCTGCCCCTTGCCCTCTGCCCTCTGCTCTCTGCCCTCTGCGCTCTGCGCTCTGCGCTCTGCCCTCTGCCCTCTGCCCTCTGCCCTCTGCCCTCTGCCCTCTGCGCTCTGCGCTCTGCGCTCTGCGCTCTGCGCTCTGCGCTCTGCGCTCTGCGCTCTGCGCTCTGACCTCTGCGCTCTGCGCTCTGCCCTCTGCCCTCTGCCCTCTGCCCTCTGCCCTCTGCCCTCTGCCCTCTGCCCTCTGCCCTCTGCCCCTTGCCCTCTGCCCTCTGCCCTCTGCCCTCTGCGCTCTGCGCTCTGCCCTCTGCCCTCTGCCCTCTGCCCTCTGCCCTCTGCCCCCTGCCCCCTGCCCCCTGCGCTCTGCGCTCTGCGCTCTGCGCTCTGCGCTCTGCGCTCTGCGCTCTGCGCTCTGCGCTCTGCGCTCTGCGCTCTGCGCTCTGCGCTCTGCGCTCTGCGCTCTGCGCTCTGCGCTCTGCGCTCTGCTCTTTCCTCTCTGCTTTCTGCTCTCTGCCCTCTGCCCTCTGCTCTCCGCTCTCGCTCTCTCTCTCTGCTCTCTCTCTCTCTGCTCACTCTCTCTCTCTCTCTCTGTCTCTCTGTCTCTCTGTCAAACTGTTCTAGTCAAGCCAGCCGAGGGCTTTCGAGATGGGCGTCAAAGCTCAGCCAAAGATTTACATCAGGAAGCCGATGGTTGCGTAAGAGAAGTGTGCAGCAAGCCGTGCAGCATGGACGTGTCATTGCAGGGGAGATTTCATGGGCTTCAACGACGCAGAAGCTTGCTTCCACCTTTCTGTTTTCCAGTCAGCTGCCAAGCCTCGTGATCACGATGTGCCGAGCACCTTGGCAGTATCCTTTCTTGGATCCAGGAATATGACGCTCTATCGTGATGGTGCGGCTCACTTCGATGTAGACGCACACAAGGACTTGGCAAGCTGAGACTCCTGGCAGCTCTTGAGGCTCTTGCTCACTTGCCTGTGCAGAGGCGCTCGTGATTTACCCCCTTCGAGTTGTTTTACTAGCGCAAAACACAATCGACTTCAACACCAGGCAGGGTACCTTTGGGACACTAGCGGCACATGTGCTTCGGACTGCTGTAGCACCAGGTACAAGGTCAAGATCAGCTGCCTCGGCAAAGAGGTGGAGTCTGACCCTGCGCTCAGCTGGGGTGAAGTCGAGTGCTGCCCCCAGTCTGGAAGCCATTCTTGACACAGCTTGGCACACATTCTGGTGATCATTCCGTGCAGTATTTTTTTTAAAATTCTGCAGGTTTCATGACAACGTCTCAAAGTTCGTGATGGCCAACATGACCGACCAACAAGTCGCGAACGCCGCTGTCACGGTGACGCTTATCCAGGCTCGGTGTGGCTTGTTTTCTCACTGTTTCAGTTCTGTTGGGAACGCTGCAGAGCTTTGCCTCAGAGCTCTGAGAGCCACTTGCCGCAACCTGCCATAAGTTGCCTCTTACGAAAGGTGCAGGGTTCATCGGGCACTGGTCCTGAGACGGTAATGGGCCAGAGCCCGAGAAGAGCAAGGGCAGAATCGGTGGAGACATTCCCATCACTTTCTATCTTCCGTATTGTTTCCGGCATGGGAGGTAAGTGCAGCTTCAGCTGTACAACCTGGCTGGAAACCGGCCTTGATCTGAAACACAGAAGAGATCCTATGCTCCCGGTGGTGCCGGTCTCGCATCGTCTCTCCATGCGCCTCCTGTGAGGTCTCACAGAGCCCGATCCGAATTGGTGCAACATCCAGCCCGCTGGCTTAGATCGAGAACGCCGCTGATCGATGCTGATCAGCCTTGAGGGTTGTTGTGCATGTTCTTATGTGCACCTCAACAGCCAAGAGCTGCAAGTGACAGGGACGACGCTGGTACAGCGGTGGCGAACATACAGCTGTACGTGGTGCACAAGGCGCTGCATGGCTAGGACCTTCAAATTTTCCCATGCATCCAGCCTCATCGTTAAAAAGAAATCTCAGATGCTCAGGAGACTGAACAGGTCAGTATCCGTTGCAGTGGAATTCTGCCGATGCTTCAACATATATATAAGCACATGTTCATTTTTTTGAATGCCTCCGCAACTGCTCACCGAATATCTAAGTCTGGAGCATAGAAGCCTTTTGCTGCTGCCATGTGGCCGGTTTGACATGGGTACAAGATTCAGGTGTAAGGATGTTGACAATCATTGCGGGCGACATCGGGTCTACACCAATGCGACCTGTGATAACCTGTGATAGCCTGTGATATCTCGCGAGTTCCTGCGATATCCTGCCGAAGCCAAACTCCATGGTTGGAACTCGGGCCAAGGGCAAGGGTCCTCTCCCCATAAGTGAAAAGATCTCCCTTCTGGGTGTCGCTTCGTTATCGTTCCGAGCTCGAACCGCTTTCTTCATGCTTGCAGTGCATCTGTATGACAGATTCGTCAGCAACGTTTTGTAACACCTTCAAACTCCACAGGCCAAGCCGGAGGTGTACCTGGCCTCAAGGATTAAGGGCATCAGTATGACTTTCCCGAAGATCACACTGCAGCCGGCCGGGATCTGAGAATTCTGCAGATTGCTGCAGATAGCTGCAGACATCTGCAGCAATGCAGCTGAGAAACTTGTCGTGCTCGACGCCTCAGGCGGCCGTCTGTAGCACTTTCCCGCAGCTGCCAGCAAACGCAACCCCGGCGTGATTGCAAGCGAGCATCAGATTACTGATTTACTGCGCAGTTCTGTGCGTGCATACCAAAAGAAGAGCAGTGTTTCTGCTTTCTTGGAAAGTGCTTCGCACTATTCCGACTTGGGTCTTGCTGATTACCATGTGTCGATGCGGTCTCACTCTTTGTCTTGTTGAACAAGTGACTCGTCAGTGTCCTCTCGCCCTGCACCTGACGATGGGCAACCGTGCACGCCTGAGTCGAATGTGGTGTTCTGAACTTCCCCAACGTGCACCAGCGGAGCATGTCCTGTATCCCAGTGAACGACAAGCAAATATCAGTTGTGTACTGTGCTGGGCAACTCAAACCCTGAGGTACATCAGCCACAATCCATGTCAATAGGACGATAACATTGAAGTTCTAGACGAACCATATTCGAGCATAGTCGGCGTTCGTCTATTTGCAAGATGCTTATGTCACTACCATTGGCTCCGATGTAGTCATTGATTCGTAATTGCAGCTTTCAATTCGGAGGGAAGAACCTCTCTCGCCAGGAACTTGCTTCTCCGTTGTATACATTCAGTCCTCCCTGATACGGGGGTGTTGTTTTGTTGGTACACCTTCTTTACAATGCGACATGGTCACTTCTCCAAAATATGATCCCTCCTTAAATGACCACATGCCTTTGCAGAATTCTGTAGTTGTGCCGGCTGTTCAATGCTGAAGCAGCTCTTCGGGTGTATTCAGCTGTGAAAGGCCGGTACAGCGCGGGCATCGACAAAACCTTCAGCTGCTCGGATGGGGCTTTGCCGGTGGATATACCAGGCTGTGGCACATGCTGTGGTACATGCATGCACATGCCTCAAGCACACACAGCACACACAGTTTCGCCGTTGTCAGGGCTCCTGGCCCTTCCCCGCATCTCGCTCATACTCCTACGTCCAATACCTTCCGGCCTCAGCTCTAGGCACAAGCCCTTGAACTCTTACATGTCCCGCATCTCAAAGTCATTGCCGCTCTAGAGCAGCAGCGGTCCAAACCTGTCGTAAACAAGCCGATCTTATGGGCAAGTGCAAATCTGCAAGGTAACTGGTTCCCAGCAAGGAACAGTTTTTTTTTTTTTGCCTGGTGCAAAGCTTTTTGCAACACATGCATCTTTCCATTGCATTGCAGGCAATGTGGTGCTCGATTTTTATCCTTTCTTTGTTGACGCATGGGTGCCGGGCCTAGTGTTCTCCGTTGAGTCCAAATGCGGTCTTCTTGTGAGATTGTGTTTTCGAGCTTGTGAAAGCTTCTTCACGCTGGCCTTGCTTACGGCCTTGCTTGCTGAGACTCAATGCGCGACAAACTGCATTTCACCATCGTCCCATCCCTGGATGAGAACATGACATCGCATGTGACATCGGCATCATGTCCATGATTTCCGAGCTGATGTAGCGCTTTGAGAACCATCTCGAGTGTTGTTCAAGGGTGGAGCTGCTTTGCGGTGGCGAGTCTCTAGGCAAGGCTAACTTGCCGTCGGTCTGAATCTTATCCTCAGCTGTCTAGCCTTCAATCTGCCAGTCTTGTTCCAGACGTTCCGTTCACATGCCCAGTTTGGACTCACAAAGACAGAAACGCCGAACTTCCTCGTTCGATTCTCAGGTTGCTCAATTTTGTGAGAGTCTGTATGCGTAGCTTTTCAAGGAGACCTTGTGTTTCGTGTCTGCTGAAGCACCCGGGAAGAAGTGTTTGGAAGCAGTCGCAGTAGCAGCAAGACTTAGCGCAAGGTATAGGGATCCAAGAAAAGGGATCAACAAAGCATAGAAAAGGGAGGTCTATTATTTTAGGATTTTTTTTTTTAAAGGATTTTTTTTGTTTTTTGTCCTTGCTACTGGTACTACTACTACTACTACTACTACTACTACTACTACTACTACTACTACTACTACTACTACTACTACTACTTACTACTACTACTTACTACTACTACTACTACTACTAAACCCTAAACCCTAAACCCTAAACCCTAAACCCTAAACCCTAAACCCTAAACCCTAAACCCTAAACCCTAAACCCTAAACCCTAAACCCTAAACCCTAAACCCTAAACCCTAACCCTAGACCCTAGACCCTAGACCCTAGACCCTAGACCCTAGACCCTAGACCCTAGACCCTAGACCCTAGACCCTAAACCCTAAACCCTAAACCCTAAACCCTAAACTGCCGAGAGCGCCGTCCATATGCATGGGCGCTCGAGGCTTCGACCGAGGTCCCCGACCGAGCGTCTCCACAGAACGGTGAGGGAGGGTAAAGCCTCCCGGTAGACGAGACGGCAGTGACTGGCTACGCCTCAGACCTAGGGCGTCAGCCCTAATATAATTAGGACCCCAAACCTTGCACCATATTGGCGTCTTTTAGTGTTTTCGGGGGGGTCCGGGGGGAACCCCCCGGGCAATTCCGGGGCCCTGAGCTGGCAGATTCCGGGCCCCCCCCCCTTCTGGGCCGGTCCAGGGGGGCTCCTGCAGCGATTTTGCCTCCGATCGTTCTTTTCAATTGTTGGAACGCCCTCTGACCTCCTGGGACCCCCCTGGGACCCCCCTGGGACCCCCCTGGGACCCCCCTGGGACCTCCCACGCCCTCCCAGCGACACCACACACGCCAGCAGACCTTTCTCTCTGTCTGGAACCTGCTCAAACCCCCATGAAACCTTCTTGTAGGGTTCCTGGAACCCACTGGAGACGCCCCTGAAACCCTTCTGAGCCCGAACTTTTCTGGGACCCCAGGACCCCCTGGCACCTTGGCCTCCTGCGAGCGCTTGTGAGGACCCTAACTGTCCCTGAAACCTCTGCGAATCCTGGGACCGGCCGAGGCCCCTGCTACCCCCTATACCGTTTTCGAGATCTAGGATTTGCCCAGACCCGTAATGAGAATGTGGGTTTTTCGTCTTGCAATCGAAAAGCAGGGGCCGGCCGAGGCCCCTGCTACCCGCTACCTCTTTGCTGCTCTGTTGGCTACATGAAGCCCCGAGATCCAGGATTTGCCCAGACCCGTAAGAAAATGTGGGTTTTTTAGTATTGCAAATCGACGGTTTTGGGCACCCTCCATTTTAAAAAGCAGGGGCCGGCCGAGGCCCTACCCCCGACCGTTTTTGCTGCCCTTTCAAGCCCGAAAATGTGGGTTTTTGGTATTGCAATTGACGGTTTTGGGCATCTTCCATTTTACTCCGTGAAAGCTCCAAGAAGCCTACGAGCCACTGACAGGCTCCATGAAGCTCAGGAGACCCCGCCCTGCTGTTTCTCTGCAAAAAGCAAGAAAGCCCCCCTTGAGGGGGGTTTGGGGGGTGAACCCTAAACCCTAAATGAGAATAGTTTGGGTGGTTGGGGTGGGACTACATGCTAACGCAAGCGAGCGGCCCGGGTGCTTTTAGCACCAGCGAGCTTCCCTTCTATACACCCTAAACCCTAAGCCCTAAGCCCTAAGCCCTAAGCCCTAAACCCTAAACCCTAAACCCTAAACCCTAAACCCTAAACCCTAAACCCTAAACCCTAAACCCTAAACCCTAAACCCTAAACCCTAAACTGAGTGAGCCCGGGGCCGTCGAGCAGGGCGAACGCGCCGAAGCCGGCAGGCGAGGCAGCTCCGGAGCCAGAAGCCCTCCGGCGGGCGACGGAGCTACAGTCCCGCAGGCAGCTGCGCTGCGCGGTGGACCCGGCAGGTCGCTGGCGAGAAACCCGTCAGGTCGCCCTAGAATAAGATACCCCTGCCTGGGAGGCCCCTGTGCCTACCTGAAAGGCTCCTTTGGATTCCCTACCTGAGAGGGTCCTGCCTGAGGCCCTGCGCCTGCCTGGGAGGTGCTGGCTGAAAGGCTTCTGCCTGGAGGGTTGTGTGCGAGAAGCCCCTGCCCAGGCACCTCGAAGGCCCCTGGCTGGGAGGGCCTTGGCTGGCCCCTGCCTGCCTGAGAGGCCTGGAGGCCCTGGCCCCAGCCCATGTCGCCCTGGCCCTGGCCCTGGCCCTCCCTAGCCCTGACCCTTGCCTTGGTCTGAGGATTTTTCAGAACGCAGCATGCAAGGGCGAAGGCGGCAGCCAGCCCCAAGCCCAAACCTTCAGATTTTTAAGTTTTAAAAAAACTTGCTGGGAGGCAGGCCCTAGAATAAGATACCTGGGAGGCCCCTGCCTGGCTGGAGCGCCCTGCCTGGAAGGCCCCTGCCTGGCCCCTACCTGAAAGGCCTTCGGATTCCCTGCCTGGAGGCCCTGCCATGCCTGGGAGGGTTCTGAGAGGCCCTGCCCAGGAAGGCCTGCCTCGAA